GACTGGACCGATTTTGATGAAATTTTTTGTGTGTGTTCAAGGGGATCTGAGAATGGTTTAGATTCACAATTTTGTCCTCTGGACAATGTTTTTTTTTTTTTATTTTTTTTTTATGGCGGTACGAAGTTCCCTGGGTCAGCTAGTATATATATAAAACTGTGGGGTTTTAACTTTGTTTTACATATTTGTTTCATTCAATGTTTTGCATTGGCACGCGCCAGTTGTTTTAATTATTTAGAGATTGCGAGACTAAACCGCAGTTCACAGTCAAATTATTTTCATTTATGTATACTAATGATGCATGTTGATTCAATTTCGAAAGAAATGCCAGATAATAATGACCGGAACGTTGCTGTTATAATGTCCCAAGACCAAAAATCCTAATATGAAATAAAATTAAAAAAGGGAAGATTGACTCGTGAAGGATTTGAACCTCCGCCCTCCGATGATCAAGTTTAGGCTTATATCGGCGCTCTTACCTACTGAGCTAACGAGTCTTCGTTTGAAGATGACGAATTACAGACGACCTCCGACAATATGACGTCATCGCTCGATCGTGTCAAGGTCGAATCGCGCCACTGACGTCCTAAAAGCGCCTACTGACATGCCTGCCGCAGGGACAATCTAGGGTGTAAGAGTGGGGATGACCCTTAATCGCTTCCTGAATTGTGATGTGTATAGGCAAGTTGGGGCAATTTTATAAATCGGGCCTGCGGCAGGGCAGCAGGAGCGCGAGACCACCCTTGGTCCCTAGATTGTCTCTGCCGCCCTGCACGTTGCCGCGTGTGTAGCGCGATCGGGGCAATTTCTCAATCAGTCGGTTGGTAGCTGACACACGGAGCGCACATATTTCGATGAAGATGGCGGCAGATCATAATGAGCATGAAGTTTGGACACGAGTGATCGAAGTATATAAAGACCGGCCCCACATGTGGGATAAAAAGAAACAAACATTATTTATATATATTTATTTAATATTTTTTATTTTTAAGTATGTAACTGCTCGATGTTTAAATCTAAAGAAAGTATTACTAGGAAATAGAAATAGTTTTTTTTTATTTTTTTTTCTTGTAATATTTTTTTTAAGATTCATACATTGAGCAGTTACATACTTAAAAAATTTAAATTATAACTTTAATTGCTATTTCTTCTTTCAAATGTTTTATACTTGTAAAGGTATTAATTTGACATTGTGGGTTACTTATAATGCGAAGAGATGGCGCTGCCTTGCAGCTAAAGAAAGGCTAGAAAGAATTGGATACGGCCGTCAGGGCCGCAGTAGCATAATTGATCAGTGCATTCGCCCGGATAGCGAAGGGTGCGGGTTCGGGTCCCGTCTGCGGCCAGGTTAGCGTGGATTTTTTTCTAGTAATATAAACATTACTTATTTACAATACATTTCTTTCTGTTGCCAATTCTTCAACCAGTATTTCCTTTTTCGCGGTAACACCATAGAAAAAGTCAAGGCCCGGCCTACCGATATATTTGATCTGATTTTTTGATAACACTGGGACCATCATCAACGCGTGTGTTTAGCTCAACATACCCCCGAACACTGAAAAGCAGGCATGTGTGTAGAGACAAGGCGATATTGCCCCGACCGCCGTGCACCCTAGATTGTCCCTGCGGCAGGCATGTCAGTAGGTCCCGTTGATAATATTGTGAAGTCACTCGGCGTTTGGAAAGAGTTCAAATATAATAGCCGAAAATAATTTACGCCTTTCCATTGTCTTAGAAGAAAGTGTAAGTGCTGGTTTTATGTATGTCTCTGTAAAATTGGAAATCTCACGAGATAGATTATAATTAGACTTGCAACGAATATTCGGTTAGTATTCAGTATTCGGCCTATTCGGCTGTTTTTATTATATTCGGCTGAATACCGAATATCTACATATTATTCGGCCGAATACCGAATATCTCCATATTCCAAATAAGTTGGTAAAATGAAAAATGAAAATCGATTGATTACGTATATATTCATTTCTGTTATATTTAATCATTTAAGTAGTCATTGGTACATAACACAGGCACATTATCATCTTCTGAATTGGAAAAATGGAGGATTCTATGTATTTGAATTATTGTGGTAATCAAAATTTAGTAGGGTAAGGTACTCATTTCTTTTATAATTATTTATTAAGTAGTCATTGGTACATAAAACAGGTACATAATGTAATCATCTTCTGTATTAAACAAGTTAAGAATTTTTTGTGCATTTGAATTATTTTCATAATCTAAATTTAGAAGGGGAAGGTTATGGTGCAGAAAGACTAACTTTTCTGCATTTTTAGGAAGTAGTTTACTTCTTTTTTCTCGTAGACCATCCTAGCTTCAGAGAAAAGGCGCTCTGAATAAACACTACTTCCTGGCGCCGACAAATATTTTGCTGCAATCTTAATCAAACACGAAAATTAAAATTTCCTTGCTTGCCACCATTTATACGGGTTGCCATGACGTGATATATTACTAATATTTAAGAAAAGATTAGAAGAACAGCGGGCGCGCGGGCGATGAGTAGCAAAACAAAGGAGCGCGAAACAATCACGTCTGTACAAGTTTTTGGCGCTAAAATCCAGCCGAATACTTTTGCCTAATATTCGGCTATTCGGTCAGGGGCCTCGCAGAATATTCGGTATTCGGTATAATGCCGAATAAACTATTCGTTGCAAGTCTAGTATATATCATAGCATCGGTTTCTTATCATTTTGCTTTATCAACAAATAATAAATCAAAATTTAGCGGTTTCACTTTTTAAATTTTTTCATTTCATTTAACGTCGTGTTTTTCATTTTTAGCGATTTCGAGACTAAACCGCAGTTCAGAGTCAAATTATTTTTCATTTACCCATACTAATGATGCATGTTGATGCAATTTCGGAAGAAATGACAGATAATTATGACTGAAGCGTTGCTGTTATAAAGTCCCAAGTCTAAAAAACCGTAATATGAAATAAAATTAAATACTAGTAAAAAAGGAAGATTGACTCGTGAAGGATTTGAACCTCCGCCCTCCGATGATCAAGTATAGGCTTATATCGGCGCTCTTACCTACTGAGCTAACGAATCCTCGTGTTATTTGAGCAATTATTTGGATTACCTCCAGCAAAATGACGTCACCGCTCGATCGTATCATGGTTCCTGCATTTAAAAAAATACTTCAGTAGAAACGTCAACGCTAGTTTAGTTCTAAAAGGAAGAATCAAATTGGATATCATTATTAAAACTATTTCGCCTTTACGAGATCCCACTCTTTTTTCATTAATGATAATCAAACTATCTAGGTTTTATTTATTTATTTATTCTTTATGCACAAATGTACAATAGCGGACTTAATGCCGTAGGCATTCTCTACCAGTCAACCATAGGATGTTGTGGAGATTATTAGTGGTAGGGTGCAAAACTGAAGTGGAAATCACATTGAAATAAAAGTTTATGAAAATAATAAATATAAATAATAATATATAAACATACACATACATAACTTAATATATTTAAATAAATAAATACATATATATTTCCAAAATAAATACAAAATAATGACGACAAACCAATCAATGAAACGCCTGTTCTAATAAAAAGCTTCGCAGTTAGGTATATTTACTGGGGGACATTCTGATATCTAGCGGGAGATCGTTCCACAAAAGTATAGTTTTTACGAAGAAGGAAGAGTGAATAATATCGGAGCAGTGTGATGGAACGATAAGTAAACGATTAGAATAAGATCGAAGCTTTTTACTAAGAGAGGTACATAAGTACTGAAATTGAGAAGTCAGATAAGGGGGTTTCCGTACTCAAAGGGTGACAATGAAACTCCACTTTATTACTAAGCGGTCGTTGCCCGTCCGTCAGTCTGTCTGTCAAAAACTGTACTCATTATTTTCACATAATGGGTAGGTATAGATATATTTTATTGCTACATCACTAAATTATAAAACTATAGAGTTTTTTTATAACTGGGTTCGACAAATGACTCCATCCCACCTTAAGTGATAGTGGAGTCCAGACGCGAAGACTCGCCTTTACATTCTCCGTTTTCTTTGTCAAAAAAAATTAAAACGTGTTTTTTTTTATCTTTTTGAGGTGCGAGGCTTAACCTCAGTCAAGTTTCAAATAATCATAACTGTTTGTGCATGTTGATGCAATTTTGTAAGAAATGTCGGGTAGTTATGACTTGTGGCGGTGCTGTTATAATGTACAAAGCTTTGTTAAAAACCGTCATATGAAATAAAATTAATACAGTAAAAACAAGGAGATTGACTCGTGAAGGATTTGAACCTCCGCCCTCCGATGATCAAGTATAGGCTTATATCGGCGCTCTTACCTACTGAGCTAACGAGTCCTTGTACAATTTGGACAAATGTTGGATTGCCTCCAGCAAAATGACGTCATCGTATGACCGTAGCAATCACATTCAAACAGTGATATTGTGCGAAAAAAAACCTTATCGTACCATATACAAAGCACTTATTTTAATGAATTAACGCTGCTATTGTTAACGTTTTTAAGTAATGCACTCAAGCATATCTATCTTATCTAATCGAAATTATTTGTTAGATACAAATTAAACTTAATCCATTAATAATTTAATCAATATGAAGTAACGATACTGTAAATCGTTATGATGGCAGATATGCCCATGATATGGTGAGATATTAAATATGTATGTATGTTAAAGAATTCAACACGACCATCAGTGCCCCGGTAGCATAATGGTCAGTGCATTTGCCCGGATAGCGAAGGGTGCGGGTTCGAGTCCCGTCTGCTGCCTGGTCCGCGTGGAATTATTTCTAGTATAATTTATCTTTTAACATGTTCTATCAGGCTACATTCCCAGAACTCAGTTTTCCGACGCGGGTATATTCTTCGACCCGAAGAAAGCATCAACATCAAAGTTAACTAAGAAGGCCCGGATAGCGAAGGGTGCGGGTTCGAGTCCCGTCTTCTGCCTGGTCCGCGTGGAATTATTTCTAGTATAATTTATCTTTTAACATGTTCTATCAGGCTACATTCCCAGGAACCAATTCTCCGACGCGGGTATATTCGTCGACCCGAAGAAAGCATCAACATCGAAGTTAACCAAGAAGTTCAAGCTCGGTCAGTCTTTAAAAGCGCGAGTCCTGGTGGTGGACCGGGCGAAGAACAGCTTAATTCTCACGCTGAAACCCTCTCTGCTGGCTGAAGACCTGGAGGTGCTGAGCAGCTACGAGCAGGCACAGATCGGGAAAGCGTACACAGGTTTCATAAGGGTGAGTTTTAAATTGCATTTTATTATGCGTTTTCAAGACTATAAATTAATTTATACACATATTTGAATGACTGATAAATTTTAATAGATTTTTCAAAACTTTTTGGTATAGGTGATATATATATATACTAGCTGACCCAGCGAACTTCGTACCGCCCTAAAAAAATAGGGGTTGTCCAGCGGACAAAATTGTGAATCTAAACCATTCTCAGATCCCCTTGAACACACACAAAAAATTTCATCAAAATCGGTCCAGTCGTTTAAGAGAAGTTCAGTGACATATATATATATATATTTATAAATAAATTATTACTTAATGTTAAGTTCTATTTTGAAATAAAATGTCTGTCTGTATCTTATAGATAGATAATAATAGTTTTGTTCAATAATAAGTCTCAATAATAAAAGTTTCTATTTAAATATTGCCATATTGAAAAACTTCTAACATACACAAATATTTAAAATGCAATATAAGAATCAAGGCTGTATCGGTTATGGTATTATTTGCTCAACTCAAAATTACCATTTAAAAGCAACCATTTGATAAGACCAAACAAAACATTAATCGAACAAATGATTCCAGTTGTTTTGTCAACACTCACATCATATAAACCTTCAAACGTACTTAATAATGTACAATATAGTACGGTTCAAACTTAATGGCGGCTGTGAAGTTCGCGCAAGTCGCAGAGCACTACACGAAACAAAGTAAATGCAAGTGCGCGCGGGATGTCACTGAACTGAAACCTGCTCAAGTAGTTCGCTGCTAACATCAAAGACACGACTGTGCTTATGACCACATGTCTGAAGTGAAACTTCTTCAGTTCCATCTGAATATATATATATATATATATTATATTTACATCTTCTAAGACTTCTTGCATCTTTACAAACTGCCACCCTGCGGCGTCCACTGTACTCGACGCGATTTTGAATGTTTTAAATGCGTATTTTAGTAGCTATTAATGTTATAATACCTTGAGTCTACGCGAAATTGCAATAAAATATAAAATGCCAATATTCGATTTTAATATTTCCTGGTAATTTGGCGCATCCGTTCACCACCGTAACCATACAGCACACTGAATATTTACGTATACCTTCTATGCACTGCTTAAATGCTCCTACCTCCGTCCAAACTTATGTTTAAATTGATTCTGCATAATACGATTTATTTCTACAAAGTTACGTCCCTCAAATTTAAAAAGAGATATGTTAGTTCCGGATACTGTAGGTACTGTATATTAATAATATTCATCCTGCTAGTCCACCGGCTTCCAGGTACACCAGCACTCTTCTCTTTGGAGTAGTACATACCTATGTAGTACCTGTAGGTACCTACAATTACTTATTTATGTTCAAAGCTTGATCGTTATTTTTGAGTTTTACACAGATCAGTCGGGTAGACAGGGAAGTTCTTTTTTTATTATATTTTAAAGTTTACATTGGTCCGTACCTTTTTGTCTTTATATTTTTATTTATTAAAGTCATGATCATATTTAAGATAACTTTTTTAGCTCGGCTGGTCTGGAATTTCAAGAGTACCGGTGGGTTTCGAGCTTGGTTGTCCTTTGACCCTGTAATTTACGGGCCCAACGACCATATAGTCGTACTCTGTGTACATCGTCGACAACGGAGTCGAAGGGATCCACCAAGGATAACTTAGAATACTGTCTGTTCCGGTGTCTTGCCTGATGCTGGTACTGCCAAGAGATGTCCAATGGCGATCTGTAAGGTTTTTAGTGGGTAGGCTTATGATCAGACACTGAGATTGGCCGCAAGTCTAGGTGTATTATTCATTTTCGCAATGTAAAAGTTAGTCAGGTTAATGTGGGTATCCATAATAAATCCTTGTATAAAGGTAATCTGAAAGCAATACAAGCCCCCAGCCTTGTTGTACCTAGGAAAGATAATAATAGTTAGACAATAAGAAAAGTTGGTGTAAATAGATTAATTCGAAGTAGGTAGGCTCGAAACTCAAGCTCGAAATAAAGAATAAAAATATGTAATGGAAAAAGACTTCATGAATTATCTCTGTCCTCATTTTTTAATTTGATGACTCTGAAACCTACAGGGTAAAAAAACAAGCTCTTGCTGAGTTTCTTGCCGCTTCTTAGTACAAGGCCCCCCGCCGTAGATTTGTATGGGGTACGTACACAAGTGCCTGAAAGCCTGAACTGAATAAAAGATCTCTCCAAAACATTTTCATGGAAAATGTTGCCAAGACGGGATCATGTATCACTCGTACGACAAAAAGTTATCAGATCGCAAGCACAGAAATGCTTCTATCGGGAAAACAAATCTTCCTAATTTGCCAGGACTCTTCGCGACACCGCCCGCTCATTTTCACGTCTCTTTTTCAATTCCACCATGGCAGCCTCTAAAACAACTAAGTATAGCGGTGCATACCCCCAGGCAACATACGCGGACTCCACTCTAACCTCAACGCTGTCCACCACTATCTTGAAAGAGCACGCCCAGCATTGTTAACGGAGACACAAATACTTCTGCCTGCTGACACAGGCTACCTTAACTATCCCGGCTACGTGTTTAAAGAGTCCTTCAAAGCGAAAGCCGGTGTATGCCTGTATGTTCGGGCGAATGTTTGTTGTCGCCGTCTCCGCTGCTTGGAAGATCACTCCTACTCCATGCTGGTGGTACACGTCGACTCTGGTCCCCAGGCCAAAATCTACGTGTGCCTCTACAGATCCCATACTCGCGATATTGAGACAACACGACTTTTCGAACACCTTAGTCGGGCAGCAGATGACGCGCAAGAACAATTTCCCAAAGCAGAATTGGTATTTTTGGGGGAATTTAATGCTTACCACAATTTTAAGTTGTGGTTAAGTTCCTCGAAAACCAACCATGCAGGGCTCTGCTCACGCATGACTTGAAGCAACTGGTCGATCAGCCCACCAGGATTCCAGATATTTCAAGTCAATCACCTTTATTACTGGACCTTCTGCTCACGACCCATCCACAGAGCTGTCAGGTTGTGGTAAGCGGTCTCTGGGCTCTTCGAATCACTGCCCGTTATCTACCAAAGCGCCACAGGCCAAGCCTGCGCGTCCAACGGTGGTACAACGCCGGATCTGTCACTATGGGTCGGCAGATTCGAACGGTATGCGTGACAACTTTGCGTCCGTCCCTTAGAAGCAGCGCTGCTTCAGTGACAAGAACCTATCTGCCAGCGCCGTTGTTATTCTGAGGAGATTGTAATGGTACTATATTACTCATTCCAATCTCTTCAGTAAGGACACACGTAACCTCTGGTTCAATCACCACTGTGCTGAAGCTGTTTCGCGTAAGCAAGCGGCATATCGTGCTTGGATCTGAGGCCGTGCTCTTAAGGATCCCGGGGTGATTCACTAAAAGCAGCCTATAATTTTGCTTTCAAGACCTGTAAGAAGGATTACAGCGGATGCCCAGCGCGTTGCACATGTTGGTCACGAACTTATAACGCCGTGCAATAGAACTTCTGCCAGCTCTCGCTGCCACCTCTGAGATGCCCTGACGGAACACTAGCTCATAAGCCACGGGAGAAAGGCGATTTACCGGCAAAACTCTTTGCGGCTAACTCCAGACTCGATATTTGCAATGCACTGCCACCATCATTACCTCATTGTGGCACAACGATGCCTGATATTAAAATCAGGCAGCGTGAGGTTCGTGTCGAATTGCAATCACTCGGCATCCGGAAAGCTGGTGGACCTGATGGCATCCCATTAGTAGTACCAAAAAAATGTGCAGCGGAGTTGTCTTCGGCTCTCACGCGCTTGTACCAATACTCGTATTCTTTGGGGCGTGTGCCGGAGACTTGGAGAGATGCCAACGTGCAACCGGTGTCCAAAAAAGGGGATCCCTCAGACCCGGTAAACTACCGGCCAATAGCAGTCACCCTAGTATTATATAAAGTCCTAGAAAAGGTTCTTAACAACCATCTGACCCACTACCTAGAGGATGAATCCTTGATTAATGATCTTCAATATGGTTTTAGACCCAAACTATCGACGGGTGATCTTCTAGCGTACTTGACTCATATCTGGGGTGAGGCTATCGACAAGCGGGGCAAGTCGTTGGTTATCAGCCTTGACATGCCTTGACATGACAGCCAAGGCGTTCGTCAGGGTCTAGCACAGAAGCATTCTCTCCAAGCTTCCGGCATACGGTTTGCCGGCACAGATCTGTTCTTGGGTAGCTCCTGCATGAACGTAGAATTCGTGTCCTTACGAATGGTAACAGTTCGCGGTTCATGTCAGTGAATGACGGCGTTCCTCAGGGCTCCGTCCTATTCCCCACTATCTTTCTGCTGCATATCAATGACTAAAATTCCTTTTGGGAATATTCATTGCGATGCATACGATAGTACAGTGCATGCAGGGTATCTCGGACAAGCAGCGGCTGGGCAGGCGGCCAAGGAGAAACGGGAGAATCTTGTCATTGAATTCAGGCTCAGGCTTTGGACCATATTTCTGAATGGGGTACCAGGTTTGGTTGAGGAACCCAGGTCTGCGCTTTCACGGCAAAAACGTTGCCATTCCTTTCATGTCTTGGAGACCTGAACAAGGTTTATTTCAAGGTTTTTTTCGGCGTTTTTTCACGCCCGAGCAATTTAACTGTGCTTGTTGTATAAGGAGCAGGTGCGGTCTTGCGTGGAAAATTGCTCGCAACTCTGGGATGACTCCACCAAGTACTTGTCGATACCTTGGATGGGTTACAGCGGCGCGCGATCCGCATTATAGGCGATGAAGAGGTGACTAAACACCTAGAGCCTCTACAATTACGCCGTGACGTGGCGTCACTAAGCACGTTCTATCGTCTGTACCACGGCGAGTGTTCTGAGGAGTTATTCTCTCTTAGGTCGCGAGGTCCAATGAAGGAAAGGGGAAGGTGGGATTCCCCTTTCCTTCATTGGACCTCGCGCGCTGACCTACGTTGTCACCGACTAACTGTGGCCACAATTCCAACGCGTACAAAGAAATTTGTTGACTCATTTTTTTGTTGCACTATCCATAGATGGAATGCGCTGACCGCTCACGTATTCCCTCCCTCTTACAACCTGGGATTCTTTAAAAGAGGCGTGAAGAAGCAACATGCAGGCCGGCAGGGTGAGGATGGCTGGTGTGGCAGGTGAACTGCTGTATCAGCTATCGCGTCTGGACTTCACCGTTACTTATATAACTTGAGATTTTTTTATGTGGATAATCCAAACCCTACTTATAAAGGTCCACTAAAATGACGAAGCCCTTCAGGAAAAGTTACGTGGAGCCCTTGCACTTTGCTTGGCTCGTCTTGTCGTGTTGGTGGGGGGCACGGTTGCGTTGATATTGAATTCGAATTTTGAATTTATACATACTAAGTGATAGTGAAGAGGTCAGGTTAATTGGAATATCAAAAAAAATCAATGATACAAATTAGCAAATAGTGCATAGAAATAAGCTTGAGTTAACTTCAGTGACATATTTAACAAGTTTTCTAGATGTGATATTATAAATACCATAACAAAGGCTGAACAATACTGTATACTTAACAATTTAAGCAACAGTTCTCACAAGAATTCTCTGTAGGTAGGTACATTACCACAAAATAACAAATGAATCACATTCTTAGGCCCAAGTTCATCAACTGTTGTTTAACCTCCGTTCAATTAATCACCCGGTTAATTCGTAAACAATGTTTAAAGAGCCGGTTAAAAAATTACTGTTCACAACGAAAATTTTAACCACGATTCACAAATCAACCGATCGCCAGCCGTTTAGAGTGAATGAACGAATGGTATAATGTGGCTCATTTGCAAAGTCGTAGTATCTTGTCGACTCAATAGTCGACATGCTACACAGTAACATCTTAATTTAGTAGTTTAAAGTAGAATGCTACTAACTTGAAAAGTATGACAATGTGTTAACAAAGTTAAAATACTAGTAGTTTTAATTTCGGTCGGATAAAATCGTTTGCTGTCAATGTCAAAGTAAAATATATTCATTTGTGTTGTGTTTTGTGATTGTGAAGTAAGCCGGTTCGTAAGCTAAAAGATATTTTTAATTTAAAATGGAATTAGGAGGCCATAAAGCAAACAATATTTTTTTCTAGTGACGAGAAACGTATTCTTTCGGAGTTGGTTTTAAAATACCGGGACATGGTTGAAAATAAGCGCACTGCATGCTACCACGAACTCATTAAAAATGAAGGGATGGATTCCTCTTTCTGAAGAATTTAACACCATCACCACATATTGCCATCGAACACATACGGTATTAAAGTGTTGTTGGGAAAATATTAAAAAACAGACCGAGAAAGATCGGGCCGCCAGAAAAAAAGAAGTTTATTTGACTGGTATGTACTTTTAAAACTCACGTGGTGATTTATTATTTGAGGAACAGAAATCGATTTGATATAAGTTATTTTATTACATCCTACTTTTTGTTCACGTAATATATTTCGTGCCTGTTCTTTGACTCTGCAATGTGTGCTTTTTATATTTCAGGTGGCGTATTTTTAGTAAAGACAAAAACTGTTTACTGACGTTTAATTAATATTCAGTATATTGTATAATGTATTCCAGGAAAATATTGAAATAACATTTTTGTCCATGGCCGAGGTCAGACAACCGAATAATAAAGAGGATGTTGAAGTTGAGGAATCATTGAGCATATTAAATGAAAATAATGTGAGTTCAAATAGTATTTAACTAATGTGATAATGTAGTGCGTACTTTTCAGTTTTTATAGTAATTATTGCTTTTTACAGGAAGGTGAAACCTCGAGTACATGGACTCCAAATAATTTAAAAACGTCTGTTTCAGAAGAATTAAGACCTTCCAAGCTTAACGAAGAGGACTGGCTGAAATGAAGAAGACCTAAACAAGATATTGGGTGATACTCTCACAAGAGAGAAAATAAAAATTGTTAAAAATATTGCAAGAAAATGCAGAGAAAGAATCTCGTATTAGAATAAGTATTTTAGAAGAACAATAATTTTTATTTGTATTTCAAAGGTAATTTAAACCCGATAAAAGTAGTTTTATTAAATAATTAATAAATTATGGAAAATGTATGAATGATCTCCAAAAAAATTGTAATTGATCACCAAAAAATACAACTGGTAACCTAAAGGTTAGGTAAGTTGCCCTATTTATTCATTACCTTTTTTTATTTTTTTTGAGATCATTGATCTATGAGCCCCAAAATTGTTTTACTTTCGGGAATCATTATGCTCTTGTTTTACTTTCGTTGAATAAAATATGTTAGGGTAGGTAATAATAAATTATGAATTTGTTATATACGTGTTTAAATTATTTAAGTTTTCTAGTTAGATATACTTTTCTAATGTAATAAAATCCTTGAATTCTTTTAGTAATTTTGTTTGTTTTATTCTTTGTTATATTTAAGGACTCACGTTCTGTATGATTAGTTCTATTGACTTTAATTTATAATGTTTATGGCATCTTTATATGTATAAAGAAAATATACCAGTAGAATTTAAAAAACTTGTTTTTTTAATATTTAATATAATTTGAAATTAATGCTTTTCTGGTACTATCCACACTGTTAGTTACTATCCAAATTTCGCTGCTGTCTTATTCTTCCCCTTTCTAATTTTTCTTTATGGACTCTCAAGAAGATTTAGGTAGTAGTCTTGATAGTTATCAATCATAACATAAAACACTGACTGCATTTTACTTACAACTGACAACTTAGCACAACACAAAATTTTTAAAAGTCGATATAACATAAAATTGTTGTATCAACCGATACATAGCAAACGTCAATAATGTCTGACCGACAGTTAAACGATGGTTTCGAGCTCGGTTATGTTGATCAGCCGTTTAAGGGATATAACCGCCGGTTAACACGTGGTGAACACAAAAAAATGCTTAAACGGGTGTTTACGAGATAAACGCTTGTTTAAAATGTTGGTGAACTCGGCCCTTAATAAAATAGGGGCTAATAATTAACGTTGTTAAACTTCTCTCGATCATTAATATCGATTAATCGTGTAGGTTCATTATGTATCTACATTATAAAAAATCGAAAACGGAAACAAAACAATAATATCCTAATAGTTATCAATGGTATAAAATATTAAATTTGCTAAAATAAAAAAAATCTCTTCATTGTTTTACGTTTATTTACTTCTATCAAATAATACGATAAATTTCACTCCGGTAATAAGTTTGCGTCCACGGAGCACGGATCTGTATACAAACACACGCGACCCGTAGGACGCCCAGTTTCGTCTCTCCCATGCACCCAAAACGGGCCCCTCAGGTGTCGCGCGCTCTCGCAAATTAAGATGCCTACTAGATGCAAGATAATCATCGTAGAGAATTGATAAAAACTTTTTTAAATATATACAGGAAGACGCAATAAAATCTGTAAATTGAACCCGAAATATACATTGCAAAATATACACTGCACGGTAGCGCCCTCCAAATTCCGCACGGTCAATGGTTGCACTATGAAATACGTTAAAAAGCATTCTGGTGATGAAATTGAGTCCACGCCAAATTTTTGCCCATGCACTCTATGCATGAAAAGACGTCTTTACACCAAAAATGAGGCTAGGTTAATCTTGCGTCCGTATACCGGACGCATCAAGTCGGTCGGACGCAGGATCAATAGCAAAAATCGCCATATAAGACGCAACATGATCAGCAAGATGTATATATATATATATATATATATATATATATACTAGCTGACCCAGCGAACTTCGTACCGCCCTAGAAAAATAGGGGTTGTCCAGCGGACAAAATTGTGAATCTAAACCATTCTCAGATCCCCTTGAACACACACAAAAAATTTCATCAAAATCGGTCCAGTCGTTTAAGAGAAGTTCAGTGACATACACACTCACAGAAGAATTATATATATATATGTATATGTATATATACACCGTGTTCCTGAGGATATACACTAACTTTGAATAATACTTCTATAGCTATTGTTAAACATATCGTACAAAGAAAGTAGTAGTTTAATTAGCATAGTTTTTAAGTTATTGGTAATTTAAGTTTAACCAACTTCATAGTATTGTGCAGTGAGAAAGAGTTTATCTGTGAGATGTTGCCACTTTGTGCAACCAAAACTATCAACTCTTTGTCAATGGTCATTAAGTCATAGTTTCAAAAGTCCAAATTAAAAAAATACATTGTTGACGTCAAGAAAAGTTTCAAAAAGTTAATGTGGACATGTGAACCAAAGTTTCAAATGCGACATTGCCAGCTCAGGTAAATTGTAATTCATATAAGATAAATTACATCTAAGCATTAAGTTTGTATGAAAATAAAAAATGTTAAAGAAATTGGAATTCATAAAAGTGTCCATAGTAAAAAATGATCAATTCAATAGTCTCAATAACATGTCAAAGTTAGTGTATAACCTCAGGAACACGGTGTATACATGTATGTACATGTACAGAAAGAGAGAAAGAAAATGTCCGCGCGCACAGCTTTCTCTTGCTTATATCCTCTCACTCAACTCCCGTTCGCCTCGCCCTAACAAATTTCGTAATGCGTAATGTATTCGCTCCAAGTCAAGCGTGCATAAAGAAGTTTTACTTCAAAAAGCCATAAAGTTTGAATCGCTTTCATCGTTTGTTTATCAGATGAAATATTATTATTATAATGTTGTCATACTTATATTTTTTCCGTGCAGTTCGTACGCGACTACGTGCTGGTTACGTTCTTCGACAACGTAACGGCGTACGTGCCGCGCAGTTACGTCACCAAGGAACCGATCGAATCGCTGCATGCATCCTTCCATCTCGGACAGATCGTAAGTAAGACATGATCATCATCAGCCTCAAGGGCGTCGCCAAGGGGGGGCAGGGGGGGGCAGCTGCCCCCCTCCTAGAGACCAATAAATGTAGCTAGCCGCAAAGCGACCAAAGTGCGAGCAATTGACTTCCTTACCTATAATATTGCCCTATTGCAGTCATAAGCTGGCGACGCCCTTGATCAGCCTATTAATATCTCAACTGCTGGGGCACAGGCCTTCCTTATGGATGGAAAAGGGAGTTTATGCCATGATCTATGACGCCGGCCTAATGTGGATTGATGGATGCTAACGACTTAAGATTCGGCGGGGACCAACGGCTTAACGTGCCTTCCGAAGCACGGAGGAGCTCTAGTTTCTGGTCACCCATCCGCTGACTGGCCATTGCGAGTGTTACTTAAGTTCATCGATGCAAACCGAACGCGCTAACGACTTGTGACAGATACCATTAATACACAAACATTACATTTTTACATTCTGATTTTTACATACAGTAACCTTACTGCCTGTCTAGAATGAGCAACGCGACATGATATACATATTTATAGTTTTTGTCACGCTCATTTCTCAAAGTACTGTTGAGTTCAACTATATTAAAAAACCCCAGATACACTACGTGCGTTCAAAATGTGTCCCAGTCAAGAAGTGCTTGAACACCACGCAAGCACTTTTTGGTACACAGTTACGTGCGACCGTTGAAAAGTCAAGAGGCCGCAGAGCTCCTTGAAAAAATCCGAAAAAAGTGCTTATAAGACGTTATATTGTTAATTTAACACATTTGAAGCATATTATTACTAACACGTCGTAAATTTTTAATGGAAAAGTTAATAAAATAATTCTTTAACGCGTGCGTTTAAATTGAGATTTCATGCACTATACATTAAAGGTGGATTTGAATGTTCAAATAACGCCCTATATTGTTTTGACTACGCGATCATCTTACGTAGCTCCGTGGATCGTCTAATGTACCTTTTGGACAGGTTTCGGCTACTCTTTTGTTCGTGTTGTTGTATCTCTAGGGTATTAAATATCGTTGGTTAAGTTTGACAATTTGACGGGATAAAAATGTGATATTTGAGGAGCTGGCCAATAAAACGGTATAATTAATTACATAAAATCTGCCATAAAATCGCGCCAAGTCGAGCGCGAAGCAAACACTGCCGTACCATCGTTTACTGGAACCATTTCGCGGCATTTTCAAAAATTTCTCTATTTTGCATTCTGGTCTAAGGTTCCTTACTACGATTTCTTTATTATTATAGTTAATGTTGTGTGATTTGGCCGTCGAATGGTACATAAGGGTACAAAACCAGGTGCTACATGACACCATTGCACCGATGAATCCATACGTTATGTGTAAACGCAACTTTATCAAGCGTACAATTGACTGGTTATTCAATCAACGTTTTCCAAGTGGCAATTTTCCATTGTCAATGGGTAGCGATTCTGTTGACAGATTGGTGCAATGGTGTCATGTAGCACCTGGTTTTGTACCTTTGTACCCTTCAACGGCCAAGTCACACAACATTAACTATAATAATAAAGAAATCGTAGTAAGGAATCTTAGACTTGGCACGACTTTGTCTAGATTTCATTACTTTTTAGAGATCTCCATCGAGACTTGACTAGTTTTTTACAAAATGTTTATGGGGGGATATAATTATACAGGAGCTGTATATAACTGAATGACATACGTCCAGTGAGCTTTTGGCATGGTTTTTAATTTATAAATTTAGTAATTTTAACTCTGTTTTAGGCGATTTTGATTGAAAATTATTTAAGATTCGAATTCAACGGCTCCGCAGCCTCGAAACTGTAAAAAAGTAGTTTGACCAGATGCGTAATTATACCGTTTTGTTCGCCAGCTCCTCATTTATCATAACACCTGATGGGGCTGATTATAATGGAGAGTAGACACTAGAAGCGAAAAAAGAAAATGCATTTGTTTGTCATACAAATATTGACCCATAGCAAAATTACGATTAAATTACCACGGAATTTGGAATGTTCGACCATTAGTGATCAAGGAATGATCAAAAGTTGTTTATTTTTTGGAAGAGCTATTAAATAAAAATAATAAAAACTTAAATAACAACAGAAAGCCAATTACAGGTCTTCACCAATAAAAACACACTACAACATAGTTAAGCACACTTTTAACATAATAATTACAACAAAAAAGCATTGTCTTGACGTATTTGAATTTTACCATATATGATTGCTTAACGCTTCAACATATCTGATGTAAACCTATTCGTCGAAAAATGCACTGCTCAATACCAAGTGTAATTACTTATGTACTTAATATGATACACAAATTTAGTTTTTGTTTGTTTATCCAGGTCAACTGCACAATTTTACGAGTAGACGTGGAAAATAAGAAAATGAACGGTAGCTTAACAACTACGCCATTTTGGCCAGCTGTGAGTACTATTGAATCAATAAAAACATTATTGCATCAATAACTTTAGATTTTAAATATAAATATTGCTTTAATTTTACAGAGCAAACGAGAAAAAACTGGAAAAAGGAAACACGATACAGATACTAATGAAGAGTTACCGAATAAAAAACAAAAACAGACGGAAGTTGAAGAAGAATCGAACAATAGAAAGAAAAAGAAACAAACAACCGAACAGGAGGAACTCAAGGAATTGGACACTAGCGAAGAATGCATGAATGAAAATGAAGGGCAAAAAAAGAGAAAGAGAAAGAAATCTAAAAGCTTTGATGAAAAATTGGATAATATAGAACCTGAAATAGAACAAGGGAAGAAGAAAAACAAGAAGAAGGATGTCAAAGAACAGATGGAGAGTGAAGAAAAACACAAAGCGTCGGAAGAGAGCGATGCTATAGAAACGGACATATACGAAGACAGCGACCACGTTCTGGCACCTCAAGATTTATTCCTCATAGATTTGTCAGATTGTGACGACGCGCACAAATGCAAAAGAAGGATAGTGTCTTTAACAAAAAATATAAACGCACGAGCGAGACGAATAGATAAGATAAATGAAAAGATTGTCAGAATAGAAAATGTAGGATTAAGTGCAAAGAATAAAAAATACCACACAGCTATGCATACAGAAAAATTGGTAACAGAAGAACGTATCAAGAAATTATTAGAAGCATTGAAGAACGCTCAGGAAAAGTTGAAAGGGTTAGGTTATGAGGGAGAAGATAGTAAAAAAGAGAAGAAAATTAAAAAGAAATCTGAAGACGCCGATGTTAAAGAAGAGATTAAAGAAGAAGAGGAACCGGACAAAAGAAATGTTAAAGACTCAAAAGAGAGGAAAGAAAAGAAGAGTAAAATTAAAGTAGTGGAGAATTTAGAGCCGGTATTAGAAGTTCCGAGTGCTAAAGACTTTTGGTCTGTGAACACTGATGAATCCACAAAGAAGACACAAGAAGAAAACTCCAGCAGCAGCGATGAGGAGGTAAGCGCTAATGGCTGGGATTTATTTATATATATATTGTTGATTGATTATTTTCACTTAATATGTGTAGGCAGTTAAAGAAATTTGAGTATAATTTGCTTCATTTTTCCTCATGATTTCTTGTCAAAATGTGCATATTCGAAAGTACTCAGTATTAGCTTTTTGAAGTATCAGCTGGGTTTTTGGGTTTAAATATCAAAATCTAGGAGCAAAATTGCGGTTTGCCGCTTGGACGAGAATTAAATTTATTGGTGTTTTTTTACCATTTACTAGAAGTTTAACTAGAAGAAATTTAATTCAACCCAAGCGTCAGTTGTAATCGAAGAACGCACATCCTTCGCTATGCGACCGTCGCATACACTGACCTTTATATTAAAGAGACCTTAACAGACTATGTCCAATTTCTTCTAGTATTACTTAGGCTACAAAGCAACCTTTACACATTGTTGTTAATCTACAATGTCAAAGGAAATTACAAAAACATCATTTATAATAAAGAGAAATATCTATTCATACAAAAATATCGACTTAACTTTGGGAATATGTCGCCGCAATGAAGCCGCAAAGTCGATGTTTGATATGGTTTTCCCTAGTAAAACTAGCTCGCCCTTCCCAATGATTTAAATGAAATTAGTTTTGTATAAGGTTTGGTTAGGGTTCTAAGAGCATATTCATAAAATGTATTCTCCAAGTAAATAAAGAACAAAAAAAAATTATAATAGTGTATTTGACAGTGTTAAAAATAAAGTGTCAATTGTTAGCATCTGTATTTAGAATGAATATTGGCAGGGTTTTTTGTATTTTTACAAAAACATATTCATAATTTTAATAAAAACCAACGAAAAAGATAATAGTTTTCTTATGTATTGTCACGTGACCCAAAACGCTTGGGATTGGCGGAGCCTAAAATGACGTAAAACGCAAGTAAACTTCCGGTTAAAGTGACATTACATTGTATCGTATGACGTTTTAATTACAGTCGTGTGACGTCACACGCTAGTAAGACGCCATATTGTCCAGAGAAACGTTTTCGCGGCAACTTGAAATTGGAGTTTTTGATTTGGTTATTTTTACTGAAATACACAACAGAATGATGAATATCCACTTTTTACGGACTCTATAAACATTAGTCAATAAAGTGAGATCGTTTTCTAAAACTTGTCAAATACCCTATTTTTAACCATTTCAAAATTTACAACAGGAAAAAGAGCAACCCAAAAAGAAGCGGAAGAAGCTAACAGTGGCCGAGAAGTTAGCTAAGGCTCGCCAAGAAGAGGAGCACGTGCGCTCGCTCGAGCGACGAGCGATCGAGAGCGACGCTCAGCCGCGCTCCAGCGATCAGTTCGAGCGAGCGTTGCTAGCGAGCCCTGATGCTAGCCAACTATGGATTGCGTATATGGCCTTCCATCTACAGGTCAGTTTATAAACGCCGTTTCGCTCGCACTGCGTTGAAGTGTATAATGCAATTCAAATAAGAATAGGAAAGCCAATGACCTCCATCTGTCAAATGTCGCATGAAAAGTACGGTTTGCAAAAAATCTCGGAACACTTTTTTAGCACCCTGCTAATTCTAGATTAAAAACCAAACATTTTTTAACAAACAATAACAAAATTGATAATTAATATGGGTTGATATTTTCTTTTCATTTATTGAGCTTTGGCTATGGATGGTTCGTAACCTTAATCGTCAACCAAATGTCATTTTATGTTGCGTTCAGAAACTCGATTTAAAACTTTCGTTTACCTGCATGATTATTCATAACTACTCCGGCGGTAATGCAGAGATGAGCGGAATTGAAGAACTCTTAATAAAGAAATATTATTAAAAATTGGTTGTTTTTTTCTCAATCTTAGTAAATTAATTTTATTAAAATATCTCATGTTTTTTCTCACTTAATCTTAGTAAATAAGTTTTATTAAATAGAAACTTTTTTTCCTCACTCTACCTATTTGGTTTGAATTGACAGCAATGACGTCAAAATATGGCGCCCAGTCGGTCCTATTCTTAGTTGAATCTCATTATACAGTTCTGACTAGCTCGCTTGATTGAATGTTTATTTACAGACGTATGCGTGTATGAGAGTTGCTTTTGTAGTTAAGTCGGCTCATATCTTATTTGAGGAGAGAGAGGAGCTAGAGGACGCAGGTGGTTAGCTCGTTCGGCTGCGATCGTTGTAGTTAAGCAACTTTCGCAGTGGTCGGTCATTGGATGGGTGACCAAAAATTTTTATCTCGAGTTCTTCCGTCGGAAGGCACGTTAAGCCGTTGGTCCCGGTTGCATCTGCAATCGTTAGCACCCGCCAATCCGCACTGGGCCCGCGTGGTGGGTCATGGCCAAATCTCCCTATTCCATCCATAGGGAAGGCCCCAGCAGTGGGGACATAAAGAGGCTGATGATGATGATATCTTATTTGATGCTAGTATGAGCGTACCGTATCTTCCCTTTCAGTTTTAATCTTGACGACCTCCGTGGCCGAGTGGTTTGTACGCCGGGTTTCTTGGTGTCGCCGACTCGAGAGGTCCCGGGTTCGAATCCCGATGGGGGCAGATGTTTGTGTGATGAATACGAGCATTTGTACTCCAGTCATGGATGTTTAATATGTATTTCTATATAAATATACTTATATATGTACAGTATATGTATTCTATCCGTTACCCTAGTATCCCATAACACAAGCCTTATAGTGCTTACTTTGGGGCAAGGCTAATTGGTGTGAGTGTTGGTAATATTTATTATTATTATTTATTTATTATTTATCTTAGCCAAATTGTATTCGTTCTCCAGGCGACAGAGATAGACAAGGCCCGCGCGGTGGCGCGTCGTGCGCTGAGTACGATCTCATTCCGGGAGGAGGACGAGAAACTCAACGTGTGGCTTGCGCTACTGCATCTGGAACACCGGTTCGGCACCAAGGTAACTCATCCACGATGCCATGTTATCTATATATATATACTAGATGACCCAGCGAACTTCGTACCGCCCTAAAAAATAGGGGTTGTCCAGCGGACAAAATTGTGAATCTAAACCATTCTCAGATCCCCTCGAACACACACAAAAAATTTCATCAAAATCGGTCCAGTCGTTTAAGGGAAGTTCAGTGACATACACACTCACAGAAGAATTATATATATAACTAGCTGACCCAGCGAACTTCGTACCGCCCTAAAAAAATAGGGGTTGTCCAGCGGACAAAATTGTGAATCTAAACCATTCTCAGATCCCCTTGAACACACACAAAAAATTTCATCAAAATCGGTCCAGTCGTTTAAGAGAAGTTCAGTGACATACACACTCACAGAAGAATTATATATATAAAGATATATATATAAAACTCAAAGGCGACTGACTGACATAGTGATCTATCAACGCACAGCCCAAACCACTGGACGGATCGGGCTGAAATTTGACATGCAGGTAGATGTTATGACGTAGGCATCCGCTAAGAAAGGATTTTGATCGATTCTACCCCCAAGGGGATAAAATAGGGATTGAAAGTATTTATGAAACTTTGTCAATTTTAAACCGGTCGGGCTGAGACTTTGCATGCAGTTATAAGAAGAATCATCAGATGAATGTCATTGTGTATAATACAAGCCTGAGAACAAAACCTGTAGTTTACACTTCAGCTCTACACCGAAGCGAAGCGAGGGCGGGCCGCTAGTCTATACATATAATAGGGATTGGAATCTCGAACTTCTCTTAGGGATAAATTTAAAGAAATAGTTATAATGACTGTTGCCTCTCAATACATTTACAATTGTATATTTTTTGTGCGACAGAACATAAATTTATATACGAGGCGCGATGATGTCAACGATATTAAATACCCTAGATACACCAACACGAACAAAATCGTGCCCGAAACCTGTCCAAAAGGTACATTGAACGATCCACGGCGCTCCGTAAGATGATCGCGTAGTCAAAATCAATATAAGGCATTATTTAAATATTGAAAGTAACCTTTAATACATACTGTATAAGCTCTTAAATAAAACGCATGCGTCAAGGACTTCTGACAGTTCGAAATGCAAGCTCGTAAAATTTGACGACTTATTGCTATATGCGGAAGAATTTAGACCTTATTTCTTTGACTTTACGCGCAATTCTTAATGCGCTGTTAGCAATATAGCAGGCACAGACCGCGAGGAAAAGAGACGGCTATATGGCGACGTATAACCGACCATGCAGTTGAATATCACAAATATTTTATATTAAATCAGTTTATAGTAAGTATTAGATCAAAATTTACTTCAAATGCGTTACATTAACAAACATTGACTAGATATCTGTCGAAAAAACGTCAAAATAGGGCGTAAATAACACTTTTCGTACTCTAAGTATTATTTTCGCATTATTTCGCGGAGCTCTCCAAAAGGTTCTTGGTTCATTTGTGAGTCAAGGTAAATGTTACTATAATAAAATACCAAAACAAATAATCAATTTACCTTTTAATAAGTTTAAAGTGTGCATATAAACATGCACAACACGTCTCCTTAAGAAAGGTTACTATGCTGTTAAAGATTTCATAAATGATAAGTCACCTTGGCCTTAATATAATAGACTAAGTCATTTTACTTTGCTAATTTGGTTGAAAATTGTTTAATCTCCACTTCTAAATTTAAAAATAGTACCTTTTATATTTATTTATTTTTAATTAATAATATTAATGTGATGGAAGTTGACATCAACACATGTTTTAAATTTTTGATGTCATCTTTCAATTGACGACACTGTATGAAACAAAACAGGGAGAAAAAAATAGCCCTTGCTGAGTTTCTTGCCGGTTCTTCTCAGTACAAGGTCTCCCGCCGTAGATTTACGAACCGATGGCGTAGCGTTTGACTTTCACAAGAGCTTGTAACAGCCTAGACTGAATAAATGAGTTTGAGTTTTTTTGGGTCTTAAATAAAATGGTGAGAAAGTCAAAACTGTACATTGAATAGTTTTTTAAAAGAATACTTTTGGTGTAATGTACAATCAATACCGAAGCCATAAATATAGTTTTTAGAATTTTTGTCTGCTTGTCTGTATGTATGTCCGGGATAAACTTAAAAAGTACTGCATGGATTTACTTCAAATTTGGCACGAATATTAATAAGAAGTCGGATCAACATATAGGCTACATGTTATCACGAAACTCCATCCACTAAGGGGGTAATACGAGGGTTGGAAGTTCGTATGAAAGTCCTATTTTTTTGAAGTAAGAGACTTGAAATTTAACATGTATGCTCTATAGATGGCGTAGTGGTGTACTAATAATGTATCTTTAGAAATAAACCCGCTTTTGGGGTCAAAAAGTATGTGCATATAACTAACTCCACGCGTACGAAGCCGCGGGCGGCCGCTAGTAAGAAAATAAAGAAAATATTACTAGAAAAAAATCCACGCGGATCAGGCAGCAGACGGGACTCGAACCCGCATTCTTCGCTATCCGGACACGAATGCACTGACAATTATGCTACCGCGGCCTTGATGGCCGCGTCGAATTCTTTCTAGCCTTTCTGAAGCTGCAAGGCAGCGCCATTTCATTGTGGGTTACCTACAATGCGAAGAAATGGTGCTGCCTTAAACCTAGCATTTAAGTTTTGATTTGACGGGCTCTAGCAAAAACTGAAGTTACTTAGAGCAGATAGTTTCTACGTAGTTTTGAAGCTGATTTATTACCCATCTATTTCGTGTGTTTTTTTAAATATATTATTATTGCTCAACCTAACATTATATCCCTGCTACAGACCGATGAAACTTAAGTGGGTCGATAGATGTTTCCGGGAGTGTATATCAGGGATGTAACGGAGGTAATTTATCGGAACCGAAGTCGGAGTTTTTAAAATTGGTTTATCGGAGTCGGAACCGGAGTCGGAGGCAGAGTCAGCAGGAGACACAAGAGAGATATGTTTAATTTAAAAACAAAAAAAAACATCATTCACTCAACCTTTTTTCATATTAATTATAGAATAACCATTTTTCATTTAAATTTACTAATTATTAACACAGACTCCCAATGCGACGGATATGAACCAGTTCGTAAAGGTCGACACAGGCCGTCGTCGCTATTTGATATGCTTCGACCTCCGATTTAAAAGTATCGGAGCCGAAATCGGAACCGAAGGTGTAATAATAATCGGAAGTTCCTGCTTATCGGAATCGGAGTCGAAGCTCCGTGACATCCTTGGTGTATATACAGTTACCAATAAAACTTTCATTAATATATATTCCATAATCCTTTTTTTTTTTCATAACAGGAGTCCCAACAAAAAACCCTTGAAGAAGCTCTGCAAACCAACGAACCGTACAAAGTTCACTCGAAACTCTTAGACATATTGGTAGATACGGGCAAGGCGCAAGAACTCAACTCGCTTGTAGAACTCATGATGAAGAAGTATAGACGAGATTGTTCTATGTACCCTCTTTGTGGGAGTGCTTGCTTCAAGCTGGGTTTAGTAGATAAGGCGAGGAGCGTCATGCAGAAAGCTCTCACCGCCTTGGAGAAGAAAGAACGTGAGTGAACTTCTTTTACGTATTTATTTCTGTCTGTCTGCGTTTTTATTCATATCTTATATTTATGTTTTCATTTATTTTTTAACCATTTAACGGCTAGATGTTTAAATCTAAAGAAAAGTTTTTACTAGAAAAAAATCCACGCGGACCAGGCAGCTGACGGGTCTCGAACCCGCATCCTTCGCAATCCGGGCGAATGCACTGACCAACTATGCTACCACGGCCCTGATGGCCGCGTCGAAATTTTCCTAGCCTTAAGCTGCAGGGCAGCGCCATCTCTTCGCATTGTAGGTAACCCACAAAGCCGTGGTAGCATAATTGGTCAGTGCATTCGCATATCTTATATTTTCGAATGGCAATTTTCAGTTACAATCAATGTTGCCAGATCTTTAAAGCAATATTTCCGTAATTTTCATTGCCAAATTCCGTATGAAATTCGTATCAGGAAGTTACACGCGTGAAGTCAAATTTTACTTTTAAATCATAATTTAATACAAAAGAACCGTATCATAAACATAATCGGCCATGCCACTGTGTTGCTCAGTTCTGTTTTGTTCGGAAAAAAGCGGGACATAATAATTTTTCTTAGCTCAGCTTTTAAATAACTGACATTCATTGCCACGTAAATCATATTTGCCATAATATGAAATGAAATGAAATGAAAAGTCATTTATTCAGTCTAGGCTGTTACAAGCACTTGTGAAAGTCAAGAAGCTACGCCATCGCAAAACAACGGCGGGAGACCTTGTACTGAGAAGAACCGGCAAGAAACTCAGCAAGGGCTGCTTTTTTCTCCCTATATTGATATATACAGAGTCCTCAAGTTGAAAAATGACTTCAGACATACTTCTGAATTCACCTTCCATTACATTATTTAGGGTATAGATATATAGTTACAACAAATTTTATATTTAGTATATATAGGAAGCGGCATTAGATAGGTACCATACTACTGTTACAAAACTGACTCATACCCATCAAATAAGAAATTACAAGAAACACTATGTCCATGCATTACGATCATTTAGATAATCATTAACTTTATAATAGCCCTTATTCATAAGAGTATTCTTAATCTGAGATTTAAATTTGGTTAGTGGAAGCTCAATCAGATCTTGGGGAACTTTGTTAAACAATGCAATACTACATCCCAGAAAGAACCTCTTGATTTTTAGAGTCTGAAACATGGAACGGCAAGCTTGTTCTTAAATCTCGTGTTAAAGTTATGGGTTTGACTTTTTTTTGCAAATGCGTCATAGTTTCTTCTTACATATATTATATTTTCATAGATGTATTGCGATGCCAGTTTTAAAATATTAATTTCTTTAAATTTATCTCTAAGAGATTCTCTTGCCTTTAAATTATATATGGCGCGAACAGCTCTCTTTTGCAGTACGAAAATACTTTCAATATTAGCAGCTGAGCCCCACAACAAAAGGCCATATGACATAACGCTATGAAAGTAACCAAAGTAAACCAATCTTGCCGTTTCCACATCAGTTAGGAGTCTTATTTTTTTAACAGCGAAGGCCGCAGAGCTCAGTCTACTTGATAAGGCATCAATATGAGGATCCCATTGCAGATGCGAGTCTTTAGACTCCACTTACTTTAGTAATACCCAGAAACTTTGTAGAATCCACTAACTCTACAGGCTGGTCATTTATTTTTAAACTAGTATTAACCTGCCTCACATTAGGTAAAGTAAACTTAACACATTTTGTTTTGCATAGGGTATTTGACAAGTTTTAGAAAACGATCTCACGTTATTGACGAATATTTATGGAGTCCGTAAAAAGTGGATATTCATCATTCTATTGTGTATTTCAATAAAAATAACCAAATCAAAAACTCCATTTTCAAGTTGCCGCGAAAACGTTTCTCTGGACAATATGGCGTCTTACTAGTGTGTGTCGTCACACGACTGGTATTAAAACGTCAAACGATACAATGTAATGTCACTTTAACCGGAAGTTTACTTGCGTGCGACGTCATTTTAGGCTCCGCCAATCCCAACCGTTTTGGGTCACGTGACAATAGATAAGAAAACTATTATCTATTTGGTGGGATTTTAGTAAAATAATGAATATTTTTTTTTTGTTAAAATAGCAAAAACCCCTGCCAATATTCATTCTAAACACAGATGCTAACAATTGACACTTTATTTTTAATACTGTCAAATACCCTATTTCTCGACCACTTCTCATCATAGTTGCTTTCATTGAATTAAAAGTACATAATTAACTATTTCAAAATTGTTATCGATGCCAAAATGTTTGCGATGAGAAATAAACGATTTTATTATTATTGACTATAACTGCCGAGCGATCTCGATTTTTCTCCACCTTACGCCGATTAAAAACATATATTCGCAACAGGATCACAGAACAGCGTTTAAATGTATTTGCTTTAATGCATTTGCAATCCATCAAGACGTTGCGGCAAAAACGGTACGCTAATGAAGTACTGGCTTTGAGGAGCTCGATGGCGCAAGTGGTTAGCGCATTCGGCTGCGGTCGTTGAAGTTAAGCAACTTTCGTAGTGGTCATTGGATGGGTGACCAAAAATTTACTATCTCGAGCTCCTCCGTGCTTCGGAAGGCACGTTAAGCCGTTGGTCCCGGCTACATCTGCAGTCGTTAGCACCCACCAATCCGCACTGGGCCAGCGTGGTGGGTCATGGCCCAATCTCCCTATTCCATCCATAGGGAAGGCCTGTGCCCCAGCAGTGGGGACATTAATAGGCTGATGATGAATGAAGTGCTGGATATCTTAAGCAGGAAACATAAGAGAAAACTGTCTTTATTAAACATTTAATTTTTCTATTGTTTTGACAATTTTATAAACCTTCCTATACATACTTGAATTGTTGATTTTTTTGCCCATGCGCCACTTGTGCCGCTCCCAGAAAAGAATCCTGGATCCGCCCTTGACTCATTCTTTTGTTTCTTTCTATAGATGTGTCAGTGCTAGTCCAATTCGCTCTTCTTGAACGTTCCCTGGGCGAGAGGGAACGTTCCGAAGCGTTGTTTGAGCAGATCCTCGCCGTTTATCCGCAGCGGGTCGACGTGTGCGCCGTCTACGTCGACATGATGCTGAAGGCCGGCGAATATGATCATATCAGGTTAGTTATCATTAAATATTACCAACACTCACACCAATAGGGTATTTGATAAGTTTTAGAAAACGATCTCACGTTATTTACAAGTGTTTATGGAGTCCATAAAAAGATGGATATTTTTAATTCTGTTATGTAATTCGGTACAAAAAACTAAATAAAAAATCATTTTTCAAGTTGCCGCGAAAACGTTTCTCTGGACATTATGGCGCCTCACTAGTGTGTGACGTCACAGGTGAAACGTCAAACCATACACTTTGGCCGGAAGTTCACTAGCGTGTGACGTCATTTTAGTCTTGACCAATCCCAGGCGTTTTCGGCCACGCAACCATGGAGCAAAATAAATATTTCTATGTCATGATTTTATAGAAAAGTAATTAATTATTTGATCTTTCAGAATAGTAAATTCGCTAATATTCATGTTCAATACAAATGGCAACAATTGGTTTACACAAAATTACCATTTTGTTACAACTTGATTTTTGGCGGACCAAACTAAAAAAAACTCTATGATCAGTTCCAATACTTTATCTTATAGAGCGCTTCATTTAGAAAAGGTTCTATCTATTTGTGATTCTTCAGATGAAAGGCGATATGACCGACACTCATTATCTTAGCATAAGAATTAAATTGTCTGTCATTGGCATATTTAGAGCTAGTTTCCAGGAGTAGAAGAGTGTTTGCCTCTGAGAAAAATAGCAATCAATTTTATAAATTCCAATCCCGTAATAAGTATTGTTAATCAATAAGTCTTTTTATTACAGGCAAGTTATGGAACGGATAACATCACAGAAGTTACCAGCACGAAAAATGAAGATATTGTACAAGAAATGGGTAGAAGTGGAAGAAAAAATAGGTGATCAAGAAAAAGTGGAAGAAATACGACAACGAGCACTGGAGTACATAGAGAAAGCAAAGTTTTAGACAATAAATAAATTATTCTCTGAATCTATGGTTTAGTTTTCATTTGATAAGATAATGAGTTGAGAGATCTATGGGCGGCAGGCTCCGAGGGCAGACAGAAGCTGTTCAGGCACGGTATTTCTTATTATGTGGGTAAACTACAAATCCACGACTCAACGGTAACGGGCGCTGCTGTCACTGGCACTTTACCTCTCACGGCGGCGCGAGCGCACACAAGAGTTGCTGGACTATATTTCGTAATATCGATTTTCGGTGGATTATCGTTAATAGTTATAAGTGAACTGCTTAAGTTGTCTCGTATATCAAATAATATTAGTGGAACAGCTGTATTTGAAATTGGTGCACAATAAGGACTCTGAGTGGGTGACCACGTGGACACGTAACGCTTCCAGCACGAGCTCATACTGGCGATGTCAAGGTGAGTGGTTTACTTCGTAGTGGGGAATCCTGTGCCTGAATTTTACCAATAGAAGCGGTAGGATCAGCGACCAAACCAACTTGTTCTCGTGGCCTATCGAAGGGGTTCTAGCGAACAGAAGCCATATTAAGGCATTCATTACTAGCACGAACCATTATCGAATTCGAACAGTTTGCGAGTGCGAAATGTAAATGTCAAATTTTGTATAGAAACTTGAACAGCACCGCCACAAAGTACGTATCGAGGACTTAAAATCAGTGCTCATTTGACAATGACATTTAGGACTCTTAAACGTTACGAATTCGATATTGATTCGTGCTAAAGGTACTGTACACCTAGCGCGAACCATTATCGAATTCGAATAGTTTGCGAGTGCGAAATGTCAATGTCAAATTTTGTATAGAAACTTGAACAGCAGCGGCACAAAGTTCGTAACGGAACTAAAAATCAGTACACATTTGACAATGACATTTCGGACTCGCAAACGTAACGAATTCGATTTTGATTCGTGCTGAGGGTACTGTACCCCTAGCACGAACCAATATCGAATTCGTATCGTTTGCGAGTCCGAAATGTCAATGTCAATCTATTCGAATTCGATAATGGTTCGTGCTAGGGGTACAGTACACATTTGACAATTCTAGGGGTACTGATCTATAATTTGATTTGATTTACTAATTATAGATTGGAGTTATTGATTTTACTTATAATGTAATATTCAGCTCTCAATGAGAACTATATATTTGTGCCGTTTGGTGTTGAGACCATGGGCCCATGGGGTCCAAGCGCTCGTTCCTTTTTTAGGTGATCAAAAGGCTGGCAGCTATCTTGGTCAACGGATCAGCCTTGCCATTCAACGTGGCAATGCTGCCAGCTTATTGGGCACCATCCCTGACGGCGGCGATGGGGGTGACTTATTTTTTATTTTGTAAATAGGATGTTATTTATAAGTAGGTTTAGGAAATTTGTATTTAAATATTATTTATTTCTGTACACATATAATTAAAAAACTTATAATGTAATTAGAATTATGGGAAAAGAAAACTAAAATTTTTTTCGCACAAGTTTTATGAACATATAAAATCATCAGAGAAACTTGAACATAAAAGTCTTGTTACTCTTAATCGTAATATTATTATTATTTACATTAGCTGACGGCACTGGTGGGGGTGGCGGAGGTGGTGGTACTCCCTCGTTCGGAGTACTCGTTGCTGGCACACAATTTTCGATCTTATTACTAGGGCGTTCTAACTTAAAACCGTTTGGCTTACAACCGTAAATAGATACAGGTTCGCAAATAACATAACCTAACTTTGTATAAAAATTCTCCTGTCCCTTAGTAGATAAATAAACTTTCTCTAAGTTCAATGTGGTTTTACAATATTCCTCCGCTTTTCTCATCAAGTAACTACCTAATTTCTTGCCACGCAACTGTTTGCTTATAACTACTGTTTCTATAAAACAACTATTGGGTATGGCCGGTATGGGGGTTAGTTTGCAGTGTCCTAAAATATTCTTTTGATCGTTGGTCAGTATTAAGCTGGTGGGTAAAGCATCACAGGAGGCTTGGAGGGACATCATCCTCGCAGTTTCGCTGCGAGGCCATTCGTCGTTTATGAGTTCGCAGCATGGTCTCAGGAACTCAGGATGATTGTGCAGTAATAATACATTCAGGTTTCCGGTTTCAATAAAGTCCATTGTTGCTGTAAAAAAATGGTAATGTTTAAGTATCCATAAGTCACAGTCAGAGGCGGCGTAAGGCGTGGGCGACGTGGGCCACCGCCTACGGCCTCGCGGTACAAGGGGCCTTGCGCCTCAAAAATTGTTATGCATTGCTTAAAATCGTTTTTTTTTTATAAAATCCGTCTTCAGGTCGCCACAGAACAGGGCCTCGCGAAATCTGTCTTGCCCACATCAAATTTAGGTCTTGCCCGCCACTGGTCACAGTGTTTGAAACACTAGCCTATGCTGGACTGGGAGTGAAATAAAAACATAATGTACCAACAGCTAAGTTTCTAATACAGATAGTCTGGACTCAATGCCCACTTTAGAAATAATTTTGCAAACCCCAGATTTCAGTTTCATACAATTTGAAAATTAATTTAGTAGGAATGTAAGTTTAACTGGGCTGGTCCCCGTAAGAAAACTTCTAGAAGACCCGCTGAGCTGCTACGAAGATATAAAAGCATTCGTTACTGATCTATATTTTGATTTGAGATTTACTTATTCTAGGGAAAGCGCAAATGCAAGCCTTTGACTTGGAAAATTCTCTAGTTACGCCCATGCTTAAATCTAAAACATCTTACTACATAAATATATAAATCCTGTAGGATTTAGAACAGTAATTGTCTTCATTATAACGAATAAAATTACTGTCCACACACACATATGTTATCAATTAATTTTTATTTTAGGTGAATGATAATCTTGCTGGACTTAATTTATAATTATTATAAAGGGCAACTATTTTCTTATGCTGTTATTCATTCAATGTCACTGAGAGTTTTTGGCGGGATTTCATCGAGTGCGGTTGGCGTCTTAATTGAATTATTCTTAAATTCGTTTGTTAGTAGATATTGTGAAATAAATATGGTGGGTTTTGTGTTACAACCATCTGCGCAACTGAAGATTTAGTGGAATCTTTAAAATATACGCTATTGCGGTCAAGTGGACGTGAGAACATTATTGTAGTTTTGACTTCCTCACAGAAGCTTATCGAAAAAGCCAACTCGATGCATTTCGTGCCAAACTCTACAAGAAACAGATTAGGATGCGTCACACCGACATTCTAATGTAAAAAAAAGATTTATATAACTAAAGTCTAGGCTGTATGGACATTGTTCCCTTTGCCTTCCTTAAAAGGGAGAATCTTAAAAAAATCAGTCAGTGTTAAATTGCTGTCAAATGAAAGAAAAAGGAAGACTTTATTTTTAATCCATGATTATATGAATAAATAACTCGATAAAAAGCAACATAAATTTAAAAGTTTAAAGCACAATTTACTCACCTTATTAGTTTCACACATTTTCATTAGCATCGTTTAGTAAATCACTTGGTAAGTAACATTTCGCCACTATGTTATTGTCGTAACTTCTTGCTTTCATGAAAGTCTGACCGAAACTAACCTATTTTTATCGTCTGTCAGAGTTTCAAAACAACCGCTTGCATAGCCTCTCCTTGCTTAATGTTGGTCGTTTTGAAATTGAGACTCGTATGAGATAATACTACATTTAAAGCATGGTCTATTAAATTCACTTTAATTTACCTTTTAATTAAGAAATGTACGATAAACTATAGGATTTTTGGCTTATTCATAGCTTTAATTCGGAAAGGTAGATTAATAACCCCTTCTCTCCTTGTATTATCCTTATGGAAGGTTTGATACCTAGCAATGGGGACATCATTAATGATAATACATTTATTGCTCAACAATAATAACCCTAATTTCCATGATAATAATCCTGTGTTACAGAAATCAGTGTCTTCTCCCAAAGATATCTTAAAAACTAGATCAATAGGCTGATGACCATGCCATGCTATATTTTTATTCAGTATCTCTAATCTTATCTCTCATATTATTGGTCTGATGAAAAATATGCAAGCTTTACATTTGACAACCTCTGTATTACTATTGTATATTTTATGTTTGTATCTCATAACCCCTCGGCTGTCGAGCCTCAGTCAGACGGTGAAAAAAAATATGTACAGATCTGTGTACTAATCGCCAGACGGCAAGTGGACGGTTGGGAAGGTTGGGAACTTCACATAAGTGAAATATTAATAAATTGGACTTAAGCTTCTTGGGTTAGAGCTCAAAATAATATTGAAGAACCAACCTAACGGTTTGTTTAAAGATTGACGTAGCATTCCATAGCCAAAACCAAAAATATTTACATATGAAGTTAGTCGACGGTTCGTCGTCAACACTGCCGCGTCTTTTGCGTTTAATTGTGGAAGTTTAAGTTAAAATTGTGATAAATTTCCTAGGAAATTATTGAAGGGTGAGATAATTATTACCAGATATGTAGTCTGTGAAGTGTTAAACTTTTGATTTTGGGTGAAACTTTTGATTTTGGACCAGAGGTAAGTTTGCACATGCTCGATTACGTTACAAAAAAACAAAGGTTATTTGTTGCGATGATTGGTTCACAATATCAATAAATAGCAAGTAAATATCTTTAAGATTAAATAGTTAAACAAATTTTATATATGCTTCATACAATAATCTCGAGAAATATGATTTTAAAGACACCGAGTGCCGTCATGTTGCTCCCTCCCTGTCTTACGATAGGGGGCGCGACAGATAACGCATCATCGCGATTATTGCGTTCGACAGCCGAAGGGATAACACAATGCTTACTGTTCTTATTTTGGGGCTAGGCTAATTTCTGCGAGTGTTAGAAATATTTATTAAAAACCTTAAAAAATAAAATAAAATAACTAAAATACATTATTAAAAGGAGTCCCTTTTTGCAAATACAAGGGTCTAGGCTCCGAATATGATTTTGTCCCATTTGGTGTCGAAACCCTTGGTCTGTGGGGTCCTAGCGCTATAAGGCTTTTTAAAGAAATAGCAAAAAGATTAGTCGACATCACAGGAGACCGAAGAGCTGGCAGCTACCTCGGACAAAGAATTAGTCTAGCTATCCAAAGGGGGAACGCTGCCAGTATCTTTGGAACCTTGCCTAAAGGGACTCCTTTTAATAATGTATTTTAGTTATTATATTTTATTTTTTAAGGTTTTCAGTTTTAGGTTCATTGTTAAATATTATATATATAATTTTTTTAAGCTAGTATTAGATAATAGTATATTTAATAAAAACGTGATATGAATTATAATACACACATCAAAAGTGTCTAGGGATCAAGCATTTTTATGCGGATTTCTTGAGATTGAGATGTGGCTTTGTAATAAATTTATGATTTTATAAATTTATATGGATCCTTTTTGGTGCATTTCATAATTTGAATCAGGAACTGTGAATCAAATTCGAGTAAAAGATGAAAATCAGCTGTCAATATTTTCCCTATAAAAACATACAACGCATTGAAGACATTATTAGTGCTACTGTTTCCCTACTACTGATTAAAACCAACGTTATTATGGAGCGGCGACGTCATTTAAGCAGGGAAGAAATGCTCAGAGCCGTGGGAATGATAGAAGCTGGTTCCCGGCAACGTACTGTGGCTTTAGCTCTGAATACAAGTCAGAGTGTTATCAGTCGACTTTGGACAAGATACCGAAGCACTGGTACCGTGGCTGAGCGCCATGGAGGACGGTATCGCTGCACCACACGGAGACAAGACCGATACATTCAAATCTTAACTCGAAGAGCTCCAACAATAACCGCCATGATGTTAGCCGTGAGGCTTCATCACTCTTCAGGGAACTTAATTAGCGACCAAACAGTCAGAAACCGCTTGCATGAAGTGAACCTTCATTCCCGAAGACCGCTACGGGTACCACCTATAGCAATGCACAATCGTAGGATTCGATATCAATGGGCTCTTGAACACAGAAATTGGGCAGAAGAACAATGGCGTTTCGTGTGCTTTTCTGATGAGTCTCGTTTTGGTATGAGACCGGATACAAGACGTATACGACACTGGAGAACCCCTGGACGCTAACAGCGATTAAAATCCTGCCAGGAAGTCCATCCTTATAGTGGTGGAACCATCATGGTATGGGCGGGTATTTGGATCGGCGGAAGAACTGAGTTGATTTGGATCAGAGGCAACCTCAACGCTCAAATTTATGCTGAGACGATTGTATCAGAGTCATCGTTCCTCTACAAGTGCAAATCGGTCCCTTATTTCAGTTAATGCATGATAATGCACGACCGCACACCGCAAGAGTTGTAAGACAGACTCTCGCTGCAGCTAACATCAATGTCCTGCCCTGGCCTGCTCAGTCGCCAGACTTGAACCCGATTGAGCATGCATGGGATATGCTACAGAGAAGAGCTCTGCCGAATATGGAGGGTATCCAGTCGCAAGAAGACCTTTTTTTGTTGTTGCAACGAACATGGGCGGCTATTCCACAGCGTGATTTGGATGAACTCATTTTGAGTATGCCAAACCGATGTTCTTGTGTTGTTAGTGTTTGCGGTAGAAATACGGATTATTAATTGTTTAAGTTACCCAATAAAATTTTAGAGAAAACTGTTATTTCAGTCTTTTTTTCGAACTTTTGTGTTAGTGGTTCAAATGTCAAAAATCCCTTTATTAGGAAAATGGCAAATTTCTTTATTAATGCAAAGGTGACTTGGTTTATCGTTACTGTGACAAACGAAAACACTTTATTTGATGAATCCTTAAAGAAAATTTTAATTAATATCAATCAGGAGAAAAGTTATTGCAAAAATATATGTTGATCCCTAGACACTTTTGATGTGTGTATTTATTTATATTATACATATCAGTAGAGTTCCAGCCTCTTTTTTCACAAATCTTCAATTTGTTTCTTTTCAGACAATGGAAGATGATGATGTACCAGCCTTGTCTGCAGAAACATTTGCTGCATTACAAGAATTTTATGTGGAACAACAAAAGCGGGAGCAAATTATCACCGAGCTGGATTCTGCAGGGAAACTTAAAAATATTATGTTCGATGAAAACTGGGTGAGAGATGCTATGATAAAGAATATTAACATTTTAAATTAAAGGTGGGAACTCTTTTAGGCTGCAGCTGAATTAATGTTGGTCAGGCTCTTTATCTATGAGTCTGAGGTCCGTATTACAGAATGACAACTAAGTGTTGATCTTTACTTGAGTACAGTTAGAAAGGGATGTCGCTATGTGCTATATATAGCGAAATCCCTTTCTAAGTATGATTGCATGCAACTAATGATTTTTCCTTTAGTACATAATGTGGTGAATACAGAGCTCCTAAGAGTATTTATACTTCAGCTTCAGCAAACTCACTCCCATCCAACATCATGTGGGATAAAGGTATGATAATACCACAATATGACAACTTATTGAATGTTATGAGTTGTAGAGGAACATCTTTTAATTACAATTAATTTTGAAGTCAAAAAGTATTTTTTTTTAATTATTTATGTTTTTATTTATTTATAGCAATTGAGCCAATTCTGGTATGACGAGAGGACTATAGAGGCACTGGTTGGAGTGATCGACGCCAGCGTACCTGATGGTGGGCGGGTGGCGCTCATCTCCTGCCCAACACTATTTGTTCCAGTGAAGGAAAGAATTGGAAATAGAGCTAATGGTATAACAAACATCAATTAATAAATATCATCAGCCTATTAATGTCCCTGCTGGGGCACAGGCCTTCAATATGGATGGGATAGCGAGATTGGGAAATGACCCACCATACGGGCCCAGTGCGGATTGGCGGGTGCTAACGACTGCAGATGCAGCCGGGGCCAACGGCTTAACGTGCCTTCCGAATCACGGAGGAACCCGAGATAGAAGATTTTTGGTCACCCATCCAATGAGCGGCCACTGCGAAAGTTGCTTAACTTCGACGATCGCAGCCGAACGTGTTGTCATGACCCCCATGATTACACCACCACCCCCTGGATCCGCCCTTGGTACATCCATAGCTAGAGGCAGCACATTATCACCGTCTGTTATTTTGACGGCAAGACAAAAACCAGACCTCTTATTTAACACACTTACTCACTATTGGTGTACAATTCAATGGGGAAACGAAAAATGGTTGAGGCCATAGACCATCGAAAAAATCAGATTTACACACAGATTATAAAAGTAATGTTTACATTGTTTTTATCAAACATTTTGTTAGTGTTAGTCATCTAACAATGTATTTTGTTGCAGTGTCTCTCTTGGAATTTGACACAAGATTTGAAGTACATGGTCCAGATTTCATTTTCTATGATTACAACTACCCTGAGAAGCTGCCTCAAGACATTGGTCAGTACGACTTGGTGGTAGCCGACCCACCGTTCTTGTCCGAGGAGTGCATTACTAAAACATCGCAAACCATAAGGTTTTTAGCGAAGAACAAGATCGTTGTTTGTACTGGAGCGATCATGAAAGACCATGTAGAGAAATTGTTAGCACTACAGCTGTGCACATTCCAGCCACACCATAAAAATAATTTAGCAAACGAGTTCTCTTGTTACGCAAACTTTGACTTTGATAGTGTACTACTGCTAACTAAATCCGGAGACAATTCTAGATGATAGTGAGATACCTACTATAGTTGTATCGTAACTAGGCTGCATTTTTTCTGATAAGACTATTTTGTCTTACAATATTATATTGTTTTAAACTTTCATGGTCACTAATATTATGGTAATGTAAGTTATTTACGGGATTGTTACCATATACTTACCTTGTTTTTAGCGTGTCGTATTGTCGAGTGTCTGGAATCATGTGGTTCGTATGTGTAAAACCCGAAATAATCAAAAAAGTGAACAGTTTTGAGTGAATAGTGAGAATGTGAACAGTGGTACGGGTATCGAACGCAATAAGACTTCGTCGGAGGGTAGACCGATATGAATGACAATAACAGCCTACCCGCAATTACTTCAGTTACTCCGTGATCATGGCGCTTGCAACAGTACCGAAATATCGAAAACTCGCTAAAAACAAGGTACATGGTAACAATCCCGTAAATAACTTATACTGTCTTACAATGTTAATATTTATGAATTAATTGATTTGTAAGTTTCAAATGTTAGTATAAATTCCCAACAAGAACTTAAACTGTTATATTTATACGTGCAATAAAACAACTGGTTGTAAAACGCTGGCTTTATTGTTCTCCTTAATAAACTATTACCTCATTATATTATGCTGGTCAACATTTCATTAACTCTCTCATATGTGGTAGGCAAATAATTACCCAACTTTTAAGATATACAACTTTAACAATCCCAATATTTATGGTAAAAGAATCACTCTGCTGATCTAAGATTTCGAAAAAAACATGTGAAAATGTTGCTAACAAAAGTGATATTATGTGAACTAGGTGTAATGAAAGGTTTATTTGGGTCTCTAAACTTATGACCAAATTTAATAACATTATAAAATCTCAAAAAATGGTGCCACCTCCACGACGAAGAGAATCAGGCGATATTAGCGGTTATACCACGATTTTTATGCATTCTCATTGAAGGGCGTGTCCATAAAGCGTTGAAACGACAACTAAAATGTTGATAATGTTATACCTGATCTGTGTAAATGGCAGATTTACACAATTAAGACATACAGCAGAGTGATTCAATCGCTAACATTTTCTTATAATAAATTATGCAACAATAACGATACATTGCACATTATACTGTACGACATAGTAATCAATATAGTGTGTATGAATTCTAACGATATTTTTTTCTGTAATTAGACTGCACAAATTTGAAATTCAGCTAATCATACTTAGGCCGAAAGTAGTCTTAAACTTGAGTCAAGTCATAGAGAAAATACTGAAAAAAAAATTATTAAATGTTATTATAGCTTCCATTTAACACAATACATTATTTAAATGTCTCAAACCTATTTTAAATTCGTTGAGTTAACTCAAGCTTAAAAATTAAAAGAGCAAACGGGCATAGATTTCGGTTATATTTCGATCTTATGTGGCCCTCGCATTATGTATGTGGGAGCAAACCATTTTTTACTTGTTTTCAACCTTTTTTCATTTAAACTATTGGACATTACAATGAATCTGAATAAATCTAATAAATCATATTTTAAACTGATAAACGTTAATTACAAAAACACGTGTCGCACTTTACAATAATAAAAATGGTCAAGGATATAAGCAATACATTATATTCAAGGTTGTCACGAAAGTAGTAATTAAAACATTCGTAAATAATAAACGAATAAAAAGTTATCATCAAAAATTCATTATGCATCGTGTCGGCCGATTGTGAACTTTTCAACTTTTTGTTTGAATCGAACATTTGTGTTGTTAGATTTTTAGGCGTTGAGCAGACGACGGGGCGCGGCGGGCATTTTGTCCGCGAAGCAATAAAGACCGCGTCTGCCCGCGCCGCGTACACAAAGCACACGACGGGCAGAGGCGGTCAGTTCAGGACGTTCGTTCTAGTGAATAGTCCATCACTAAAAAGCGCGTGGCGCGGAGTGAGCTAGCCGCCCCGCGCCGCCGTCTGCGTTACTGCATATAAACTCAGACCAAGGTCTGAGCATATAAACTGGTTTGTATGATCCACGGCGGGCAGCCGCGGACATGCCGCGCCGCCCCTGCCCGCCGGGCACCCAAGGCGCGGTCTTTTTGCCCTCTGTGTGCGTTTGTAATATAGGAATAAGATTCACTTTGTGCTATCGTTCGCGGCGAAATTGACCGGCCCGCCCCGCCCCGTCGTCTGCTAAACGCCTTACGAGCGATATCTTCGAACGTCACATCCCTTTGTTCCAAATGAGTTGAAAATTCACACTCGACTGAATGTTTTTTTTTTTCTTTTCTACTTTATAAAAATAGTTACTACATTAATGGATTCTTTAAGAATATCTACGATAATATCTTGAACGTTTACAAAATATATATTATATTATTTTTTTAATAACTTACAATTACAATGATTTGGTGTTTAAATACCTACAGTAATTTGAGTTGTAATTTTATAATTCATGCACGTCTACATACAATTAGACTGAGTTGAAGAATACTTTTGTAATTTTTATTTAGTTTTACGAGGTTCAGACATCTAGTCGTATTTTGTACTAAATTAATTCATACACTGACATTAAATTCAATCAGATTTTTAATTATTCTAACTAAAACCACAGCACGATTTGTGATGTCGCTTCTGACAGGAAGTACCTACTTATTACATAGCAAAGAACTTATATTGTCTATTAAATCAAAATAATGAAACTAAAATGTATGCTGCCACATTCTCAAAATAGAATTGAAATAGGATAGCTACAAAATTAAATTGTCGTCTAAATGAATTTGCAGATTTACAATTATAATATATATTTCTGCAAAGATCACCTGTCAAAAGTGCCAAATAATGATGCCGCGACCGTATATTTTTAATTTAAACTATCTAGAAGGCCATGTTTCAACTGGGGTTCATAAATATATCTATTAAAATTAAATGGTTTGCAATTTGCGTTCTTGTGATGATCTTTTTATATCGTTATTGTCTTGTTCATAACACTGTTAAAAGTAATTTTTAATTATAAAACTGAAAGTTGATTACGGAGCAGTAAGTTAAATATTTCTAACTAAGTACATACTTTATTTAATATAGTATGGTTCGGTAAATATATTTTTCTATAAGAATTACTTCATCCATAAATAGCATTCTATCACAAGAACGCAAACAAACCGAGTCGTTGAATGTAAAAATAATTTAATTGTCTTATAGTCTAATGATATAGTTATATAGGTGTCGATTCTGGCATGATTTTCTAAACCTAACGTAAAATATGAAAACAGTATATCCTTATCATTCTCTATACAGAATGAAAAGGAGAGACTGATGTTAAATTTAGATTTGAGTTTAGAGAATCATGCCAGAATCGACACCATAGACAAGTTCGCAGAGTTCATATTAAGCCAACTTGCGCACTTGACCGCCATGACTTGACCTAGGGGCCGTAGCAAACAGAATAATAGAAAACTTTAATTGAAAGTATAAACGTAACTGGGTTGTTAGGAGCTTGAATTTGGATCCAGCTAACAAATGTATCAATGTAAGTCTGTCATAAGAAATTTGGCAGCGTCATCTAGGGTGTATTCCGAAATATACATCAGTATATTGGCCAGTGGTAATGACGTCACGAATCCGACGCCATATTGTACTGGTATGCTACCATATTTTTACCGGGAAAACGAATATGACGTATGACCGAGCGTGCGTGAGATGCGTTCGAATTTTATTTCATTATTTATTTAAAAAAATAATAATAAAAGAAGTCCTTTTAATTGATGAGCTGAATAAAAAAACTTCTTTATTCGCACTATTTTTAATATTCCGTCAATTTATGACGTCAGTGCACTGGCCAATATATTTCGGAACAATTCAACAGTATAGCGTCGATCCATGACGTCATTAGCACTGGCCAGTATACTGGTATATATTATGAAATACACCCCTACTCTGTCTAATGAATCGGGACCCCTCAAAAACGCGGCAAATTTAAAAAATCTGTAGCTGCAAACACAGCTTTTACAGTGATAAAATAGTCTTGATCATTTAAATTACCAGATTAATGAAACTGATTTCGTATTTTTTATGTAAAAAGCAGAGTTTAATCTTCTTTCGTTAGTCTCTGAGGCCACAAGTTGGAGTCGCAGACGTTTTGTGCGCGAAATACGATCCCACGATATTCTAGTACGCATGCGTGCATGGCTTTTCACAGTAAAAGCTCACAGAAGCAGTACTGTCGCGAGAAAAAGGATACAGTGCAAAATTATACTAACATCATCTTAATTAAAATATTCACAGCGAGACATTTCGTGTAATAATAATAAAAGTAATGAAAATGCGAATACATGTAGTGAGTTACTATTCCAGTTGCACATTAGAATTCAAATAATACTTATGCAAACTTATTACTTACTTAATTTAAAATAATTGTATTGTGTAGGCTTAGCTTTATCTAATAAACTATCCCTGTTAACGTTAGGTATGGAATCGAATACTTCACATAGTCTAAATAAATTCTACGAAAACATATTGTTGATAACCATAAGTGAAGTTTGGGATGATTTCAAATAACCTTCTCGGTGAACGAAAACTGAAGATTCTTTTTTTATCGAGAACTATTTGCTTTGTAAATGCTCAAAAATATGATTAAATTCGAGATTCGATAGAGTTTTGAAACCATCACAAACTAATTTTCAAGCTACAAGAGTAGGGCCTTTAAAAATTAATCTTCATCGATTGGTTTATTAGCAATAGTGCCAATAAATTGCGAGAGAAATCAAGAATAAAAAATAAAATAGTATTATCACAACCATTGTTTACATACGAAAATAATATAATAAACTTTCATCAATGTCTTTTGAGAAATAGGATAGTTCTACATAATAATCACACTATTATTATAAAGGCAAAAGTTTGTGAGTGTGTATGTTTGTTACTCCTTCACGTCTAAACGACTGGAGCGAATTTAATAAAATTTGGTATGAACCCTGGATTAACACGTATGCTACGTTTTACTGCGGGAAAATCAAACCGCGGGTAACACCGCGGGGCACAGCTAGTAGATTAATATACAGTTACTAGTTAAATAGCAAGAATATTTGCCTGTCGCGATTCTTTTATACTTTTCGTCGACAATTAAAAAGGACCACAAATTTATGTTCTCTCTACTTCGCATGGCTATTCGTAAACATGACAACAGTTTGTCCTTTTCAATCAACGATATTAAATACCCTAGATACACCACGAGCGCTCAAAATGTGTCTCAATCAAGAAGTGCTTGAACTCCACTCAAGCACTTCTTGGTTCACAGTCACGCGCGGACCGTTACAAAGTAAAAATGCCAGAGCTCCGCGAAAAAATGCGAAAAGAATGAATACGAAAAGCGTCGTTTTTCGACAGATATCTAGTCAATGTTTGTTAATTTAACGCATTTGAAGTAAATTTTGATCTAATACTTACTATAAACTGATTTAATCTTAAATATTTGTGATATTCAAATGCATGGTCGGCTGTACGTCGCTATATAGCCCTTTTTTATCCTCGCGGTCCGTGCCTGCTATATTACTAACAGCGCGTTCAGAATTGCGCGTAGAGTCAAAGAACTAAGTCTAAATTCTTCCGCATATAGCAATAAGTCGTCAAAATTTTACGAGCTTGCATTTCGAACTGTCAGAAGTCCTTGACGCATGCGTTTTATTTAAGACCTTATACAGTATGTATTAAAGGTTACTTTCAATATTTAAATAATGCCTTATATTGATTTTGACTACGCGATCATCTTACGGAGCTCCGAGGATCGTTCAATGTACCTTTTGGACAGGTGTCGGGCACGATTTTGTTCGTGTTGGTGTATCTAGGGTATTTAATATCGTTGTTCTCACTTCCTAAAGAGTATGAAAAGGACAACCTGCTGTCAAAATGACAAATAGCAAACACGAATAGATACTAGACATGTGACGAGCCGTCATCAGAAGTTACAAAGTTTTCATAATGATGCCTTCATTTTTAATTCCTAGGTATCGGTGGACTTAATCCTCACTAATTTTAAAGATTGTCGCTCAAATAAAATTTACTCTCTGCAAAAGAAATAAGAGCGTGATTCGCTTGCGTTCGGCAGTGATAAGTTACAATAGTTTCCTCACATTGTCGTGACGGTGCTCAAGTAATTATCACCCTTGTATGACGCCCAGTTCTTCCGCTGTCCATACTTTTTTTTTATATAACTTTTCTACCATAATTACGATATCGCGCAATCCTTAAGGTTTTTCAAATTTGCTATAAAAGTATTACGTGTATCGTATATAAAATATATGTATATACATAGCTAGATATATTATATAGAATATATATTCTATAATCCTCTTGTATTAGACATATTATATTACTTAAATTGTTTTATTAAGTCAATTGATATTCATAGTTTCATCAGCTCGATTGTCATTAGTTTCAGAGACTAATTAATACATTAAAAGTCAGTTTAGTGCCATAAACAAAGAAAATCAAAGACGGGTATTGTTTAAACAAATTCATACATCCTTGATGCTTTGTCAACAAATTAACAATTCACAAAAAAAAACTTCATATCCAATCTTGTTCTCTGTACGAAGTTTATTAATCAGAGAATTGTAATGCGGTTTTATTAATTATTTAATAATCACACACACACGTATTTAATTAATTAAAAATTGACATTAAACAATATACATAATAAATATTCATATTTTAATTGGTATAAAAAAAAGAACGACAATACTCCATTCGAGTTCATAAACATATTGTGCTTTAAATAGAATAACGAAAGAATTCAATTATGTAGTAGTTAGATATTTACTAATAAATTTAAGAAAATCATGACGCATAAATAAGTATATACAGTAAAACCCGTTTAAGACGATTTCACAGGGACTCAACCAAAAACGCGTCTTAAGCGGGAAAGCGTATTATGCGGGATAGGGAAATAACGTACTACTTTCATATTAATATTAATTATATTCTATTATTATTTTGAATGTAAGTATTGAGATATTAAATGTACAATATTTAAGAATTATGTACGTTATTTAAAAAAATCACTTATTTTAGTTTGACAAAAAAAAAATTTAAGGCATTCGCAATTACCAGATTTTCAACATAATATAATTTTGGCACTGCGTCTTCAAAGAAGTTACATAGCGGCAACATGATCACTTAGGGCTTCTTCTTGTGTGTTATCAAGAGGCAATTTGTGTGGTAAGTGTTGAAGATTTAGGCGTATTAAACGGGATGACGAATCGTATTAAGCGTTAAGTAATTTATGAAAACATGTCTCAAGTTGCAGGGACTCACGCAAAATGGCGTATTATGCGAGAAATCGTATTAAGCGTGATCGTATTAAACGGGTTCCACTGTATTTTTGTTCGATGAAGTTGAACAGAAAGTTAAACATGAAACTGTGGTTTGTACTACGACTAATATGAGTGCGTATTTATTTAATATCACGTCAATTGAAATTTGTAATTAAATTTTTTTTAGATCCTTTTCTATAATGACAATAATAATTACAATCACTTAACGACTGCGGTGTGACAATCGTCACACCATGTCAATTCAAATATTAAAAACATTCCATTGATATAATTAAAATTACTATACATAAATATTATGCACCTCTCCCGGTCGACAATTTCAAAATATCCGTGTCTAACTACCTACACTAAACATTAAAACTTACATCTAAAATCTCTCGGCCGATCATTGGATACAGCCTTATAATTCACATTGGAGCTCGCCGCATGAAAAAATATATCATTTTCATAACTTTGGGTGCTTAGAATACAAGACACATACACCTAACAACAAAGTGTTTTACTACATGGAGAATGTCCTAGTTTCACAAAGCACGCAGTAATATCCCATCCTTTTCTTTCACTCTACGAGTAAAAGAGACACGTATAGGCCGCATAGCGCACTTAAGGAAGACCTGAGATTAAGCGATTGCACAAAATATACAGATAAAGGACTTTATATACGCGCAGTACAGTTGGCCACGAATATAAACTGTCGTATCGCATACAATATTGTCATCAATAATAAATGTATACACTAGAACACGTCAATATTAGAGTGCGCTTAGGCCTAATTCCGGAAATATAACACAACTTATGTTAAAAATATTCTAAAGTAAACCTTAAAGTGAAAATAATAAGACTTAATTTACCGGAATGTGTAGAGGTAAACGCAAAATGCTTACTAATAGAAAAACGCCAGCTTGCCAAACCGTTGGAGAACTGTCAATGTCAAAATGATTTTTTAAAGTACAAATTATATGATGTTAAGAAAATTTTACTAGAAAAGATTCCACGCGGACCAGGCAGCAGTAGGGACTCGAACCCGCACCCTTCGCTATCCGGGCGAATGCACTGACCATTATGCTACCGCGGCCCTGATGGCCGTGTCGAATTTTCTCTAGTATTTTTTTGGCTGCAAGGTAGCGCCATCTCTTCGGATTGTAGCCCACAATGTCAAATGAATACTTTTACAAGTATTAAACATTTGAAAGAAGAAATATCACTTTTAGATGTATTTATTTTATCATTCAAAATGTAATATAACACGTACTTTCAAACCGAGTTACAGATCTGCCAAATAATTTTCTGACTTTTGAAACAGTTCTTCCAATACATTTTCTTTATAGCAAGCGAGTGAAAACTATTAAGGACAAACCCAGAGGTCACGCCAGAATCAATATTTACTACCAACAACAATTATTTTTACCAAAAAAAGTGTTTATCTTCCAAATCTTTAATTTTAATCAGCACATTGCGAAATAATTAATGAAAAACTGTTAAAAAAAACACAGATTCCTATCAATGCATTTTTATACATCGACGATTTGAATGTTAAAAGTATACACTTTTAAATGTCGACGGCACAATTCCGCCATTTTCGAAACCACAATGTAGCCAATTGGATCTGTTTCCTACCCTGCAAAGCTAGTCATCATCAATATCATATGAAATGAAGTCATTTATTCAGTCTAGGCTGTTACAAGCACTTGTGAAGGTCAAGAAGCTACGCCATCGGTTCGCAAAACTACGGCGGGAGACCTTGTACTGAGAAGAAGCGGCAAGAAACTCAGCAAGGGCTGCTTTTTTCTCCCTGTATTGATTTAAACAGAGAAATCATTTTTCAACTTGACGACTCTGTATATATCAATACAGGGAGAAAAAAGCAGCCCTTGCTGAGCTTCTTGCCGGTTCTTCTCAGTACAAGGTCTCCCGCCGTAGCGTACTCAATATATATAAAAATAGTTCCACAAACAATTTCTTCACCTTCATTTGAGCTCTAGATCGGTAAAATCTGCTTCTTCAGGTAGAAATTGAAGATGTGCTGGTAGTAAATATTAACTCTGAGCGTTTAAAAAAGAGTAACCACATCTATTCTGCTTGTTTTTTTACCTCATTTCACTCTCTCTCCCCTTATCTTTTTCATAGAAGTTTTTTCTTGTAAAGCAAACATAAGTTCGCAACCTGTCGTTCCTTGTGATACACAGATTCCTTGTGATAACCTCTCCGTTTGAAAAACTAGTGAGATAGCAAGAGACAAAGAGAGAGATAGATAAAACGTTGAATTAAGTAGCGTAGTGGTTACTTGTATAGTGAAGGCACCCGAGGTATCGCCGCTGCGTATTTTCTGTGCGCACGCGCCTGTCTGTCTGCCCTACCTGTATACGTGACAAAGAAAAAGGGCAATTTAAAAATTAGCTCAGTCTGTGGAAACTTAACTGGTTTATGAAAAAGTAATAAGTGTAACTTAATTGAATTGTGTAAAACTGTATTTTTTCCAAATGAAAATAAATAAATTAATTTTTGGGTGTTTTTAATGTAGATTACTCAAGTGCTCAATTTATTTTTATTACAGTTTAGAGACTAACATTTTATGACATTGTGTTGTAAAAATTTTCGATAACAACAATTATACAAATACTAAAGGTTAAAATTCACATGAATGTGTGTAGTTGGATTACAAAATGTTAAGAATAAATAAAATCGACTCAAAATAAAATAATATTGTGAAAAAAATACTTAAATCAGTCCGATCTTTTAGTTAATACTAATCTTAAATCGGACTGATTTCAGTATTATATGTGTAGTTAAAATTTTTTTAGAAGATGCCAAATTCAGAGCTTCGCTGTGCTGAATGAACACTATAATTATAATGATCACGATCATCAAAATGCGTCAAGAAGTTTAGATTGAAAATGAATTTTGAAATACTGTTGGAATAAGGCACGTGATTAATGCAAACAAAACGGTCGAAGTGATGAAGATGGAAATGAAATTATACTTTTTTTGTATTGACACATTGAAGCTCTTTTGAATCGTCCAATATTTTTTCCCACGTGAATGGGTATTCAGAATGTCTTTTAGCTGAAGAGAAGAATGGGCGCAAGAAACTCATCAGCCTTTAACAGTAGTAACAAAACTCACAAAAAATCATGTCGCTACCGATACAACGTCCACTCACATTTTGATCGCCGTGTCACACGTGTAAATACAAATAGTGTTTAGGAGTTAGGAATAATTAGATAACATTTAATTAGTAAAGTAGTACAAAGCAGACTCATCTCCGCTGGCAGCACCGGCTCACGAGCATGACGCATGAACCAATCATCGCTTCGCTGAACTACTGTAGAGCGCGTGCAGCAGTCGCGCGTGTCATATACTGATACCTGCGCGGGCGGCGCGTGGCGTGCAGCAGCAGCAGCAGCAGCAGCAGCGCGAGGCAGGCCCCGAGCGCGCTGGCAGCGCTGTAGAGCGCGTGCAGCAGTCGCGCGGCGGCGGCCTGCAGCGCTGCGACGGCGGCGAGCTCCACGCGGCATCATCCCGTGCCGCACTTGCCGCTCTCGAACACGCCCTGAACACCATGATAGGATTAATTTATGCATTTATATTGTGTAGTAATGCCGCCTATAGCTGTGGGGACATCGGTAAGTCGAAGATGATGATAGACTGGGAGACTCACCTTCCGGAAGAAAGGCGAGAACGCTTGCAGCGTGTCCTTGTTGAGGGGCGCACGATGTAGAGGACAGCGCGAATTGGCCGCGCAAGTTGATAACAATCTGCGTAGAAACGCTTCTAGTTGTGGACGACGGGCCCGCGCTACCGCTTCTGACGACCATAGTTGGCGGGCCGGGAACGGGATCGTCGCCACCTAATGAAGAGAAACAGAAAACAAAATGAGAGAGAGAAACATTTTATTGACCAATAAAAACAAGCAAATGAATTAAGAAATAGCTTAACAAAAAAAATAAGCAGTACAAATATTAATAACATTACACAATCATGATATTGACCAATTAGGGCCCAGCGTCAGCATAATACTGCCGTAACATGTAACTAACACGTGACACAGCAATGCTGGTATTCTGAAAGGGCCTGTGCACGGATTTCAGTATGCGATATTTCAAAATGAGAAAATGGAATCGCTGTCACCTAAAACACGTGCAGAAAATATTCAATGGAAATTACAGATAAATACTTATTAGCACAAAAGTTTTTCAAAACGTTATATTAACATAGAGAAAGACGACCACTAATCCAAACCTTGAGACTTAGACAGGGACTTCATCCTACGTGGGTGACATTTCTTCATGCAAACTGCTAGGGAATAGAATTTCTTCCCTGGGTCAATTATAAAATCTATCTTTAGACATAGCCCTATTGATGGTCTTGAAATTATTATCTTGTTTCCTTAGTAAAGTTTTGATATTTTTTGGTAAAGGAAGGAAAGGAAAGGAAGAGGTCGCGGTAGCGCCGCAGCAGCAGGTAGCGCGCGTCGGGTAGAGGTCGCATACCTCGGGCGGGTAGAGGCGCCGCATGGCCAGGTACAGGTCTCGGAAGCGCCGGTAGCGCCGCAGCAGCAGGTAGCGCGCGTCGGGTAGAGGTCGCATACCTCGGGCGGGTAGAGGCGCCGCATGGCCAGGTACAGGTCTCGGAAGCGCCGGTAGCGCCGCAGCAGTAGGTAGCGCGCGTCGGGTAGAGGTCGCATACCTCGGGCGGGTAGAGGCGCCGCATGGCCAGGTACAGGTCTCGGAAGCGCCGGTAGCGCCGCAGCAGCAGGTAGCGCGCGTCGGGTAGAGGTCGCATACCTCGGGCGGGTAGAGGCGCCGCATGGCCAGGTACAGGTCTCGGAAGCGCCGGTAGCGCCGCAGCAGTAGGTAGCGCGCGTCGGGTAGAGGTCGCATACCTCGGGCGGGTAGAGGCGCCGCATGGCCAGGTACAGGTCTCGGAAGCGCCGGTAGCGCCGCAGCAGCAGGTAGCGCGCGTCGGGTAGAGGTCGCATACCTCGGGCGGGTAGAGGCGCCGCATGGCCAGGTACAGGTCTCGGAAGCGGCGGTAGCGCCGCAGCAGCAGGTAGCGCGCGTCGGGTAGAGGTCGCATACCTCGGGCGGGTAGAGGCGCCGCATGGCCAGGTACAGGTCTCGGAAGCGCCGGTAGCGCCGCAGCAGCAGGTAGCGCGCGTCGGGTAGAGTCACGCGCACCTCGTACTCGTGGTGGGTGCCGGCGCCGGCCCCGCGGGTCACCCAACCGGGGATGCTTATCACTTGACCTGCATTATTAATAAATAAATAAAAAAAATATTTCAACACACTTATTTGCTCAAAAAATGCTTCTACTGAGGTTGTGTACATTTTACGAAAGTTCAAAATTACGAGCCGAAATAACGAAAAATATAGATGTGGATTTATACGATAAATTATTAATAAAACAAATTATCCAACATGGTAATTCCTAATTACTTACTGAAATCTATAGGATGCAACAAGCCTGCCGTTATCCTAGGATCCTGTAAAAAATTGTGAACCGTTTAATTGTCTAAGCAGATTAATTTGTCAGTGCTCAATAGACAGTGTTTTTTAAATTCTATTTTAAGGTTGGTTTAAATCAAATACAGCATAGCGCGTAACAGAACAGAACAGAGAAGTATAAGACGTTGTAATAGGTGACATCCATAATAGATGTGCAAGAACTGATGTATTAATGCGGTCGGATGTGTTAAAAAATTTTTAATCAGAAAGAGGTGCGAAATTCAGTATATTACTTTAATAAATATTCCCAACACTCACACCAATTAGCCACGCGTATTTAGCCAATAGGGTATTTGACAAGTTTTAGAAAACGATCTCACGTTATTTACTAACTAGCAAACCAGTGAACCAAATGTTCACAAAAAAAAATGTAATAATTAATTGAGAACTTCGGAGATTTTGTGTGGTTTCGTTTGAAATAGAAATCACGTGTTTTCTCGAAAACCGGAAGTGCTACGTTACTCACATCCGGTTTGTAGTCTTATCAGACTATTCTCAACTTATAACTTAAACATTCGCTTTATCTATCTCTTACGGTTTGGCCGCTGAAACAGCACCACGGACGGACGGACGGACTTGTCTAATAGATAAGAGATGTTTATAGAGTCCATAAAAAGTGGATATTCATCATTATGTTGTGTATTTCGGTAAAAAAAATAAATCAAAAACTCTAGTTTTAGTAGTATCTCTGGACAATATGGCGTCTCACTGGTGTGTGGCGTCACACGACTGTCATTAAAACGTCAAACCATACAATCTAATGTCACTTTAACCGGAAGTTTACTTGCGTGTGGCGTCATTTTAGGCTCCACCAATCCAAAGCGTTTTGGGTCACGTGACAATAGACAAGAAAACTATTATCTTTATCGTGGGTTTTTAGTAAAATTTTGAATATTTTTTCTGTAAAAATAGTAAAAGCTCCTGCCAATATTCATTCGTAATACAGATGCTAACAATTGGCACTTTATTTTAAATACTGTCAAATACCCTATTACTGTAGGCTCGTATGACGGAAAGAATACATGTACTAATACAAATGAGTATATTTATATAGAAATACATTTTAAACATCCAAAACTGGAGTACTAAGGCTCGTCCAAGTCCCGATCAGTGGGCAGCTCATCGTTAGAAGTCTAATATTATGATAATTATAAACAGCTAGGCCTAGGTTACTCACCGGCAGGATATGGGTGTCTGCCAGTACTGGCGAGCCAGGGTCATGGACGAGGGGTTCCCTTAAGGGATGCCAGGGTTCGTCCCGGTCAGTGGGTAGCTCGTCGTTAGAAGTCTAATATTATGATAATTATAAACAGCTAGACCTAGGTTACTCACCGGCAGGATATGGGTGTCTGCCAGTACTGGCGAGCCAGGGTCATGGACGAGGGGTTCCCTTAAGGGATGCCAGGGTTCGTCCCGGTCAGTGGGTAGCTCGTCGTTAGAAGTCTAATATTATGATAATTATAAACAGCTAGACCTAGGTTACTCACCGGCAGGATATGGGTATCTGCCAGTACTGGCGAGCTAGGGTCATGGGCGAGGGGTTCCCTTAAGGGATGCCAGGGTTCGTCCCGGTCAGTGGGTAGCTCGTCGTTAGAAGTCTAATATTATGATAATTATAAACAGCTAGACCTAGGTTACTCACCGGCAGGATATGGGTATCTGCCAGTACTGGCGAGCTAGGGTCATGGGCGAGGGGTTCCCTTAAGGGATGCCAGGGTTCGTCCCGGTCAGTGGGTAGCTCGTCGTTAGACGTCGACACGTTGTCAGAACCCTCCATGTCTTGCTCTTTCAACCTGCGGAAATGTGAACCGGTGCTGCCAGCGGAGATGAGTCTGCCCTAACTACTTTGATATTTAAGATGTAAATGTTCAATTACACCCATTATAAATAACTCTGTTTGTATTTATACTGTGTGACACAGCAATCAAAATGCAGGTGAACAATTAATGTATAATTTCACATTATGTAATGAAAGGTGACTTCATGAATCATCTCTGAAGTCATTTTTCAACTTGACGACTGTAAATGATAAAACAGGGAGAAAAAAACAGCCCTTGCTGAGTTTCTTGCCGGTTCTTCTCAATACAAGGTCTCCCGCCGTAGACTTACGAACCGATGGCGTAGCTTCTAGACATTCTCATATGTGCTTGTAACAGCCTAAACTGAATAAATGATTTTGATTATGATTATTATGATTATGATCATAAGTACCCGTGACGGTAAGGTGACGAAGGAACATCAAAAATAAAGATAAGTTAGTCTAGATAAGTTCTTCTTATTACAAGGATCTCTGGCAGGATGAGATCATCTTAAAATAAGGCCTCTTACAACCTGTGATCCTTTAAAAGAGGCGTGAAGAAGCAACATGCAGGCCGGCAGGGCGAGGATGGCTGGTGTGGCAGGTAGAACTGCTGTATCAGTTATCTTCGCGTCTGGACTTTACTGTCACTTAACATCAGGTGGGGTGGAGTCATTTGTCGGTCCTATCTATAAAAAAAAATAAGGCCGGAGAGTGCTTCTATTTTCAACTTTATTATGAGCCACAGAAATACAAAACACGGGGTTTAAAAATATGTAATAGTAGTGCGTGATTCAGGGGGCCAATCGCCTAACGGAAATGCTTTGGGAAACGCTAACGCTTACGATTTTATATTGTTATTTCTAGCCGCCTGAGGTTTTCGAATATCTCACGCTCATTTTTTTTAATATTGTTATTACCAATGCAAAAGAAAAAGAAAGAGCGCGAGGCATTTGAATACCTCAGGCGGCTAGAAATAACAAAATAAAATCGTAAGCGTTAGCGTTTTCCAAAGCATTTCCGTTAGGCGATTGGCCCCCTGGTGTGATTTTTTGAGCTTGGAGCTAGCTGGTTTCTTGTTGGCGGTGTCTACTTTTCATTCTCTAAGAAGCGTACCGGAGTCGGGACCATCACATTGCTTAGTATAACGACGGCAGAAATATGTTTTTTTCAGATTAAGAGAATACAGGGTCTGTTGTTTTCCGTTCTCGAGACAAAAAAAGCGGTGAAACAACATTATTTAAATACTAACACAAAACAGTCTAAATCTGTTAAGAACATGGATGGATTGGATGCCATCTTTCTGTACAAGATAATTAACAATCACATAGACTCAGCTCAACTTGTGCAGAGTATTGTACTCATAGTTCTCGTTTCTCCTCACGTTCAAAAGATACCTTTTATGTTTCGAGTTGCCATACCAACTATGCCAGATAAACCTTTTTTTAGACGGACATGTAATTTTTACAATAAGAACTTGAATGAAGCAGATATTTTCAGTGAATCACTTTACAGCTTCAAAAGGAAAGTGAGTGAGTTATTGTTTAAATAGTATAACACTAGCAAACCAGTGAACCAAATGTTCACCAAAACCTGATTTAAAAAAAAATGTATTTAATTAATTGAGAACTTCGGAGATTTTGTGTGGTTTCGTTTTAAATTCGTGATGTCAAATCCGGTTTGTAGTCTTATCAGACTATTCTTAACTTATAACTTAAATATTCTCTTTATCTATCTCTTACGGTTTGGCCGCTGAAACAGCACCACAGACAGACGGACTTGTCTAATAGATAAGAGATGTGCGGCGGCGATGTATATCATATGTTTATAGTTATCCGTCACTTTTATGCCGCTTGAATATAATAATTATATATCAATTAATGGTACTTTAGGTCTATTTGTAAACATAAATTGTAAAATTGTTTGCATAAGACTGTTTGTTAGCTAAATTAAATAAATAAACATGTTGATCACTATTTTAAAACTTGGTATAGGTAGCGGCTAACTTTTTTAGCAAAACCACAGACAACAATAAAAAACAATATGCGCAGAAGAGGAGCTTGATGGCGCAAGTGGTTAGTGCGTTCGGCTGCGTTCGATCGTTGAAGTTAAGCAACTTCCGCAGTGGTCGGCCATTGGATGGGTAACCAAAAATTTATTATTACGAGCTCCTCCTTACATCTGCAGTAGTTAGCACCCACCAATCCGCACTGGGCCCGCGTGGTGGGTCATGGCCCAATCTCCCTATTTCATCCATAGCGAAGGCCCGTGCCCAAACAGTGGGGACATTAATAGGCTGAAAATGATGCGCAGTAGACATTTTTGTACATAAAATTGCTACTGCGCACGGTCCCTTGTGTATGGTCGATGCTCAAAAAGTTTGCCGGGATGTAACCCGATTTTCCTCTTATTATTCGAATTCTACTGTACATCCAGGCTTCATAAATGTCTTAAATGAAACCTGAATAGTTTATCTACAAACTTATCTATATATCACTACCCTTAGCACGAACCAATATCGAATTCTAATAGTTTGCGAGTCCGAAATGTTATTGTCAAATGTGTACTGATTTTTAGTTCTCGTTACGTCCTATGTGGTGCTCTTGTTCAAGTTTCCATACAAAAGACAGTGACATTTCGTACTCGCAAACTATTCGATTTCGATATTGGTTTGGAAAATCGAATTCGTAACGTAATATACTGATTTTTAGTTACCGTTACGTCCAAAGTGCGCCACTTTGGACGCTGTTCAAGTTTCCATACAAAATTTGACATTGACATTTCGGTTTGCAAACTATTTGAATTCGATATTGGTTCGTGCTAGGGGTACAGATGTGTAAATTAAAAAGCTTTACTAAATATGATAAAACGAAAAATATGAAAAATGAAAAGATGAAAATAACTTTCTCAACTCGTGGCAGGAATGAACCACTTACACAGCCGAGGGGAATAAAAACCTATTCTCTTACCTGTGTAAGAGAGGGTCAAATATGTGTCCGTTCTCATTCGTGTCCACTCTCTTGCCGTTGTCGGTTAACGGTTGAGTGGTGAGACTGCAAATATTAGGTTATTTTAATAAGATGCTCAAGTTCTTTGCGCGACACGAAACATTGTTCTTAAAAGAAAAAAAATACGTGGTACACTCGGGAACTGCCGCGGTAAAGCTATTGCATAGCATTATTTATCAACTTATGCAATTATAATTATTTATTTATTTTATTTATGCAGTATTTTTTTTTCTTTGATATTAGATATATATATATATATATATATATATATATATATATATATATATATATATATATTTTTCTTAGATATTTTATTGGGCAAGCACAGCAAACAACAGCATTGCCCGGCGCCAAATAACTTCCACAAGCTGCACAGTTTACCATGTTTAGTCCAAAGATTTAAATTATAATTATAAAGTCTAAACAAAAGGGAGACAAATAAAAATATGAACAGGTGCTGGGGTCTAAAATAGATATATATAATAAAGGGGGGGGAAATGTAATAAAAAATACGAGTGCGGATTTGAACCGACGGTCGCGGTGATGCGTCGAACGTTGGTCCCGTGGCAAAAATTTAACACACTGCACCGTTTCGATCGATACAGGAAAGGCGAAAATTGTGTTCATATGCACGGTTGTCAGGTTCTTTTCGTTATGGAATTGCTGAGTTCGGTCGCCGCGCTCAAAGCCCGCGATAAAATCTATGCAATCGCTTAAAAAATAAAACGAAATGGGACCTTGGCAATTAGCTTTATGTTCAGATATATCGTTACATTTTATAGAATTTTCCTTGAACTTTTAATTCTATAATGGTGTCGATTTTGGCAAGATTCACTAAACTTTTTTTTTTTTTTGTGTTTATCTGCAATCAGTAATTTACTATAGGCAGATGTCATGAAAGTTGCTGTCGTGTCGAGCGTATCCTCCATTGAGGATATCTTCTCGTTATTAATTATATGCTGGAAAAAAACTTATCATATATCACATAGTCACGAGTAGTGAGTCTGGTTGCAAGTGTATTTGGGTGATTTCCGAGCCGGTTTCGATATTTATTTGTGGCAGACTGTATTTCTTCTACCACAGTGGTCATGCTTAGATTTTCATGGATCTCGGAATTGGTGATAAACCATGGCACATTTGCTATTTTTCTGAGGACTATATTTTGCATCCTCTGAAGTATATTAATGTTAGATTTGCTTGCACTCCCCCAAAGTTCGATTCCATATGTCCAGGATGGTTTTAGTATTGATTTGTATATTAGGAGTTTGTTGTCCATTGATAATTTGCTGTTCCGGCCTAGCATCCAGTAGATGATCTTATGTTTTAAGTTTAGCTCCTTTCTTTTTTTTATGATGTGTTCATTCCAGGTAAGTCGACGGTCCAGGTGTAGTCCAAGATATCTTACGCTATCTTGTTGTGGCAGTGTAATATTCTCCAGTCTAACGGATGGGCAGTTTTCTCGTCGGAGCGTAAATGTAACATGCACCGATTTTGTTGCACTGGCTTTAATTTTCCATTTTTGGAGCCATTTTGTGATGTCGTTAAGTTCCTTTTGGAGACTTGCCGAAGCCTCGTGAGGATTGCTACTACTAGCCAATATCGCTGTATCATCGGCATACGTTGCGGTCATGATTCCATCCACTTGAGGTAAGTCTGATGTATAAATCATGTAAAAGACCGGTCCCAGCACAGAGCCCTGAGGTACACCTGCTTTAATCTCGTAAAACTTAGACGTTTAATCTGATTCTTTCACTTGGAAGATTCTATCTCTGAGATAGGAATCCAGAAGTGGGAAGCAACCATGAGGAAGATATGTTTTTAGCTTGCTCAGAAGACCCGCATGCCAGACCCTATCAAAAGCCTGTTCAATATCCAAAAATGCCGATGAGCAATATTCTTTTTCCTCTAGGGTATTTCTTATTTTTTCCACTACTCTATGGACCTGTTCAATAGTAGAGTGTTGCTTTCTAAATCCAAATTGATGGTCTGGCATTACTTTCCTATTTTCTAACTCGGGCATTATTCTGCGTAGGAGCAATTTTTCACAGACCTTTGACAAAACAGGCAACAGGCTGATCGGTCTCTTTTTATCAGTTGGCTTCCCAGTCTTGTGTATCATGAGGATTTGGGATACCTTCCAGAGGTGCGGGAAATATTGGACTCTCAGTATTCCATTGTACAGCATTGTCAAGAATACAATTGCTTTTCTTGGAAGTTTAACAAGTATTTCTTTTGTAATGAGGTCATATCCAGGTGCCTTTTTGTTCTTAAGTTGCCCTATAGTTTTCCAAACTTCGAGAACCTTGACTGGGGTATTCACTAAACTTAAAACTAAATTTAACATCAGTCTCTTCTTTTTATTCTGTATAGAAAATGACAAGGATACACTTATGTTTTTAATTTTTTAAGCATTTAACTGCCAGAAGGCTTAATATAAAGAAAAGTTTGCTAGAAAAATGGTCCACGTGTTTTTTTTTTCTAGTAAACTTTTCTTGAGATTTAAAAGATACACTTGTCAATTTTAAGATTAGGTTTAAAGAATCATATTTGTTGCTTGGGTTTTCACGCACATCACACATTAAATAAAACTAGTTTTAACGGGTTAATGCACGAACTTTATTTATTTATTCTGACGATGCAGACCTGAAAAGCGAAACGCCTATAAATAAATAAAGTTCGTGCATTAACCCGTTAAAGCTAGTTTTATTTTATTTAGAGAATCATGCCAGAATCGTGATTTCGACTTTATAGGAATATATGGCATTGCCGCAAAGTTGAAATCTCCAGATTAATATACAGGCTGTAAAAAATCCTTCAACGAAGTCAAAGGCCACGTATTCTCCACATCATGACGATCATTTTTTTCTTCTGGACCATACCTGGGAAATTTATGGTTATGGAGATATGGAAGGTCAAAGTCACAATGTTTTTTCAAGATTTTTACATTATTATTTTCAAAACGTTATTTAGAAACTTTTTTATAGACGTACTTAAACACACACGGACACACATACACACACACGCACATTCTTTGCGTAGCGCAACAGTACCGCGCCGCGCTGTTGTACATTGCGAACTGGAAAATGTTTTTTTTTATTTAAAAATAAAAATGATTCCCACGTATAATATTACTTGTTCGGGTGTACAGAACGCGTAGTTTAAGTCTTTGTTATAGGATTTTTTACACCCTGTATAACATTGAAAGTTCCAAGGAAAAATCATCGTTCAAAATACCAATTTCCAAATAAAAGCACCTGAATCTACATGCTTGTGTGTGGCATTGCACTAGTTTCCAGTCCAGTACAACTTGTATGTATAACTCGATATCGAAGTTTGTGAAATTGTCGACGGTGTAGCAAACAAAATAAACCCACGTTTGGGGGTTATGTCGTCAATAGACTCATGTTTGTGTCGTGTCGTCACTAAACTCACGTTTGTATCGTCTTGTTAATAAGTTCACGTTTGTGGCGTGTCATCAATATACTCACATTTGTGTCACGTCGCCAATAAACTCACATTTGTGTCGCGTCGCCAATAAACTCACGTTTGTGTCGCTTCGTCACTAAACTCACGGTTGAGTCGCGTCGTCAAAAAACTCACGTTTGTGTCGTGTCGTCAATAAACTCACGTTTGTTACGGTTCGTCAATAAACTCACGTTTGTATTGTGCCGTCAATAAACTCACGTTTGTGAGATTGCTTTTAGCGATAAGGCCGCCCATTGTAACACTTGATTTAAATGGCTGTGTATTTATTGTAATGTTTTCTGTGCTGTGCAATAAAGTGTTTTGTATTGTATTGTTTGTATCGTGTCGTCAATAAACTCACGTTTGTATCGTGTCGTCAATAAACTCACGTTTGTATCATGTCGTCAATAAACTCACGTTTGTGGTGTCGTGTCGTCGGTAGCCACGTGCATATCGCTCTCGGACAGAGTGAGGGAGGGAGTCTCCTGTATGGGCGTCACCATCACGGGCCTGACTGCGGGCTGCGTGTCGAAGAACGAGTATTGTAACGCCATTTCTAGACGGACGTATTTCTTTTGGAGCTCTTGGAGGACCTACACAAACAACATGACAGTGATGATACCGTAGAGTAAACAAAAATATAGCTCAGAGATTTGCCCTAAGCATAGGCATAAAGAACGGACTGAATGCCATTCGCATATAAAGTAAAATCTTAAGAAAGAAAGAAAACAAGAAAAGTGTAGCCTGAACGAATTATAGGCCGTTCGATCGCTTCGTCTCTCTCACAATCATCATTCTTCCTGTGTATTTAGACAACAAAAGCTCAGTCCATGCTCGCATGTTTATGGCGGTATATCATTAATAAGGTTATATCATTAAGAGGTTGTGCGGCAAGAATTAAGGGATGCCAACTGAGCAATTATAAATAAAAATGCACCGAAGTAAGCACTGTAAAGCTTATATTATGGGACCTTAAGATAACAGTTAGAAATTTTTATAATAGTGAATATATATATACGCTGCCTGGTCCGCGCGGATTTTTTCTATTAAAACATTTTTTTAGATTTAAACATCTAGCAATTTAATGCTAAAAAAATAAAATAGAAACATAACTATAATTGCTATTTCTTCTTTCAAATGTTTAATACTTGAAAAAGTATTCATTTGACATTGTGGGTTGCCTACAATGCGAAGAGATGGCGCTGCCTTGCAGCTTAAGGATAGGAAAATTTTGACGAGGCCATCAGGGCCGCGGTAGCATAATTGGTCAGTGCATTCGCCCGGATTGCGAAGGGTGCTGGTTTGAGTCCCGTCTGCTGCCTGGTCAGCGTAGATTTTATCCTATCAAAACTTTTCTTTAGATTTAAACATCTAGCAGTTTTATGCTTAAAAAAAAATCAATAAAAACATAACTATAATGAATATACATAAAAAAATATAGTGTGCATAGACCACACATCTGAAGTGAAACTTCTTTTCTTAAATAACCTAACATTAAGCGGTGCACAAGGCATAGGGGAATGGAGCAGCGAACACATCAGTCATATGTATGATTTTTCCATTTACACCCCGTCCGAAAAGAAGTTTAATTTCGAAAACTATATTTTTGTAGAAATACAAATATAAAAGCCTTAACTCGGGATCAATTTCTTGTAATAGGCTAGTTTACTCTTGTCGAATGGTATTAAATAATGATTATTTCTTAAAGTATTTAGTCTAAGGAACCTTAATATATCGATTTCACTTCATAAAAGCAGAAGATTGCTGTAGAAATTTAATTTAAAAAAATATTTTTTAGTCTATATTTTTTAAACACTAAAAACGCTGTTCGCCACATCCGCCATGATTTTGACGTCTCTTGTGGTAAACAACTAAATGTCATTCGCGTGTTACTGTAGGTGGATTCTTTCGTCTGACTAAATTTATCTTAAAACACTTTTAACTTTAGGAAAGAAAAAAACAGTAAACTTAGTTTTTTTTGACAAAACTAATTATGGATGCCGGCTTTGTGAAAGCAGAAAGCACAAATCTGCCAAGAATTGACGCATTGATGGTTGGTGCATTTGTTGCACTAAACCCCGATTTCTGCTCTGCGGAGCAGAGAAACGACAAGGCATCTATGTAAGTACAGTGCATTTCGTATTACAATGTAGTAATAAACATAAAACTGATACAACATATGAATAAGTGTTATACAGTTGCGTAGGTTAATTTCTTTCGGCACTTTAATCCACAACTTTCCTGGAGTCTTCAAGGATGTGTTTTTATATTCTCGTACAATACAGTAATGATAATTACTTTATTTTTCGTGGTATTTATTTGAAATCATGTTTTTTTTTATAAACTCAGTTAAAAGTAATTTTCTACGTGTTTACGAGTTTTTGTTTACCACAGTTCACGTCATAGCATAGATAATCTATAGACTAAAATGGCCAACAGCGTTTTTGTATGTCCATGAAAAGTCTATTTTAAAATTAAAGATTTGTAGCTTTCTAGGTTTAAAAAAAATACAATACATTTTTTTTCGGTCTAATAGAACATTTATTAACCATTTTAAACCTTTTTCCAAAAAGGGTCAACTAGCCTATTATCACACAAACATTTGGCTCCGTCAATATTTAAAGTCTACACCTCGCGCGCTGGTGTACGTCACCACCTTACTGTGCCCCTATTCCTACATGAACAAAGAAATTTGGCGACTCATCGCACTGTCCTACTATTCGCAAGTGGAATAGGGTCTTTGACAAGTTTTAGAAAACGATCTCACGTTATTGACTAATGTTTATGGAGTCCGTAAAAAGTGGATATTCATCATTCTCTTGTGTATTTCAGTTAAAATAACTAAACCAAAAACTCCATTTTCAAGTTGCCGCGAAAACGTTTCTCTGGACAATATGGCGTCTTACTAGTGTGTGACGTCACACGACTGTTATTAAAACGTCAAACGATACAATGTAATATCACTTTAACCGGAAGTTTACTTGCGTGTGACGTCATTTTAGGCTCCACCAATCCCAAACGTTTTGGGTCACGTGACAATAGATAAGAAAACTATTATCTTTTTCGTAGGTTTTTAGTAAAACAATGAATATGTTTTTTGTAAAAATAGTAAAAACCCCTGCCAACATTCATTCTAAACACAGATGCTAACAATTGGCACTTTATTTTTAATACTATCAAATACCCTATTCTTTGCTAGCGCACGTATTCCCCCCTTTCTACAATCTGGGGTCCTTTAAGAGAGGTATGAAGAAGCATTTCTGCAGACCGACAAGGTGAGGATGGTTGGTATGGCATTTTATAACTTCCGCACCAGCCATCTTCATGTCTGGACTTTACCACCACTTAAAATCAGGTGAGGCAGACTCAATTGCCTACTTAGCTATAAAAAAATGAGTGTGCTTATGACCACACGACTGAAGTGAAACTTCTTTAGCTCCATCTGTATGTATACATGTGTACAATATATACATGTATGTTCATATACATATTTATAACAAAGCTATAAGAGAAAGAAAATGTGCGCGCGCACTGCTTTCTCTTGCTTATATCCCCCACTCAACTCCCGTCCGCCTCGCCCGAACACACTTTTCGTAACGCGTAACGCATTCTCCAGCTTAGAAGTTTCACTTCAAAAAGCAGTAAAGGAACTTAAATAACAACCGCTAATAAGTGTAGTGTTGGACTATTCTTACCGCAATCTGCCGGTTGAGGTCGTCCTTGGAGCAGTCGTTCTCTAAGGAGCTGATGACGAGCATCTTCTGTGCTGCGATCCTGGAGCACAGCCGCTGCATCGCTCGTAAGGCTTCCGCTTCCGTCACCTGACGACGACCCGCCTTCGCTTCCGCTGGACAAACAGACAATACCATCAACTTAACATCATCATCATCATCATCATCATCATCATCAGCCTATAAATGTCCCCACTGCTGGGGCACAGGCCTTCCTTATGGATGCAATAGGGAGATTGGGCCATGACACACCACGCGGGCTCAGTGCGGATTGGTGGGTGCTAACGACTGCAAATGCAGCCGGGACCAACGGCTTAACGTGCCTTCCGAAGCACGGAGGAGCTCGAGATAGTAAATTTTAGGGCACCCATCCAATGACCGACCACTGCGAAAGTTGCTCAACTTCAACGATCGCAGCCGAACGCGCTAGCCACCTGCGCCATCGAGCTCCTCATCAACTTAATATCAGCCGCATAGACACCCCACTACAGTTGTAAATGATTTGTTCTTAATCAAAATCTGTGGTAATATTCTATGAAAACGGTAAAAAAAAGCGTGTGCGTCTCGGGACGCGTGACAGAAGTGATGACTTAAACTAATCGCGTTACGTAACGAAGGGAATAGGGGTGATGACGGGGTACAGTAAACGAAATTCTATTTAGTCCGTCAGTTAGATGAGCAAAAAATAATGGACACGTATTTTTTCTTTGGGCAATCAACCAAAAAATGATAAAGTTATAGCGCGTCAAAGTTTGGGAGTAGGGGCTCGTGACGTCACTATTGAGTGAATTTTCACTTATACGTGTACTCAAACGTGACGTCATGCGACTTTTCAAACCAATTTATCTCTGCAATGTTTATATTATGTGAAAAAAGAAAAAATACATGTCCAATACTTTTTGATAATCTACCTGATAAACGAAGAAAAAAAAATTAGTCATCATCCCTATTACTCTCCCATAAGAAGTTATCACCTGAATAACGTGATCATGATGAATCCTAACATTAATAACGTTGGAGTAGGGCAGAATGACGCATGATTTGAGTAATAATTTTCGATTCGTTTCTTTATTAGCTCAAGTTATCCCTTATTGTATTTATTTTTATGTACCAACTAGCGACCGCCCGTGACTTCGTCAGCGTTATCTTTAGTTTTTTGAGAATTCAACAGGAAGCTAACATTTTTCCGGGTCGAAAAATATTCTATGTCTCAATCCAGGAAATCAAATAGATGCGTACCAAATTTCATCCTAAACCGTTCAGTAGTTTTTGGGTGACTGAGTAACAAACGTACAAGCTTTCACATTATAATAATACTAGCAAACCAGTGAACCAAATGTTCAACAAAACCTGATTTAAAAAAAAAAATTAATTGAGAACTTCGTAGATTTTGTGTGGTTTCGTTTGAAATTCGTGATTTCTCGAAAACCGGAAGTGCTACGTTACTCAAATCCGGTTTGTAGTCTTATCAGACTATTCTTAACTTATAACTTAAATATTCTCTTTATCTATCTCTTACGGTTTGGCCGCTGAAACAGCACCACAGACAGACGGGCGGACTTGTCTAATAGATAAGAGATAAGTAAGATTTTCTTTTTAATGCTAATATTGCGAGTTCTGTTTTGAGAGTGTTTTATGCTTACATGATATCTTGCGTCTGTACTTGGCCCGCTGGTGCCTCTCTTCGGGCGATCGCTCCACAGAACTCGACGACTGACCTTCTACCACTCTTGACTGTAACAATAACAATAATATTTATTTCTTAGCTTTTCTCGCACACCAGTCATTATATAAAACAAGTTTCAACGGTATATTTGCACTGATTTATTTATTTATTGACGATTCGCATCCTTTTCAGGAATGTCCTTTCGTCTGAATAGGGTATTTGACAGTGTTAAAGTGTCAATTGTTAGCATCTGTGTTTAGATTGAATATTGGCAGGGGTTTTTACTATTTTTACAAAACAAATATTCATAATTTTACTAAAAACTAATGAAAAAGATAATAGTTTTCTTATCTTCACGTGACCCAAAACGCTTGGGATTGGTGGAACCTAAAATGACGTCACACGCAAGTAAACTTCCGGTTAGTGACATTACATTGTATCGTTTGACATTTTAATAACAGTCGTGTGACGTCACACACTAGTAACACGCCATATTGTCCAGAGAAACGTTTTCGCGGCAACTTGAAAATGGAGTTTTTGATTTGATTATTTTTACTGAAATACACAACAGAATGATGAATATCCACTTTTTACGGACTCCATAAACATTAGTCAATAACGTGAGATCGTTTTCTAAAACTTGTTAAATACCCTATTCTGAGCTGTACCCTTAGTACGAATTTGAGCTCACGAGAACTATCATAGTTCTCTTAATTGTAAATTATGTTTCTATGTCCATTTTGGTGAAAAAAAGTGACCAAATATACTTAAAATTTAAGAGAACGCAAATTATTAAATTATTCAAATTATTATTATTATGTTTATTTGTATTGAAACGAAAACAATAAAATCAGTACCCTTAGTACGAGTGCGAGCTCACGAAAACTATCATAGTTTTCGTATTTGTAAAACTCGTACTAAGGGTACTGATAAACTGTCAATTAACTATATATACCTGTCTACAGTCATCGGCACTGGATATGTCACTGTCGTCCGCATCGCCCGGCCCCAGGCGGAAATCCGGTGGAGGCGGGGCGGGGCGATCCTCGGCCGTCCCCTCGGGGGAGGGGAGGGTGGTTGTCCCCGCCCCCGTGGAGGGGGAAGCGATCCCTTCTGATCCGGGGAAAGGCTTCGGCGAGCTGCATGATGCAGTATGGAACTCTTCAGTGTTGATCGCTGTGTTTGGTGAAGCGAGCGGATCCAGGCTGAGACTTAGGCTGGGGATTAAGTGAAATTTGACAGTATTGAATATAATTTTTATTTTTTAAGCATGTAACTGCTTGATGTTCAAATCTAAAGAAAATATAACTAGAAAAAAATCCACGCGGACCAGACAGCAGACGGGACTCGAACCCGCACCTGCCCTGGCGCTGCCTTGCAGCTTAAGAATGGCCAGAAGAATTTCGACGCGGCCATCAGGGTCGCGGTAGCATAATTGGTCAGTGCATTCGCCCGGATAGCGAAGGGTGCGGGTTCGAGTCCCGTCTGCTGCCTGGTCCGCGTGGAATGTTTTCTAGTTGTATTTTCTTTAGTATTGAATATGCTAGAAGTGAAATTGAAATCTATTAGATTTTTGTGTGAAAATAATTAGCTTCAAAATCTACTAGTATACACATAAGTGTCAGACGCGACGAAACGAAAGCCTTGTTTTGATAAAATCATCTAGCAATCAATTATTCAATAAAAACTAATGTTATAAACACACTCCATTTTGATTGACAATGTCACATGATATTTGTGGAGCTGGCGAACAAAACGGTATTTGATTGCCCAAAGAAAAAATACGTGTCCATTATTTTTTGATCATCTAACTGACGGACTAAATAGAATTTCGTTTACTGTACCCTGTCATCACCCCTATTGTCCTTAAACAATAGATTGAATTGCATAAACAGATTGAATTAAATTACAGACTAGGACCGCTGACAAGAACGGAAGGTATATATTGAAGGTCATCATACCTCATCTTTTTGGCCTGGTAGTCATCTCGCTCGTCAGCTGACAGCGGGTCGAGCACTTCCTCACGCGGGGCGCGTCTCAGCACCAGCTCAGACTTGGAACGCTTCACGCCCTCTATGGGAGAAAACTCGCCACACTCTGCGAATGAGAAACAATTATTTATTATCAGTCTCTTAATGTCCCTACTGCTGAGGCACAGGCCTATCCAATGAAAGGTATTGGGAGAACGGGTCATGACTAGTTACGAGCGGGTGCTACTGGTCATGCAAATTGCATAATAATAAATAAAATAAATGACCGCAAATCGATCAAGCTCCTCAAAGATTTCAATCACGAATATAACACATAAAAAATTGACATGTTCAATAAGAGAGGTAAGTACGTGTTAGCTATTTTCGGTACTACATATTTTGTTTACATAAACTGCTGAACGGATTTGGATTAATTAATGATATGGATTGAGGATATAGGATATTTTTTATCCCGGAAAAGTGTTAGGTTCCTGAGGAATGATCAGAACACTAAAATGCGTTCACTTTAGTTTTTTTAAGACAAAGTCACGGACGGCCGCTAGTAGTAAATAAATAAAAAATTACTAGGGTTTCAGGCACTTGCTGACGACAACTAGTGTAGTTTAAACAGTTTATGTAGTTGATTTGGAATCTATCTCTTCACACGTAGGTAAACATGTCGCTCGACCTGCAGTCTCTCCACCTTGCCGCGGTGTGACGTCCCTCACCTGGTCGGGCGGAGAGGTCGGCGGCGAGCGCGTGCCTGAGGCCCAGCTGCTGCGTGTGCAGGAGGGCCAGCTCGGCCTGCAGTCTCTCCACCTTGCCGCGGTGTGACGTCACTCACCTGGTCGCGCGGAGAGGTCGGCGGCGAGCGCGTGCCTGAGGCCCAGCTGCTGCGTGTGCAGGAGGGCCAGCTCGGCCTGCAGTCTCTCCACCTTGCCGCGGTGTGACGTCACTCACCTGGTTGGGCGGAGAGGTCGGCGGCGAGCGCGTGCCTGAGGCCCAGCTGCTGCGTGTGCAGGAGGGCCAGCTCGGCCTGCAGTCTCTCCACCTTGCCGCGGTGTGACGTCACTCACCTGGTTGGGCGGAGAGGTCGGCGGCGAGCGCGTGCCTGAGGCCCAGCTGCTGCGTGTGCAGGAGGGCCAGCTCGGCCTGCAGTCTCTCCACCTTGCCGCGGTGTGACGTCACTCACCTGGTCGGGCGGAGAGGTCGGCGGCAAGCGCGTGCCTGAGGCCCAGCTGCTGCGTGTGCAGGAGGGCCAGCTCGGCCTGCAGTCTCTCCACCTTGCCGCGGTGTGACGTCACTCACCTGGTCGCGCGGAGAGGTCGGCGGCGAGCGCGTGCCTGAGGCCCAGCTGCTGCGTGTGCAGGAGGGCCAGCTCGGCCTGCAGTCTCTCCACCTTGCCGCGGTGTGACGTCACTCACCTGGTCGCGCGGAGAGGTCGGCGGCGAGCGCGTGCCTGAGGCCCAGCTGCTGCGTGTGCAGGAGGGCCAGCTCGGCCTGCAGTCTCTCCACCTTGCCGCGGTGCGAGGCCACCATCGACGCGCGACACTGCAGCTCCTGCTCCAGCTCCGACACTTCGCGTTTCTGGTAAACACATAGTCAAAATGAAATTTGGCTACAATAGAGAGGTACAGAATTCTGTGTGATACAGTGTTTCTGTAATCAAATTTCCTTAACGCTGTTATCTTGACAAACTATTACCAGAGGGCCCAAGCACCAGTTTTTGACAGCTGCGTGACGTATCGCATCGTATTAAAGAACAAATTATTACTATACTTCACGGAGCTGTCAAAAAACTCTGAAAACAAAAATTTTGTTGTGTATGAAATGTTAGTGTTTACATAATTAAGAACATTTTAAATGATTTTGAACACAGATACAAATCTATATTTTAAATAGGACTACTAAAATTCACACTCAATAGTTAGTGTAATAAAATATCGAAATAGTACTCACATGTCGTTCAACGGTTTCTTTTATAGCATTCGCGGTTTCGGGCTCGCACTGCTGCAGCAGTTGAAGCAAGCACTCCGTGCTGGTGTCCGAAGATGTGTCTACACTGGAGCTCTGCAACAAAATATGAAGTTACCTATAATAATCTATTTGTAACAGAGCCACCGTGTGAAGAAGTTCTTATTGGCTGTTGTATGACGGATTCTTAATAGTCATGACAGATTCTTACAGTCATGACGGATTCTTACCTTATTACCACAAAAACGTTAAGACATGCGTTCAACACGAGTTTAAGAAATATATTACATACAATATTTGTCTAAATAAGGTTTGAAACCGTGTAACTTTTTTTGTAGTAAGACCGTTATAGTCTACATTAGAAAGGAACTAGCAAACCAGTGAACCAAATGTTCACCAAAACCTGATTTCTCGAAAACCGGAAGTGCTACGTTACTCAAATCCGGTATGTAGTCTTATCAGACTATTCTTAACTTATAACTTAAATATTTTCTTTATCTATCTCTTACGGTTTGGCCGCTGAAACAGCACCACAGACGGACTCGTCTAATAGATAAGAGATTTAAAAAAACAAAGACGGTAAAGTTTGCTACCACCCTTCACCTCTGCCTGACGAGAAACGTTTGGTCCTTACTAAAGATACATGCCGCGCCAGTCACCCTTATGTCCGTATAGTTCGAGTGTATATAGAGAAAACCATTACGGAAACTCCGGATAACTCGGAAAGATAAATTTAAAACAAGTGCTTCCGATGAAAAAGAATGAGCCAGCGCAGTAAACGAGCTAAACATTTACCACTAAGGTAGTTTGTTCATTTGGCTGTTGTATGACCGCCGGCGAGGATGTGGTAATAGATATACATTGCGTGTTAACAAAAGATATGCATATATTAATAAATAGTTGACCGCTGACTGTTCACACTATCCACCACGCAAAATAATAATATTAATTTGCCGAAATTGTGTACATAATTGGATGTTATTTTTATTAAGTTTTCCATCAATTTCTGCCATCACTTGCAAATATTAAAATATATAAATGTCAAAAAAATACTTTATAATTCAAAATTACAATTCATTTAACATAGCTTAACAATATTATTTATCACTCACTTTGCCTAAATATCAGGTACTTGCCAACATTATAAAAACAATGGTGGAACAGCCGCAACGTCAAAAAAAAATTTTTCTTCAAGACAAACATACAATATACATTTTTCTTGTAAATATGAAAGCGTATACTATGTACATTAATTTTCAATGTGTTTGTTTATAATTTCAACAAAAAAAATGTGTTCTCTAGTCGCATCTCTTTTGTTTACACAAAATGTATATCTATTGTACGTGTCTTGAGCGAGAAAGAGGCGATACTTAGTTGCTTCCTTGCCGGCGGTCAGGCAACTGCCTTTAAAAGACCTCTCAAAATCTTCGCTAGTGGAAAGCAAAAACTGTTTTACTTATTTTCTTCCACGTATTTTCAGGTTATTTTTCTTTCGTAGTAGAACGTTATTCTAACTATTTTTATACGAACTTCATCTTCATTTCTGCCCATTTTTTATTCTTACCGAAACAAAACTCAGCCCCATCAGTACCCCTAGCACGAACCATTATGGAAGTCGAATAGTTTGCCAGTGCTAAATGTCAATGTCAAATTTTGTTTGGAAACTTGAACAGCAGCACCACAAAGTACGTAACGAGAACTAAAGATCCGTACACATTTGACTATGATATTTCGGACTCGCAAACGTTACGAATTCTATATTGGTTCGTACTAAAGGGTACTAATGTTAATTGTAAGTATCATCATCAGCCTATTAATGTCCCCACTGCTGGGGCACAGGCCTTCCCTATGGATGGAATAGGGATATTGGGCCATGACCCACCACGCGGGCCCAGTGCGGATTGGCGGGTGCTAACGACTGCAAATGCAGCCGGGACCAACGGCTTAACGTGCCTTCCGAAGCACGGAGGAGCTCGAGATAGTAAATTTTTGGTCACCCATCCAATGACCGACCACTGCGAAAGTTACTTAACTTCAACGATCGCAGCCGAACGCGCTAACCATTTGCGCCATCGAGCTCCTCATTGTTAGTATTGTCGCGAGAACAATCGGTGCGAGAACTATGGGAGAAAAAGGTGCCACTCCAGCTATCCCTACCTTATCAGCCTAAACCCAATACCCCATTGAGCATTAAACCCAAAACCTGAGGCGCGTAACAGACAGAAAGGATGTCAGACGCAGACGTAGCGCGGGCATACAAAAATGTATAGAAACGCCGCGTTCCAAACATATTGGTGACTCATTTCTTTGTCACACTGGATAGTGTGTGTGAAGTTAATGGAATGGTCTGCCTGCTCAAGTGTTCCGTTCCTCTTACAACCTGGGGGCCACTCGCCTAACGGAAATGCTTAGGAAAACGCTAACGCTTTCGATTTTATTTTGTTATTTCTGACCGCCTGAGGTTTTCAAATACCTCACGCTCATTTTTTTTAATATTGTTATTACCAATGCAAAAAATTCGTACAAAAATCCGCCAAGCCCAGTCTATTTTAGCGACCATGTTTTTGTATATTGAATAAATTAATAAATATTTCCAACACTCATACCACCCCAAAGTAAGCACTGTAAGGCTTGTGTTATGGGATACTAGGGTAACGGATAGAGTACATATACTGATACATATATAAGTATATTTATAAGGAAATACATATTAAACATCCATGACTGGAGTACAAATGCTCGTATTCCTCACACAAATATTTGCCCCCAGCGGGATTCGAACCCGGGACCTCTCGAGTCGGCGAAACCACTCGGCCACGGAGGTCAGAGGAATGACTTTATAATTTTGATGTCGAGGCTATTGTGAAATGGCAAATGCGCATGGGCAGTAGCTAGCACGCATAATAATGAAGAAAGCTAAACAATACTAGGAAGCAAAACGGGTTGCAGACAATGTACATTTAAAAAACAAGCAACAACACTCGCCGAATTGCCACAAAATCTACACATAAGTTAAACCCGGTCTAGAAATAATGTTGTCACCAGCGAATGTTGAACAGTACCTCTACCATTATCGAATTCGAATAGTTTGTAAACCGAAATTTCAATGTCCAATTTTGTATGGAAACTTGAACAGCAGCGCCGCGCCACAAAGTACATAACGAGAACTAAAAATCAGTACACATTCGACAATGACATTTCGGACTCGCAAACGATACGAATTCGATATTGGTTCGTGCTAGGGATACAGAAGACAGAGTCAGCGTTAGGTTTAAACTTCAGTCCACGTTTTGTAATAAGGCGGACAAAGCCCAGCCGAATATATAAAATACTGGCAGTTAACCATCATTATTGCAATAACAATTTCGACAGCACTCAGAGATGTCAATAAAATTTCATACTTCTTTATGTAACATTAGCGGCCCGCCCTCGCTTCGCTTCGGTGTAGAGCTGAAGTACTACAGTTTTTGTTCTCAGGCTTGTATTATACACAATGACATTCATCTATGATTATTCTTATACCTGCATGCAAGTCTCGGTTTAAAATTGACAAAGTTTCATACAAACTTTCATTCCCTATTTTATCCCCTTGGGGGTAGAATTGATCAAAATCCTTTCTTAGCGGATGCCTACGTCATAACATCTTCCGGCATACCAAATTTCAGCCCGACCCGTCCAGTGGTTTGGACTGTGCGTTGACAGATCACTATGTCAGTCAGTCAGTCACCTTTGAGTTATATCTTTATATATATAATTCTTCTGTGAGTGTGTATGTCACTGAACTTCTCTTAAACGACTGGACCGATTTTGATGAAATTTTTTGTGTGTGTTCAAGGTGATCTGAGAATGGTTTAGATTCACAATTTTGTCCGCTGGACAATGTTTTTTTAAATTTTTTTTTTTTATGGCGGTACGAAGTTCGCTGGGTCAGCTAGTATATATATAGATTATGTCTTATTCTATTGTTGTCACAGCTTTAATCAAACACGTCTCTACCCCCTTATTAATTAACGAAGAATAAGCTTGGCTTAGTTAATCCATGTTTTGCCTCTGTTCATCATCATCATCACCCTATTAATAACCCCACTGCTGGGGCACAGGCCTTCCCTATGGATGGAATAGGGAGTTTGTTTTGGGCCATGTCCCACCACGCGGGCCCAGTGCGGATTGGCGGGTGCTAACGACTACAGATGCAGCCGGGGCCAACGGCTTAACGTGCCTTCCGAAGCACGGAGGAACTCAAGATAGTCGACGACCTCCGCGGCCGAGTGGTTTGTACGCCGGGTTTCATGGTGTCGCCGACTCGAGAGGTCCCGGGTTCAAATCCCGGTGGGGGCAGATGTTTGTGTGATGAATACGACATTTGTACTCCAGTCATGGATGTTTAATATGTATATCTATAAAAATATACTTATATATGTACAGTATATGTCTATCCGTTACCCTAGTATCCCATAACACAAGCCTTACAGTGCTTACTTTGGGGCTAGGCTAATTCGTGTGAGTGTTGGAAATATTTATATATTTATTTATTTATATAGTAAATTTTTGGTCACCCATCCAATGACCTGCGAAAGTTGCTTCAACGATCGCAGCCGAACGCGCTAACCACTTGCACCAACGAGCTCCTCAATGAATGGCTAATGGCATTTGAGTGATATGAACAAAACATGGCGTAACTAGTCCAAGCTTATTCCTCGTTTATTAATAAAGAGGTTAGTGCTAGTATTGCACATGCAATGAATTCAATTTACGGGGAACTACAACACAATTAATTTAGCTAGTCAAACGTATCATTTACCATGCGTGGAGCTCTACTAGTATAATATGCACTGACTTTATTTTATTGAGTAACGCAATAAATGTTATAAGTATGTAGAAAAATATTTGACAATTCAACCTACTTAAGAGCCCTTTTACAAATTTGCGCCGCCGCCGTACTGATCGGCGCGTAGGTAGATTTGCACGTATATATATTGCATTTTACGGGTGATGTTTCGAGTCTTATAAACTAACTAGCTGACCCAGCGAACTTCGTACCGCCCTAAAAAAATAGGGGTTGTCCAGCGGACAAAATTGTGAATCTAAACCATTCTCAAATCCCCTTGAACACACACAAAAAATTTCATCAAAATCAGTCCAGTCGTTTAAGAGAAGTTCAGTGACATACACACTCACAGAAGAATTATATATATAAAGATTATTAATGAACTAATTATAAAAATATATACATATTTCAGTAGTTCAATACTGGTAGATTAGTTTTATGAAAATTTTTGATAGTAATTCTATTTAATTCAAGATGAAAATACGAGGTAAAACTGCATTATTTTTGGGTAAACTCACGGAGGTTAGAAGTTTTTTTTTGATAATTAATGAGACGGAAAATCCATATTCTAATACATTATGTTACAACAAAAACATATTTCTGATGTCGTAGTAATTAATTTGATCTAATTTATTGAACATTATTTAGAGATTCAGGCGTTTGAAGTTGTGCATATTATCGTTTTTTCCGTAAACTAGCTGCGGTAGAAGGATCATTACAAAAAAAGGAAAATAGTATTTGCAAATATTCTACATTAACTTACAATAGGAAAAATAAATCTACTGTTTACTTCTATTGGAAATAGTCAACATTTTTTCAAAGAGGGTTAACGAGGCGCTCAAAAATTACGATATTTTGCAAAAAATGTTAAAGGGCTCTTAAGCGGGACTCGAACCTATTTGTTGGTCGTATCGTACGACTGCTCCTCCAACTTAGCATCTACCTAAAGAAGTGTTTACAAAATGAGAGCCGTGACCACATAACCACACTGAAGCGTAAAAATTTAGTCCCTTCCACCAACCAATTTATATTTCTTACCTGTATCCCCTTCTCGCCGAGCTCTCGCAAAGTTTTCTGCACGTATTCCTCGAGCGCCGCCTTCCTGGAGTCCACCTGATCGCGGAGCGCGGACGCCCGCTCTTCCTCCGCCTCCGCCTAAACACAGGGGAGGTGTAGCAACATAAAACACTACTATGGAATTCTGAATTTCAACCTTAACACCATACATATTGAGTGCCATTTAAAACTTTTATCGAAAATTTTAAAATAGGTAGTTTAACTGAGAAGTTACACGCTGTATTGCAAAAGCCCAATTAAAGAGTGGGTAAAAACTTTACTACAAGAAAACAATACCTTTTGTAATGGTGGCATTTATCTATTTTAATTATCGTGTGAACGACAATATGCAATCAAAGGGAACACAATAAATTCAGAACTCCAATAAACAAAACAAGAAAAATTAAACAGTGATATTAAATAAAAAAAGGCAGAGAGGTGATTTATTGAGGAGACAAAAGTGTAACCGATATATGCGTCTGCGTGAGACCGGCCCGGTTTCAGCACTAGTTCATACTGTGAGAAAAATAATATTAAAACAATCGTGACATTGTTTGAGCTGAAAGTGAGTGTATCGACGGGCGAGTACCACTGGTGTACGATTTTTTTCAATAGATCGAACGATTATGTGGCGAGGTGACAAGTGAAAGTAGATCGCCTAAAACTCATTATCGGAAATTCCGAGTTATTAAATTTACGCAGTGAAAGTGCGGTGACTCAAAACCTAATCTTTTTAAATTAGCTCTGAAGTTTTAATAACTTTTTCTCTTACTACGAATAGTTCCTAATGACATAAATTTTTCATTTTTTTAATTATATAAAATAAAATATTTTTCTCGAGATAAATGTGTTGTATTAAAAAAGATTGATAAATCCAGATTATTATATTAAATGTATGTATTTTATCTCAAAGATATATGTAAGGGCCAAAATTTTACATTTCCTATTAATTATCATGCTGGCTGTTTTATTAGATGACGTAACCAGGTATATAAAATATTACATTTATTTAAGGCAAAAAATTCAATAATTGTATTTAATTCTAGAACCAATAGTAGGGGCAGGCTAGTGACATCGATTGCAGAAACCTTACATAACTAGACAGTGCGCCTATTAACGTACCGAGATATCACAAACCCCCATCTGTTGGCCGATGACTTTCGTTTCGCATAATTAAATAACTCGAAGAGAACATAAAATATAAATAAAACGATATCTGCCATTGGAATGTTAATAAAGCACCGCATAAGAAATAAACGTAAACAATTTAATATTTAATCTTGTTCAAGTGCTGAATGTAGTAGCGAAACACTGTGGCGACGTTATGAATAAATGATTGATATTATATTTACTTTAGACCAAATAATGAATTTAAAATTAATGCTGATCATTGATATATTCGCGATCGATATCGGTATTCGGTCACTTTTGGACCAAATAATGAATTTAAAATTAATGCTGATCATTGATATTCGCGATCGATATCGGGATTCGGCCACTTTTGGACCAAATAATGAATTTAAAATTAATGCTGATCATTGATATTCGCGATCGATATCGGGATTCGGTCACTTTTGGACCAAATAATGAATTTAAAATTAATGCTGATCATTGATATTCGCGATCGATATCGGGATTCGGCCACTTTTGGACCAAATAATGAATTTAAAATTAATGCTGATCATTGATATATTCGCGATCGATATCGGGATTCGATCTGACTTTTGGCTTCTTTAATTTGCTAACGGTGAGTTAGTTTTCCGATTTACTTTAATATCAAGGTAAATAATTTTATTTTTAAATTTGCGAAAAGCTAAATATCTATTCAATAACCGACTAGAACAGCAAAATTAACAGTTTGAAACAACTAATTTATGTTGTACGTGGAATAAAAAAAAGCTTGGTTTACTATAAACTATGCCATTCATGCCAATAAGTCTTTGATCTAAAAATATTCTATGAACGCAACAAACACTACTTTTGTTACTACCAGCATGCACAATCAAATCGCTTTAAAGTATTTCTAATAAAAACTGTTTATTACACTAAAGTCCGTTACTTACCTGAGTATATCATACGTTAACAGATTAAAATAATGCTTGTATAATGCTCCACAACAAAGCCTTAGCCGTCGTTATTATTTAATATAAATATAAATTATATTATTTTTAAAACATGTAACTGCTCGGTGTTTAAATCTAAAGAAAATATAACTAGAAAAAAATCCGCGCGGACCAGGCAGGCAGACGAGACTCGAACCCGCACCCTTCGCTATCCGGGCAAATGTACTGACCATTATGCTACCGCGGTCCTGATGGCCGTGTCGAATTCTTTCTAGCCTTTCTAAAGCTGCAAGGCAGCGCCGTCTCTTCGGATTGTAGGTAACCCACAATGTCAAATAATTAAGAAATATAATTGCTATTCACCTATTAATATGTTGCTCAAACAACTCAACTAACATATATACTGAAGTAATTTCTTTTCGGCGGAGTAATGAGCTCAGGAGGCTATAGGCATAATGTTGTCGATTCTGGCATGATTATCTGAGCCTAAACTTAAATTTGACAACAGTATATCCTTGTCATTCTCTTTACAGAATGAAAAGGAGAGACTGATGTTAAATTTAGATTTAAGTTTAAAGAATCACGCCAGAATTGACACCAATATTTGGGTAAACTATTTTTGTTTTTTGTCTTAGTTGTGTTATTCAACTCAGTAGATACACAGACAGTTGATGAAGTTATCTAAAACTGTAAGATTTCTTCAACTGATTTTGATCTTTACTACATAAGATTCACGATCTATTAACAACACTTGACATTAACTGAACGGGTGGCTGTATTTCTATAAGTCTTATGAGTACAAGTATATCTGTGACGATTAATTATTTTGAATAATTATACGGGAGAACTTTGCATACAACTCGCCATATATTATCTCTGTTATGTATAAAAAAACTACTAACTTACTTAAATTTTAATTATTTTATTTACACTAGAGAACGTATTCAGGGGTACCCGCTTATGCCCGCAAACGCCGACCAACAGCAATACAGTCATCGTTTCATCAAATTTGTCATTCGACTGTAACTACACACTGTTCACATTTGGAGGAGGAGCTCGATAGCGCAGGTGGTTAGCGCGTTTGGCTGAGATCGTTGAAGTTAAGCAACTTTCGCAGAGGTCGCTCATTGGATGGGTGACCAAAAATCTTCTATCTCAAGTTCTTCCGTGCTTCGGAAGGCACGTTAAGCCGTTGGTCCAGGCTGCATCTGCAGTCGTTAGCACACACCAATCCGCACTGGGCCCACGTGGTGGGTCATTGCGCAATCACCCTATTCCATCCATAGGGACGGCTTGTGCCTCAGTAGTGGGGGCATTAATAGGCTGATGATGATGATGAACACACTGTTGTGGCCAATCAAAACGCGGGTTACTCTCTCTTCACACGGCGCTAACTTCGGCGATATCGATTTCAAACAAAGATGAGTAACGCATGCTAGTAAGCGTGTTCTGTTTTTGTTTATCGCGTAGATTTCGTTATGTGGTACATAACGCTCGACATCTTTGTTATATTTCTCTCTCTCTTTCATTCTCACTCTATATAACTTTCTCTCTCTTAGGGCCCGTTCATAAAATACGTTCGCATACAAGCTCTTGCAAAGTGTGACAAGATGTGACAAGGGGGACGGGGGGTCTACGGCAACGTGACGTTCGTCGTTCATTAAAAATTTTTAAATTAGTATTTCTTTCAACTATTTTTCTTTCTCAATTTTCATCAAGATAGAAAATCATTTATTTCGTATTTAGTAAACATAGATATTCAAACGTATATAGTTTTATTATACAATAAATTGTAACTTGATATATTTACTCATGTTTATTTTTCGACATTAGCGCTAGCTCCATGGCGCGGCTCTAGCCTATTGATTTGACTCTAGCAGCGTTACAATTCGTGACAATCGATTTCTTTGTTTTACAAGCTGGTACAGAAAATGCAGAATGGATAGATGACGATGAAGTGGACGGTAGTTTTGAAAATGAAGAAGAAGATGTTGCAATACCGATTATAGATATTTCAGCGCATTTACAGAATCCTTGGCCTTCTAATTAATAGAAATATGATTTATTTATTTGTTATGAAAAGATATTTATTTATATATTTAAATTTTATTATAAAAACTAAATAAATATTTAAATTCTTAAAATTTGTGTACTATCAATTAAAATTAATCATACTGTCTCCGTTTTTGTGACGGAATATTTCAAGAGGGGTCACAGAAAGTGTGACACAGCGTGACAATAGGGGGGGAGGGGGTCGGAAAAAGCTGATTTTAGCGTGACGTATTTTATGAACGGCCCCTTATCACATATGCCTCTCTGTTACAGCCACATGGTGTGCTACTATTTCGATGTTCTCCTAATCTCTTACTTCCTTTTCTTACGCGGTATGTCCGCCTCTACGATGTTCTATTAGTAGAAGAATGAGAAGAAATAATCTAGTTTTAGAAGAATCTACGATGTTCTTTTTATCTCTCTGTCTGTACGTGTTATACCACGTGGTTCGTATGGGCAGTGCTGGTAGCCCGTAACCTTTGCTGCCTGGCTCGCAGTTCCCGTCATGTGGTCCTCAATGCCTTGTTCATTCTGTCTGTGTGTCATACTCATGTGGTTCGTATGGGCAGTGTTGGTAGCCCGTAATCTTTGCTGCCTGGCTCGCAGTACCCGTCGTCTAGTCCTCGATGCATCGTTCATTCTGTCTGTGTGTCATACTCATGTGGTTTGTATGGGCAGTGCTGGTAGCCCGTAACCTTTGCTGTCTGGTCCTCAATGCATCGATCATTCTGTCTGTGTGTCATACTCACGTGGTTTGTATGGGCAGTGCTGGTAGCCCGTAACCTTCGCTGTCTGGTCCTCAATGCATCGATCATTCTGTCTGTGTGTCATACTCACGTGGTTTGTATGGGCAGTGCTGGTAGCCCGTAACCTTCGCTGTCTGGTCCTCAATGCATCGATCATTCTGTCTGTGTGTCATACTCACGTGGTTTGTATGGGCAGTGCTGGTAGCCCGTAACCTTTGCTGCCTGAATCTCAATGCCTCGATCATTCTGTCTGTCTGTGTGTCATACTCACGTGGTTTGTATGGGCAGTGCTGGTAGCCCGTAACCTTTGCTGCCTGAATCTCAATGCCTCGATCATTCTGTCTGTCTGTGTGTCATACTCACGTGGTTTGTATGGGCAGTGCTGGTAGCCCGTAACCTTTGCTGTCTGGTCCTCAATGCATCGATCATTCTGTCTGTGTGTCATACTCACGTGGTTTGTATGGGCAGTGCTGGTAGCCCGTCACCTTTGCTGCCTGAATCTCAATGCCTCGATCATTCTGTCTGTCTGTGTGTCATACTCACGTGGTTTGTATGGGCAGTGCTGGTAGCCCGTAACCTTTGCTGTCTGGTCCTCAATGCATCGATCATTCTGTCTGTGTGTCATACTCACGTGGTTTGTATGGGCAGTGCTGGTAGCCCGTAACCTTTGCTGCCTGAATCTCAATGCCTCGATCATTCTGTCTGTCTGTGTGTCATACTCACGTGGTTTGTATGGGCAGTGCTGGTAGCCCGTAACCTTTGCTGCCTGAATCTCAATGCCTCGATCATTCTGTCTGTCTGTGTGTCATACTCACGTGGTTTGTATGGGCAGTGCTGGTAGCCCGTAACCTTTGCTGTCTGGTCCACAATGCCTCGATCATTCTGTCTGTCTGTGTGTCATACTCACGTGGTTTGTATGGGCAGTGCTGGTAGCCCGTCACCTTTGCTGCCTGGATCTCAATGCCTCGATCATTCTGTCTGTCTGTGTGTCATACTCACGTGGTTTGTATGGGCAGTGCTGGTTGCCCGTAACCTTTGCTGCCTGAATCTCAATGCCTCGATCATTCTGTCTGTCTGTGTGTCATACTCACGTGGTTTGTATGGGCAGTGCTGGTAGCCCGTCACCTTTGCTGTCTGGTCCACAATGCCTCGATCATTCTGTCTGTCTGTGTGTCATACTCACGTGGTTTGTATGGGCAGTGCTGGTAGCCCGTCACCTTTGCTGCCTGGATCTCAATGCCTCGATCATTCTGTCTGTCTGTGTGTCATACTCACGTGGTTTGTATGGGCAGTGCTGGTAGCCCGTCACCTTTGCTGCCTGGATCTCAATGCCTCGATCATTCTGTCTGTCTGTGTGTCATACTCACGTGGTTTGTATGGGCAGTGCTGGTAGCCCGTCACCTTTGCTGCCTGGATCTCAATGCCTCGATCATTCTGTCTGTCTGTGTGTCATACTCACGTGGTTTGTATGGGCAGTGCTGGTAGCCCGTCACCTTTGCTGCCTGGATCTCAATGCCTCGATCATTCTGTCTGTCTGTGTGTCATACTCACGTGGTTTGTATGGGCAGTGCTGGTTGCCCGTAACCTTTGCTGCCTGAATCTCAATGCCTCGATCATTCTGTCTGTCTGTGTGTCATACTCACGTGGTTTGTATGGGCAGTGCTGGTTGCCCGTAACCTTTGCTGCCTGAATCTCAATGCCTCGATCATTCTGTCTGTCTGTGTGTCATACTCACGTGGTTTGTATGGGCAGTGCTGGTAGCCCGTCACCTTTGCTGTCTGGTCCTCAATGCCTCGATCATTCTGTCTGTCTGTGTATCACACTCACGTGGTTTGTATGGGCAGTGCTGGTAGCCCGTCACCTTTGCTGCCTGGTCCACAATGCCTCGATCATTCTGTCTGTCTGTGTGTCATACTCACGTGGTTTGTATGGGCAGTGCTGGTAGCCCGTCACCTTTGCTGTCTGGTCCTCAATGCCTCGATCATTCTGTCTGTCTGTGTATCACACTCACGTGGTTTGTATGGGCAGTGCTGGTAGCCCGTCACCTTTGCTGCCTGGTCCACAATGCCTCGATCATTCTGTCTGTCTGTGTGTCATACTCACGTGGTTTGTATGGGCAGTGCTGGTAGCCCGTCACCTTTGCTGTCTGGTCCTCAATGCCTCGATCATTCTGTCTGTCTGTGTATCACACTCACGTGGTTTGTATGGGCAGTGCTGGTAGCCCGTCACCTTTGCTGCCTGGTCCACAATGCCTCGATCATTCTGTCTGTCTGTGTGTCATACTCACGTGGTTTGTATGGGCAGTGCTGGTAGCCCGTCACCTTTGCTGTCTGGTCCTCAATGCCTCGATCATTCTGTCTGTCTGTGTATCACACTCACGTGGTTTGTATGGGCAGTGCTGGTAGCCCGTCACCTTTGCTGCCTGGTCCACAATGCCTCGATCATTCTGTCTGTCTGTGTGTCATACTCACGTGGTTTGTATGGGCAGTGCTGGTAGCCCGCAACCTTTGCTGCCTGGATCTCAGTTCCCGTTGTCTGGTCCTCAATGCCCGTCTGCGGTGCGTCCAGCCTCGTTCTAACGCGCGCCAATCGCCCGATAGACGTCTACAAGCAGCCGCATATTCGCGTTCCATCGCCTCGCGCTCCTAATAATAAAATCATTTTTAATACGGCGTCCCCTGTGTCCAGTGTTATCGTTTAGCTACGCGCGTAATTTAAAAATGTTAAATTTAAATGCATTGTTAAGGGAATTAACGATTGAATAAAAATTGTTTGTTTTTTTTAATAGCAAATTAGCTTTTTAGAATTTATTTATTTATTTAAGGACAACCAACAAGAATATCCACACACAGTATAATATAAAAATAGTGTATAAGTGACAATTCAAGTGGTATCTTAATTATAGGTTGCCACGGCATGCATTTGTGACAATAATGAAGAGTGTGCACTCTTAACAAAATTATAAAAGTATTTAATTGTTATTGTTGATATTATGATTAGGAGTACTATTATGATTGGCATGAGTAGGTTATGGTCCAATCTCCCTATTCCATACATACGGAAGGCCTATGATATCAAAGAGCTAATGATATCAAAAATGCTAATGATGAAAGAACTTTTTTTAGTCAGGAAAATGCGTCACTCATACCCCTGCACCTGCGAATGGCGACAGGGGTATCATTAGGTCCTTTGGCTGTCAAGTCGCAGCTCATGGGCCGGTGAGACAACGAAACTGCAAGATCGGAATTTCCTAAGTCCAGACCACCCAGGTCTATGCCGGGGAGAGCCAGACGCCCAGGTGGGTTCTGTCTCCTTGCCCTCACCCTCCTACATGATGACAGACCTGGTCCAGCTGCTTCTGCGCCTGCAGCAGCTGCTCGCGCTCCTGCTGCCAGCGCCGCTGCCGCTCCTGCTGCTGCAGCAGGAACTGTTGCCGCTCCCTTTCTAGTTCTACGCGCTGCGCCTCTATACGCTCCGTGCGGGCGTCGTTCTCTAGCTCGCTAATCAAGAAACATTTTTTTTATGTTAAAATCTCGCCAATGTCACCAAACACCATAGCCTATAAACGCTTGCAATATCAAAAACATCACTCGCGCCGTTGCCTACCCTGACCCAAACCCCTATCCCGTATAATAATAAATAAATATTACCAACACTCACACCAATTAGCCTAGCCCCAAAGTAAGCACCGTAAGGCTTGTGTTATGGGATACTAGGGTAACGGATAGAATACATATACAGTACATATATAAGTATATTTGTATAAAAATACATATGAAACATCCATGACTGGAGTACAAATGCTCGTATTCATCACACAAACATCTGCCCCCACCGGGATTTGAACCCGGGACCTCTCGAGTCGGCGACACCATGAAACCCGGCGTACAAACTAGTGATGTTACGGTCTTGAATTTTGACAAACCGGATTTGATCGGTTAGTAATACATGCAAATCGGTTTCCGAACCGAACCGCCAAATTTTCAGTAAACCGCGGTTTGAACCGGTTTGAACCGTTTGACGAGTTGACGAATGAAACTTACGAAACAACAGGTGTTAATTTTTTTTAATTGAAGTTATACTTCTTTAGGCGCGTTATGAAAAAATGATGAGAGTGAAATTTCGAGATGCGCGCGCATCTCTGTAACACAATAGTAACACCATGAAGTTGGCCGCGGGCGCGTTATGAATGTAAGTGTCTAATAATGGTGGATTATTAACCACTTAGTGGTTAATAATCCACCATTATTAGACATCTGTTCGAAAGGTACTTTGAACGATCCACGGAGCTCCATAATTAATGATGCTAAAGAAGTATAACTTCTCACGCGCGTACATAAGTTACACGCATCCATTTTTTTCTACATATTGTGTTGATATTACAACGTGCAAATATTTAAAGGTAATTGAAAAATAACAATTAAAATATAAAAACATTTATTTTATAATAATAATCAGAATTAAAAATGTCAAAATAAAACAAATATCTATGTAATACCGTGTTGAAAAAAATTACAAAAAAATATGTAAACTCTATTAATTACATAAAACCGTACTTCTTAACTTTGAGAATAAAATATAATTTTAATAATCAACAATATAAATACGTAACTTATTTTTGTAAAATCATTTGAGTCGTAGAAACTTAACTTGGTACAAACAACTTAATTAAAAAGTTTTCTTACAACTATTAATCAATAATATTTGGTCTACTTTTTTAGAAGCTGAGCAATTACGTCGCATATTACATAATAATGAAAACAAAATTACACCGTCAAGTCAGTCAAATCTACCAGAGTCCGTTTCATTTCGGTTCGGTCGGTAAGTCGGTTATGGCTGTTGTATTTAAATTGACGATGCGCGCTAACCGTATCCGCTGCTGTAAGTCGGTTCGTATTGGTCGGTCAAGTTTTATTAGGGTCGGTAAAGCACGTCAGAAGCCGCACGCGATTTGTGGATGGCGGCATAAACAAGAATTGACAGGCGCGCAAGCGCGCAGCGCGATACGAACGAATGCCACGGTAGAACCGGTTTACGAAGACGTTAACCGATTCAACTCGGTCCATGCTCAAACCGGTTTGAACCGGTTTGAAAAGTCGAGTCGTTACATCTCTAGTACAAACCACTCGACCACGGAGGTCGTATAGCCAGGAACCTTCCTCACCGGCAGAAATACAAGATCATTAAAGGTAGATACAATAATTAAATAATAGGAGGTAATTATTCTTCCATTTATTAGTAAACAAAAGAGAATTTACAGGTTTTTCATCTATTAAATGTTCCCTAATCACTGGATTGAGCTCCAAAATCCAAAAAATATCTCGACAGAACACCACTACATACCAAGATTGGTCAGGGAAGCGATTGAAATAACCAAACACAAAAATTTCAATCGTGTCTGGAATCCAGTGGTTCGTATGTGTAAAAACCGCAAAAATCAAAAGTGCCGTTCCGCGAGCTGATACTGTGTGTATTGTGTAGGGAACAGGCGCGAGTGAATAGTGTGAATGTGATCGAGCGTAGTAAAACGCGACTTCAGAGGGTAGACTAATATATCTGCCAATAACATCTACCCGCAATAGGGAAGATGCATATATGATATTTACTAAAATTTTATGATTAAAATGTTAAAAAAATATAAAAGAAATGCCACTGCAACGTTTTTATTTTACATAATGTTTGTGTTTTAACAATTATTACGAATTAAAAATACTTGAAACGGAACGTATTTTAAAACACCAATCAGCGTTTAGTGACGTCACTCCTGTTATTACAACTTCTTTGAGGTTATGGTTGTTAAAGTAAATATTATTTTATGGGAATATTTATTGCGTTTTTTTATATTTACTAAAAATGGAAGTTGCGTTTATCAAAGCAGACTCCATGAATTTACCAAGAGTTAGTGTTGACATGGTTAAAACTTTTTTGGTCCAAAGTGCAGTTTTTAAGTGTAGAAATAAAAGGGACTAAATTACTACGGTATGCTAAAATCGTAGTTATTAAACTTCGTATTTTATTCAGCGGCTTCTACAAATCTTAAACGGCGATAATGCAATCGGCTATGTCCAAATTAAAAGAGATGGAGAATTATGTACAGTAAAAGGTCGAGTTCTCCGGAGCATAAAGTGCGTAAAGAAGGTTATCGTGTTACAGTTATTTTAAATGAAACGCAAAGCTTGGTTCAGTCCTGCCAATGTGAAGATTGTGGCACACATTTTAAACTTTATCTAATTTTCGACGTGATTCTCCAACTGTAAAATTAAAAATATGTTATAGACAGGTTTTGTAAGTATCAGGTACGTTACTAATGCGTTTTTACGTATATACAAGTAGATTAATTAAGCATATAACAAGTATATTCGCCGACTTACGTCAAAGTGATATTCACAGCTTCGAATAATAATGGTCTTTGGAGAATAATTGTCATTTCTCTTCGCAGCTTGAAACCACTTTCTTTTTTTTCAGTTTTGGGTCAGAAGTTCCAGTCAAAAACAATTTATTTGGAAACTTTGTTGAAGTAGATTGGCACAAAACATGACACACGGCTTTTTTTCGGAATATTAGTGGTATTGTTATGATCACTTGATGTTGATGGATAGTCCATTTTAAATTTTTCAAAAAAATATTTCTAAAGTCGAAAAAATATGCAAAAGTATGAAAATTTAAAGCCAGCGACGAACAAGTACGACCAGTGACAGACAGGAGTGACGTCATCGCAACCATAGGTTCGTTTCCGCGCGAAAATTTAAATTGTCAATTTAAAACCGCATTTTTTCCGATAAATCACAATGTTTTAATTTTTTAATATATCTGTGGTTTATTCTACATGGAATTCTTTAAAATGAAAACAAAAATAAAAATATTGCATCTTCCCTATTACTTCAGTTACTCCGTGATCATGGCGCTTGCAACTGCCGAAATATCGGAGACTCATAAAAAACAAGGTACATATAGGTAACAATCCCGTTAATAGCTATAATGATCTCGTTTCAACCATACACATGAAACATGGAATACGCGAATGACTAATGGACAACTAATTATCATGTAAAACGGAGCAAATAAATATGTAAGCGGCGGAGCGATAGGGCAGCCTATAGTTCCTATCTATTTTGACATTTTCTAGACAGATGAAAATTTCATGCGAGTGTCGCTCAGTCCAATCTCTCAAAATAATGTCCTCATTTTAGCTCCTGCTGGCGAACGAAATGGTATAATTACATAAAATTAAATTTTACAGGAGCTACCTACAGTGAGCTTTTGGCATGGTTTTTAATTTATAAATTTAGTAATTTTAACACTGTTTTAGGCGGTTTTGATTGAAAATTATTCCAGATTCAAATTCAACGGGCCCGAAACCTACGGACTGTAAAGAAAAATGTAGTTTGACCAGATGCGTTATTATACCGTTTTGTTGGCCAGCTCTTCAATATAAATATTGTGTTTTACTTACGATGGCGTGCTGTTAAGATTCTCCGTACTGGCTGCCAGGTCGGTAGTGGACCAGGAGAGTAGAGAAAGACGCGACAGATTCATGAGGGAGGCACTTCCCTCCTGGCGCAGTTTCGCCGCCTCTGCGGGATCGTTGTAGCGGAACATGTTCGTGCGACCGAGTAGCAAGATGCAACCTAATGGGGGAAAATTATAGTATGTAAAGAGATTATAGATGATGGGAAAAACTACAAACAACAGAATGTTTAAGAAATAATTAGACTCTTCCCAAACATTAGACTGGAATCGAACCAGTGTTGTTTGTTATTCAAACGAATGCACTAATTGGTATGAGACCCTAGATTTTTGCATAATTTTGTACCTTGGTATAAAATATCTCAAAATACATGTAAAATTATACTAAAAAATTCTCACTCATCAAAATCTCAATAAAAACAATAGAAATTGGTGAATATCTGTTATTTTTTCCGTTGTTTATTTTAATTAGCTTAAGTATTGTATACTAATATATGGATCTCTGTTGCATTAATACTAAAAGATTTGAATTTGAATTATTCCTCACCCTGGCTGAGTTTAGCGGGCTGGTCTATAAGCACTGTGTTAAGCCAGCACTGGGCTCCGGTATAAGGCTTCAGGGTGGCCACCCCCTGATGTAGAGTGACGACGGCGTGTAGAGGCAGCACGCCGGCCCCACTGAGTACTATATCCGGGGTGGGGCGGTATTCTTCACTGCCTATCACTGTCTCACCCTCCTACGACAACAAACAAAAACTTCAGTTTAAAAAAGAAATCTAGAATGAATAAAAGAAGAAAGAGATGCATATCCATCGGTGCTTTTTAGAACAGGTATCTTAGTGGCCTTATCATCTTCATCATTCATTCGTATCTCTTGCGTGCAGGTAATAGTTTTAGTGTATATTCCGTAATACATACCAGTATACTTGCCAGTGCTAATGACGTCATGGAACGACGCTATACTGGTGAATTGTTCCGAAATATATTGGCCTGTGCACTGACGTCAAAAATCGACGAAATACTAAAAATGCCAGTGCACTGACGCCATAAATCGACGATTTGTGACGATTAAAAATAGTGAGAATAATGAAGATTTTTTATTCACCTTATCAAACAAAAGGCCGTATTAACCCGTAAAACTAGTTTTATTTAATGAGTGATGTGCGTGAAAACCTAAGAAACAAATAAATAAAAGGGATTCTTTTTTTTCGGATGTTATTATTGTTCTTTTTATAAAAAATAAATAAAATTCGAATGCATCTCCCGCACGCTCGGTCATACGTCATATTCATTTTCCCGGTAAAAATATGGTAGCATACCAGTACAATATGGCGTCGGATTCGTGACGTCATTACCACTGGCCAGTATAATGATGTACATTTCGGAATACACCCATAATGTTATATCTGAGGAAACTGGCATTGATTTGTTTTACACTAGCGTTCCATCACTGAGGCGGGTATTGAGCGGTGCATTTTTTGACGAATAGACAATTGTACAATGTTCTTTTTTGTAATTACTATGTTAAAGTGTGCTTAATTATGTTGTAATGTGTTTTAATTGTTCAAGACTTGTAATTGGCTTTTTGTTATTATTTAATTTTTTATTATTTTTATTAATAGCTGTTGGTCTTCCAAAAAATAAAGAAATAAATCTTCATCAGCCTATTAATGTCCCCATTGCTGCGGCACAGGCCTTCCCTATGGATAGAATAGGGAGATTGGCCATGACCTACCACACGGGCCCAGTGCGAATTGACGGGTGCTAACGACTGCAAATGCAGCCGGGACCAACGGCTTAACGTGCCTACCAAAACACGGAATAACTCGAGATAGAAGATTTTTGGTCACCCATCCAATGACCGACCACTGCGAAAGTTGCTTAACTTCAACGATCGCAGTCGAACGCGCTAACCATCCGCGCCATCGAGCTCCTCGTGGCGTTTTAATAAAGCATTAGTAAAAAGCTCGGTGATTATCACTTCCATCTGTCAAAAGCAATTAGCGAATTGGCCTACCGAGCATTCCGTTGTCACCTGTGACTAACTTTATATTCTTCACCTATTTAGGTTGATTATATTTGACACGTATTTTACCTTTTTTCACAAAATCAACAAATTACAGACATATACTGATTTGAAATGTTCTATGACATCGACGGCACGTCTTGGTACAATGTTTACCAAGAAGTGACGTCACGAGCCCCCACTCCCAAACTTTGATGTGCTTAATCTTTCAAATTTTTTGGTTGACTGACAAAAGAAAAATTATGTGTTCATTATTTTTTTGATAATATAACGTATTACGAGTACAAGACTCGTATACGTCACTCATACGTCACGCGTACATTATGTGTTTCCCAAGTGCAGGTGGCTCGATTGAGCAATCGTGTTGAAAAGTGCTTATTAGACAGATTTAGTTTATGTAAAACCTTCGGACAGTTTTGGGAGTCGCTTGAGCTTCAATCGTGGAAGCATCTTGACGTATAGTTTATAAGACCGGATCATCGGGATCAATTTGTATTAATTTTGTAAAACATTTAAATAAATAAAGTTATAATTTAAAGCTTAGTTTTTAAAGACCCTCAATTCCGTAATTTACGACTAAATAGAGCCGTTTATGTTTACCCGTCATCATACCATTACATCTTCCCTCCCCACTAGTTGATATTAAAATGCTCTCGAGTCTAATACGTCATGGTTTACTAAAACCAAACGATTATTTCTCACTTTCCAATGTCACTTTTGCTTTATCCGTCCACTGAACCGATAATAGGCAGGTTACAAAAAACACAATTTACTAACCTTAAGATGGTACAACGTGACTCCAGTAGACAGCAGATTATCATCGATTCCGACCAGATGCGGCATATCAGAATCCAGAACAACTCCCAGTCCACTCTTGCGCAGCCCCAAAGCTTTCTGTTCCTGCAATATCTGTTGGGTCTCGCGCCACTTCTCCGTCCATTTCTCTGTGAGAACTTTCTCTTGAGCTTCTTTCCTTTGCAGTGTTGCCAGCACACCGGCCTCGGTTTCGATGGGATCCTGTGTTAAAATAACATACCGATAAAATAATTATAACATTCAATGTATTGTTTTAAACTTTCATGGTCACTAACATTATAGTAATATAAGTTATTTACGGGATTGTTACCATGTACCTTGTTTTTAGCGAGTTTCCGATATTTCGGCACTGTTGCAAGCGCCATGATCACGGAGTAACTGAAGTAATTGCGGGTAGGCTGTTATTGGCAGACATATCGGTCTACCCTCCGACGAAGTCTTTTATTGCGACCCGTACCACTGTTCACATTCTCACTATTCACTCGAAACTGTTCTCGACACACAACACTTACAGTATCGGATCGCGACACACAACTTTTTTGATTATTTCCGGTTTTACACATACGAACCACAGGATTCCAGACACTCGACAATTTAAACCCGTCCTCACGATTGAAATTTTTATGTTTTGTTATTTCAATCGCTTCCCTGACCAATCTTGGTATGTAGTGGCGTTCTGTCGAGATAATCTGTGGGTTATGAAACTCAATCCAGTAGTTAGAACCAGAATCAATCAAATGTTCCGCGATGGCTGATTTCTGCGTATCGTTGTTCTTGATAGCTTTTATGTGTTCCCTCATTCGGCATGATACTGTTCGCTTTGTTTGGCCAATGTACGAACTGCCACAGCTGCAATCGATCTTATAGACACCAGGTTTCTCCAAGGGGAAGTTGTCTTTAGGAGACCGTAGGTATTGTGAAACCTTTCGCACAGGAGTGAAGACAGTGTTTAGTGAGTACTTATTCAGTATGTTTGAGATCTTGTCAGTCACTCCTTTGACGTATGGTAAATAAACAGGTTGTCTGTCTACTCTGTGTCTCTGGTGTCTTAGTTTGTGTCTTGATGGAAAATGTCCCTGGTATCCATTACTCTGTAAGACTCGTCGTACATGCTCCAACTCTTCTTGAAGATGTTCCTCATCACACAGGTCATATGCACGGTTCGTCAGTGAAGTCACTACAGAGTTAAGATGTTTAGGGTGGTGATGCGAGGAGGCGTTGAGATAGCGGTCAGTGTGTGTTGATTTGCGGTAAATGGAATGACCAAGCGAACCGTCATTCCTCACCCGAATCTTCACGTCCAGAAAGGCCAGACTTCTGTCTTCTTCCATCTCATAGGTAAAGTTGATTTTAGAATGGATACCATTAAAATTTGCCAAGTGCCTCTTAATATACAGAATACGTCATCGACATACCTCTTCCATAGTTTTATTTCTGTGGGTGCGGTGATAAAGGATTTTTCTTCAAAATGCTCCATCCATATATTGGCAACCACTGGAGCCACGGGACTGCCCATTGCGACCCCATCTATTTGGAGGTAGTACTGACCTGATATATGAAGAAATTCGTCGACAAACAATGATGCAACAGCTTGGCATATTCCTTCGGGATGTCATTTTTTTGCAACTTCACCTTCACCACTTCCAGACAATCCAACACAGGTACATTTGTGAACAGCGATTCTACGTCAAAACTGACCATCAACTGATTTTCATCTACCTTGTTTTGGTGCAAGATTTCTATGAAATGGCGGGAATCCTTCACAAACGACGACGTTCGTCCCACTATCGGCTGCAATACTTTTGCCACGTGCTTGGCCAGTTCATATGTAGGTGAGTCTATCTGACTCACGATCGGACGTAGGGGCACATTTGGCTTATGGATTTTCGGCAGACCATATAGTTTTGGAGGCTGGATGTTCCTAGGATGTAATAAATATTTGACAATGTCATCGTCTAAAGCGTGGGCGCATTCTTTTACGAGTGAGCGAGTGTTACGATCTGTCCTTGCCGTTGGGTTGTAATTCACCTTCTTGTATATGTGTTCGTCAGTGAGTAGACTCTGGATTTTGTTTTCATACTCACTGGTATTCATTATGACTGTCGCATTCCCTTTATCAGCTTTTAGTACTAGTATATTCTTGTTCTTATGAAGATCTCTCAAGGCCACTGATTCGGAAGAAGTAATGTTCGGTCTTGGTGGCCTCGCATGATGTAACACCACAGCGACATCTTGTCTGAGCGTATCCGCATCTACTGCTGGAATTTTATTACGTATGACACCCTCTTCAACTGACCCAATCACTTCCTCATAGGGAATACGTCTAGGTGTAACGGCGAAATTCATCCCTCTTTCAAGAGTGAATAGTGAAAATGTGAACAGTGGTACGGGTCGCAATAAAAGTCTTCGTCGGAGGGTAGACCGATATGTCTGCCAACAACAGCCTACCCGCAATTACTTCAGTTACTCCGTGATCATGGCGCTTGCAACAGTGCCGAAATATCGGAAACTCGCTAAAAACAAGGTACATGGTAACAATCCCGTAAATAACTTATATTACTATAACATTCAATGTTTAAAACGCGCTCTTTATAAAAGGTTTTTGTACGTTCTTTTTCGCGAAGTTTAACCCGTTGAATGTTATATTTATAGTGCAACGCGAAAGTTTCAAAGATAAAATATAATTGACGGAAAATACAATATATTTGGTTGCCAAGTAGAAAAATAATGTATAAATTCTAATAGCTGTAATGTCAGTTATCTTAAATTTCATGCAAAAGAATATTCTAAACGTCAATAAATAAATAAAGTTTCGTGCATTAACCCGTAAAAACTAGTTTTATTTAATGAGTGATGTGCGTGAAAACCTAAGAAACAAATAAAAAAAAGCCTATAGCCATGAAGCCATGAAGACGGCAGATAGATATGTTAACTACCGTATTGTGCGATATCTGCGCTCGCAGTTTCTCGATCTCCTCTCGCAGTTCTCGTATAAGCTTCACGTTGGGGTCCTCGTTGATGGTGGGTTTGTTGATGATGTTCTTGGCGCGATTGGCGTAACGCAACGTTGACAATGTCTCGCCGTAGTTGCAGTCCGCAGGCGAGATCTAAACAATCATCATCAGCTTATTAATGTCCCCACTGCTGGGGTTCAGGCCTTCTCTATAGAGGGAATAGGGAGATTGGGCCATAACCCAGCACGCGGGCCCAGTGCAGATTGGCGGATGCTAACGACTGCAAATGCAGCCGGGACCAACGGCTTTACGTGCCTTCCGAAGCACGGAGGAACTCGAGATAGAAGATTTTAGGTCACCCATCCAATGACCGACCACTGCGAAAGTTGCTTAACATCAACGATCGCAGCCGAACGCGCTAACCACCCGCGCCATCGAGCTCCTCATCTAAGCAATATTTCTTTTTTATTATTCTTATACGCCCCGGCAAACTACTTGAGCAAGGACCATACACAAGGCAGCCTGCGCAGTAACAATAGGGTATTTGACAGTGTTAAAAATAAAGTGCCAATTGTTAGCATCTATATTTAGAATGAATATTGGCAGGGGTTTATACTATTTTTACAAAAAAATATTCATAATTTTACTAAAAACTAAAGAAAAAGATAATAGTTTTCTTATCTATTGTCACGTGACCCAAAACGCTTGGGATAGGCGGAGCCTAAAATGACGTCACACGCAAGTAAAGCGGTAAAAGTGACATTACATTGTATCGTTGGACGTTTTAATAACAGTCGTGTGACGTCACACACTAGTAAGACGCCATATTGTCCAGAGAAACGTTTTCGCGGCAACTTGAAAATGGAGTTTTTGATTTGGTTATTTTTACTGAAATACACAACAGAATGATGAATATCCTTTATCGGACTCCATAAACATTAGTCAATAACGTGAGATCGTTTTCTAAAACTTATGTATACATAGAAACTTTACAATAATATATTTCATACATAATAATAACATATAAATATGGTGCAATATGAATAAATTTAAGAATAATTAAAACAAAAAATATACTATAACAATGAACCTAAAACTAAAAACCTTAAAAAATAAAATAAAATAACTAAAATACATTATTAAAAGGAGTCCCTTTAGGCAAGGTTCGGAAGATACTGGCAGCGTTCCCCCTTTGGATAGCTAGACTTATTCTTTGTCCGAGGTAGCTGCCAGCTCTTCGGTCTCCTGTGATGTCGACTAATCTTTTCGCTACTTCTTTAAAAAGCCTTATAGCGCTAGGACCCCACGGACCAAGGGTCTCGACACCGAATGGGACAAAATCATATTCGGAGCCTAGACCCCTGTATTTGCCTGCCTTAACTTTTTCAGCCGCTTCACAAGCCGCACCAGCTCTGTTGTTGGTTCCATGTAGATGGGAAGGGGCCAGCGTGTCTGAACAGGTTGCATCCCATACTAGCACCCGACCCATCTTCCATGGAATCAAACTCATACCGTCCGGTCTCTTGCCATCGTCTCTTGCAATACCAGTTGGCTCAAGTAGACTTGGCACGTTGACGGTGGCAAGGGACCGGCGTATGATATCGTTAAGTGCGGCGTGTCTCGAGAAGCGGCCTGCACTTTTTTGGCAAGACAGTCCATGATGTCCTAGCTTGTCGACATCACTGCCGCAGGGACATTTATGAGGAGCGCAGACCGGGACCCCAAGCCGTAGACAGGTTGCCATTCGGAGTGTGTCAGGCTCAAGAAATGTGCCTGTATTTGTCGAAGGGTACGCGTGAAGCCAGTAGCCGGCCTCATGCGTACCCACGGCCAAAAGCCTAGCACGCGCCGAACCTGTACTGCAGCTCAAAAGGTTATTATAAGTTATTTATATGTTATTATTATGTATGAAATATATTATTGTAAAGTTTCTATGTATAAATAAATAAATATGAAACTTACAATTGTACCAAAACGTGACGTCATGCGACTTTTCAAATCAATATATCTCTGCAATGTTTATATTATGTGAAAAAAGAAAACATACGTGTCCAATAATTTTTAATAATCTACCAAAACTTATGAAATACCCTATTTCACATACAAAAGCGTCTACTGCTCAAGTTAATTTTTTGTGGTTTTGCTCGAGAAGTTTGCCACTAGCTATACTTGATGATTAATTGATTGCTTCTATCCATGTTTGCTTTATTTTGGAATAGAAATAGCATAGAAGAATATCAAATTGAAACTCTATGAACATCATATCCGGCTCGAAGGACCAAAATGTGAGGTAAATTCATAAGTTTTTCGTTTATAAATATAGTCACTATTATTAAACAATGATTCTTATGAATGATAACATGGTAATATAATCACAACATCCATCCGCACTAATTAAAACCAAAATGGAAGTAAATAAACACATTTTTTTAAATTAAAATGAAATTTGTTACTCACAGCTGCAATCATGATGGTCTTAGAGTTGCCCCCGAGCGAATCCTTAAGCAGCCACGTGAGCACCGAGTCTCGGTACGGGATGAACACACGCTTCTTGTCCTTAGGTCCGCTTTCTGCCATAAAACATGTTCATATCTTACAGTACGATGCCTATTGTAAGTATGATAAAATACCCATAACAAAGAAAATATAATAGAGAAAATACGATAGAAATGGCCGTAGTAAAGACAATATTTGAGAGTAGATCAAGCATTATAAGTCAAAAATCATTTTTCAACGTATAGATACAATTTTGTTCACATTGGACACATTTATTTATCATTATCTTGTGAGTACATGGTAAATTTCATGTATGATTAGGGAAATAAAATCTAGACAAACTTATAAACGAAGAGCTCAATGCTTTAATACATACAATATTTAAGTTTAATTAGATCAAAACGAGCCGAAAAATCACGATTCCATGTATGGATGATCCAGGTGTCTTCCAATTTAGGTTAATTTGCATAATCAAGCCGTTCAAGAAAGCGACTGTGTAATGAAATACATTAATTTAGTAATATTTACATTGTACTCTTACATACATTCAATCGTGAAAGTTAAGCAACTTTCACAATCGTCGATCACAAGATGGATGATCAAAATTATTATTTCAATCTTCTCCGACAGTCGCGGCTGTATTACAATCGTTTGTCAATCTGTGTCAAATCTGGCTCTTCGTTATGGATAAGGTTCCGTTATCTCTTTTACCGGAGCAATGGGGCATATTAATATGATAATGATGATGATGATGATATATGGCTCACTGTCAGCAGGGTGCGGGGACTCGGCCAGCGCGGAGATGACGGAGCCGAGAGTGACCAGCGACTTGTTGATGTGAGCGCCCTCTACCAGACGCTGGCTAAGTGGGGACATTAATATGATGATGATGATGATATATGGCTCACTGTCAGCAGGGTGCGGGGACTCGGCCAGCGCGGAGATGACGGAGCCGAGAGTGACCAGCGACTTGTTGATGTGAGCGCCCTCTACCAGACGCTGGCTAAGTGGGGACATTAATATGATGATGATGATGATGATATATGGCTCACTGTCAGCAGGGTGCGGGGACTCGGCCAGCGCGGAGATGACGGAGCCGAGAGTGACCAGCGACTTGTTGATGTGAGCGCCCTCTACCAGACGCTGGCTAAGTGGGGACATTAATATGATGATGATGATGATGATATATGGCTCACTGTCAGCAGGGTGCGGGGACTCGGCCAGCGCGGAGATGACGGAGCCGAGAGTGACCAGCGACTTGTTGATGTGAGCGCCCTCTACCAGACGCTGGCTAAGTGGGGACATTAATATGATGATGATGATGATGATATATGGCTCACTGTCAGCAGGGTGCGGGGACTCGGCCAGCGCGGAGATGACGGAGCCGAGAGTGACCAGCGACTTGTTGATGTGAGCGCCCTCTACCAGACGCTGGCTAAGTGGGGACATTAATATGATGATGATGATGATGATATATGGCTCACTGTCAGCAGGGTGCGGGGACTCGGCCAGCGCGGAGATGACGGAGCCGAGAGTGACCAGCGACTTGTTGATGTGAGCGCCCTCTACCAGACGCTGGCTAAGTGGGGACATTAATATGATGATGATGATGATGATATATGGCTCACTGTCAGCAGGGTGCGGGGACTCGGCCAGCGCGGAGATGACGGAGCCGAGAGTGACCAGCGACTTGTTGATGTGAGCGCCCTCTACCAGACGCTGGCTAAGTGGGGACATTAATATGATGATGATGATGATGATATATGGCTCACTGTCAGCAGGGTGCGGGGACTCGGCCAGCGCGGAGATGACGGAGCCGAGAGTGACCAGCGACTTGTTGATGTGAGCGCCCTCTACCAGACGCTGGCTAAGTGGGGACATTAATATGATGATGATGATGATGATATATGGCTCACTGTCAGCAGGGTGCGGGGACTCGGCCAGCGCGGAGATGACGGAGCCGAGAGTGACCAGCGACTTGTTGATGTGAGCGCCCTCTACCAGACGCTGGCTAAGTGGGGACATTAATATGATGATGATGATGATGATATATGGCTCACTGTCAGCAGGGTGCGGGGACTCGGCCAGCGCGGAGATGACGGAGCCGAGAGTGACCAGCGACTTGTTGATGTGAGCGCCCTCTACCAGACGCTGGCTAAGTGGGGACATTAATATGATGATGATGATGATGATATATGGCTCACTGTCAGCAGGGTGCGGGGACTCGGCCAGCGCGGAGATGACGGAGCCGAGAGTGACCAGCGACTTGTTGATGTGAGCGCCCTCTACCAGACGCTGGCTAAGTGGGGACATTAATATGATGATGATGATGATGATATATGGCTCACTGTCAGCAGGGTGCGGGGACTCGGCCAGCGCGGAGATGACGGAGCCGAGAGTGACCAGCGACTTGTTGATGTGAGCGCCCTCTACCAGACGCTGGCTAAGTGGGGACATTAATATGATGATGATGATGATGATATATGGCTCACTGTCAGCAGGGTGCGGGGACTCGGCCAGCGCGGAGATGACGGAGCCGAGAGTGACCAGCGACTTGTTGATGTGAGCGCCCTCTACCAGACGCTGGCTAAGTGGGGACATTAATATGATGATGATGATGATGATATATGGCTCACTGTCAGCAGGGTGCGGGGACTCGGCCAGCGCGGAGATGACGGAGCCGAGAGTGACCAGCGACTTGTTGATGTGAGCGCCCTCTACCAGACGCTGGCTAAGTGGGGACATTAATATGATGATGATGATGATGATATATGGCTCACTGTCAGCAGGGTGCGGGGACTCGGCCAGCGCGGAGATGACGGAGCCGAGAGTGACCAGCGACTTGTTGATGTGAGCGCCCTCTACCAGACGCTGGCTAAGTGGGGACATTAATATGATGATGATGATGATGATATATGGCTCACTGTCAGCAGGGTGCGGGGACTCGGCCAGCGCGGAGATGACGGAGCCGAGAGTGACCAGCGACTTGTTGATGTGAGCGCCCTCTACCAGACGCTGGCTAAGTGGGGACATTAATATGATGATGATGATGATGATATATGGCTCACTGTCAGCAGGGTGCGGGGACTCGGCCAGCGCGGAGATGACGGAGCCGAGAGTGACCAGCGACTTGTTGATGTGAGCGCCCTCTACCAGACGCTGGCTAAGTGGGGACATTAATATGATGATGATGATGATGATATATGGCTCACTGTCAGCAGGGTGCGGGGACTCGGCCAGCGCGGAGATGACGGAGCCGAGAGTGACCAGCGACTTGTTGATGTGAGTGCCCTCTACCAGACGCTGGCTAAGTGGGGACATTAATATGATGATGATGATGATGATATATGGCTCACTGTCAGCAGGGTGCGGGGACTCGGCCAGCGCGGAGATGACGGAGCCGAGAGTGACCAGCGACTTGTTGATGTGAGCGCCCTCTACCAGACGCTGGCCCGTTGCCCCAGTTGCATCCGCACGCTCGCTGTATATAAACCAAACCATAATAGTTACTTCTTATGTTAATTCACCAACAGTTGTTAATTTAACCCGAATAATGACATGTTTTGTCTATTTTTATTTAATTGAAACAGTTGTTTACGAACACGTAAAAGAGAAAAATAAAAACTATTTTAACAAAAATGGAATGAAATCATACTTTGAGAAAATTGGCTTATTGAAAAGTCTCTTGTATCATACAAATTTTTCTATCGTTTCGCAGACATTACAGCAGAAATAAAAACCGAATTACAAATAAAAACTCAAAAGTGCCATGCGATGCTGAATCACTCGTATTTCTGCCATTTATCTGGCAAGTTTAACTTTATATTCGACTAGCGGCCCGCCCTCGCTTCGCTTCGGTGTAGAGCTGAAGTGTAGACTACAGTTTTTGTTCTTAGGCTTGTATTATACACAATGACGTTCATCTATGATTCTTCTTATACCTGCATGCAAAGTCTCAGCCCGATCGGTTTAAAGTTGACAAAGTTTCATACAAACTTTCATTCCCTATTTTATCCCCTTGGGGGTGGAATTGATCAAAATCCTTTCTTAGCGGATGCCTCCGTCATAACATCTACCTGCATGCCCGATCCGTCCAGTGGTTTGGGCTGTGCGTTGATAGATCACTATGTCAGTCAGTCACCTTTGAGTTTTATATACATAGATTTAAGTATGATCAGTCCATTATGTGTATGTATATAGTCTATATCTATGGTATCACATAATTACTGACCTCCCAGCTAAATCCACCAGATGCACCTTGGAGGCGGTCTCACTAGGCATATTGTTGTGGCGCAGATAGCTGGCCTGTACGAAGGTGATGGTGAATATGGCGTGCGAGCGAGACGACACGTCGTTCATCTGCGTCGACGCCGTCGTGCGATGCAGGTTGCCGCGATGCATGCATTCCTACAGATACAGAAAGAGATATAAAGATATTGTCAGTCCATCGCCTACACAGTTTTTGAAGTTACCTTGTTCGTGTATAAATTTTGATAATTTAAATTGGAAAATATCCGTTGGTTTCTTTTGGAAGTATTATATGTCTTCCTAGATGTATCCCTTCGTTTTTGAATTAGAGCACCACATTCACAAACAAGGGTTTCTCTTCGAAAATTGGTGTCTGTTTAGTATGCAGTGCCCGTCAAGCATATTCAAAATCCAAAACAGTTATTACATTTGCCACGTTGAGTATAACAGTTGTTTTAATTGATAGAATTCCAACGTTGACTCCGATAGGGCCAGCAAAAAAAATCGACTTCAAAAAAATCAATGGACAGTAAATGTACTTGTCAACCTACATGGTAATGTTACAGAAACGCTCTGGAAACCTTACTATTTTTTATTATTATCTACACATAAGTTTGTAACCATTCCTACTACGTCACATACTTTTATGTAGTATAGTTGTTTTACACATAGCATAACAATTGCATTGGTAGAGCAGGAATCCATCGAGGCCTGATCATAACCATTCTTTCAAGAGTGCACAACTGGGAACAAATTTCTTCCACTCCCTCTAATGATTAGTGTACTAACCTGAATGTCATCGTAGTCGAACATCAAATAGTTGGACACGTGTAGGGCGCAGCGAGTAGCCCACGTCGTCGGCCAGCAGGTCCTTGACGTGCTCGTTGTAGATCATGCCTTGTTGCTCCTATATATAGGACCAGACATTAGAGTACTGACCTGAATATCATAGTAGCACCAGATGTTTAGACAGGTCCTGCACGTAGGGCCCCAGCTTGGGGTGCTCGCGCACACGCAGTGAGTGGCCAGCGTCATCAGCCAGCAGGTCCTTGACGCGCTCGTTGCAGATCTGCAGGGATTGTTGGTGCTATATACTGACCTGAATGTCATCGTAGTCGGACACCAGATGCTTGGAGAGGTCCTGCACGTAGGGCCCCAGCTTGGGGTGCTCGCGCACACGCAGTGAGTGGCCAGCGTCATCAGCCAGCAGGTCCTTGACGCGCTCGTTGCAGATCTGCAGGGATTGTTGGTGCTATATACTGACCTGAATGTCATCGTAGTCGGACACCAGATGCTTGGAGAGGTCCTGCACGTAGGGCCCCAGCTTGGGGTGCTCGCGTACACGCAGCGAGTGGCCCGCGTCATCGGCCAGCAGGTCCTTGACGCGCTCGTTGTAGATCTCGAGGTAGCTGACCTCGGTGCGGTAGGAAGCGCCCGACTCCTTGCCGGCCGCCACGCGCGAGAACAGTTGCCGACAGATGCGCGGGATTAGGCCCTGATTGTCCTGTGTACACCACCAGACAGTATTTATACAACCATAGATAGATAATAAATAATACAAATAAATAAATATTGCAAACAATCACACCAATTAGCCTAGCCCCAAAGTAAGCACTGTAAGGCTTGTGTTATGGGATGCTAGAGTAACGGATAGAATACATATACTGTACATATATAAGTATATTTATATAGAAATAGATATTAACCATCCATGACTGGAGTACAAATGCTCGTATTCATCACACAAACATCTGCCCCCACCGGGATTCGAACCCGGGACGTCTCGAGTCGGCGACACCATGAAACCCGGCGTACAAACCACTCGGCCACGGTGGTCGTCGAAATAAAAGAATTATTAATTGTCCAGCCGTTAAGTAAAATTAAAGTAATACGCCTTCTTCACCAAGTCTATACGGGATCGTTTCGTTTCTGTACCGAATCTGTACAGATCCTTACCGAGGGCATGTAATTAAATGAGAGATTCCTCACTGAGTCGTTACGGTACAGAATCTCTCTAAACCGAGTGCTCCGAATGCTACTGAACCATTAGACTCGCCCGTGCCGTCAGTTCCGCAGACAAAAACGGAAATTATTACCACACCGAAACCGAGTCGATCAAGAAGTGGTTCTCTGTGAAGAATCTATACTAAAGCGAAAACGACACCGCACGGAGCCGGTGAGAAATGCGCCTAATTTTGAGAGAGACGAAGTGAAGAGAAGGAGGGAGATGGAGCGAAGAGAAGGTCGATAGATCCCATATATATCCCTAGAAAGAGAGAAAAAAGCAATACCCATACGTATTGCTTTTTTCTCTCTTTCTAGGGAGTTGTCAATTTTATGCCAGTGTCGTTCAGTCCAGATAGATTGAGAAAGATGAAGAGAAGGTAGATAGTTCGTATGGGTATTGTTTTTTCTCTCTTTCTAGAGAGTTGTCAATTTTATGCGAGTGTCGCTCAGTCCAGATGTATTGAGAGAGACGAAGAGAAGAGAAGGCAGATAGTTTGTATGGGTATTGTTATTTGTCCCTTTCTAGAGAGTTGTCAATTTTATGAGAGTGTCGCTCAGTCCAGATAGATTGAGAGAGACGAAGAGAAGAGAAAGCAGATAGTTCGTATGGGTATTGTTATTTCTCCCTTCCAGATAGGACTGAGCGACACTTGCATAAAATTGACAACTCTCTAGAAAAAGAGAAAAAACAATACCCATACGAACTATCTACCTTCTCTTCATCTCTCTCAGTCTATCTGGACTGAACGACACTCGCATAAAATTGACAACTTGATTGAGAGAGACGAAGAGAAGAGAAGGCAGATAGTTCGTATGGGTATTGTTTTTTCTCTCTTTCTAGAGAGTTGTCAATTTTATGCGAGTGTCGCTCAGTCCAGATAGATTGAGAGAGACGAAAAGAAGAAAAGGCAGATAGTTCGTATGGGTATGGGTCTCCATGCAATAAAATAATAAAAAGCAGCGATGCAAGAAATTGTGGCTCTTTCACACTTTCGTTTGAGAGTGGGGGTCGTGACGTGAATTCTAAGTACAAATTGTACCAAGACGTGACGACATGCGACATTTCAAATCAATATAATCATTATAATGTTTTGATTATGTGAATAGGTAATAGTTAAGTATTTTATTTTTATATATTTGGGCAGACATGGTATTAGAAGTCATAACATGTCATAATATTGTTAATCCAGGGTTTAATTTAAAGTGAATTAAATTGCTTCTAGATTCTGTTTTTTACGCGATTTAATAATAAACGGCTACCTACATTTCCCACTGAAATTTTAAGAAGATCTTGTTACATCGTTAAAGAGAGTGTTATATTTTTGCGCTTTACAAAAAAAAAACGCAACAACAATACTGAAATATCGTGACCCTGGCCTACTTCAGTTCAAAAGGCTAATTAACTAAGCCACTGTTCTAATAGCCCACTAGAGTGGGTGTAGTGACCCATATTCTATCACAAGCGGACGGTTTTGTTAACTGTGCAGGTAACACAGTTTACTACGGAGAGACACGCATTAATTCATGTAAAGATTATCAAAATACAGACAATATGTACCTAATATATACCTAAGAGTCTGTTCATTATCGAAAGCACATTTGCCATTGGTTGGTTCTGATCTGAGATGTTCTGATAAACAACATCTATCAGAACTAGAGGTCAGGGGTGAAAATGAAAGCTAGCTTTAATCTTTACCGATTCAATGCTGAACTATGCCTCCTTTAAGACATCACCTGCGTGAATACACATTTAAAAAGATCCGTAAGAAAACGGTTACAAAAAAGCTATTACCGAGTCTCTAATATGTACTTGTTGGTTAGCGGGTTCATATGTCATTGGAACCTAGAATTATGTCTAAAGAAAACTGTTAAGAAAAAAAATATAATAAGGATGATGACTAATTTTTTTTTCTTCGTTTATCAGGTAGATTATCAAAAAGTATTGGACACTCTTTTTTTCTTTTTTCACATAATATAAAACATTGCAGAGATATATTGATTTGAAATTCGCATGACGTCACGTTTTGGTACAATTTAAACTTAAAAGTGACGTCAAGAGACGTACTCCCAAACTTTGATGCGCTATAACTTTGTCATTTTTTGGTTGATTGCCCAAAGAAAAAATACGTGTCCATTATTTTTTGTTCATCTAACTGACGGACTAAATAGAATTTCGTTTACTGTACCCCGTCATCACCCCTATTCTAGCAGTTAAATGCTTTAAAATATAAAACCATAGAATTGTGTTTCTTATATCTATAAAATGCGTTACGTATTCATACTTGGTTACAGCTGATAACTAGTGTTTTGCTCTTGAGCACAAGCATCACTGAGCACACTTCTAAGATACATTTGATATTTTTATTTTCATTTATTATAAGATTTGTTTTTTTTTTAATTCTTGTAAATGTATCGGTATTTCTCGCCCTCGAGAAAGGAATGACGTTATCTGGAGTCCCCAGCTCAGTCACTTAGAGAACCCTAAAGCTGGGTCAATAATTGGGGATGAAGTAGGCCAAACAACATTCTTCCTATTGCCGGCACGAGTTTCGTGGGATCCGGAGACTCCCCAAGTTCCTATTCGCCGGCACGGGGATGCCGATGATGCCCAGAAACAATAGGTACTTTTAAGAGCCCTTTCACATTTTTTGCAAATCGTAATTTTTGAGCGCCTCGTTTACCCCCTTAGACAAGATTTTAACCATTTCCAATAGAAGTTCACGGTAGATTTATTCTTCCTATTTTACAATAGGAAGAATAAATCTACCGTGAAGTTACCTTAATGTACAATATTTACAAATACTATTTTTATTTTTTTGTACTGATCGTTCTACCGTAGTTAGTTTACGGAAAAAACGATAATATATATGCACAACTTCAAACGCCTCAATCTCTTAATACTGTTCAATAAATTAGATCAAAACTACTTACTACGACATCAGAAATATGTTTTTGTTGTAACATACTGTATTAGATTTTTTTAATTTCTATCTTATTAATTACCAAAAAAACATCTAACCTCCGTGAGTTTTCCCAAAAAATAATGCAGGTTTACCTCGTATTTTGATAGTGAATTAAAAAAAGGATTACTATCAAAAACTTTCATAAAACTAATCTACCATTATTGAACTACAGAAATATGTATATATTTATATAATTAGTTCATAAATAATTATTTCATAAGACTCGAAACATCACCCGCACAATGCAATATAAACTAGTGCAAATCTACCTGCGCGCCGATCTGTACGGCAGCGGCGCAATTTTGTAAAAATGAATAACCAGTATTCGTTCTACATTAGTGTTGAGTAGGACTTACAAGAGGCGGTACATTTATCCCGGACATGACGTCAAAATGTAAGAGCGGCTCAAAATTTTAAAATGTACCACTTCACATTAAATGTCGCGATAGTCGCGTCTCTTTACTCACTCACTCTTCGTAAGTCTGAGGGAGAGCGAGGCATGACATTTCATTTAAGTCCTCTACGCACTATCCATCTGTATCTCTATCTCTTTTACGTGTATAGCGCTGTCCTGCATGCTGGATCCAGCAAGATTGATTGTGCGTAGAGGAGGTGCTACTCGTGCACACAAACGTAATGTCGAGCTTCTGTACGCCTCAATGTCATATTTGTACTTGTCACTTCAAATGTATTGCCGAGCTTCAGTACGCCTCGCCTCATTTGAAGTACAAGAAAGAGGCTACTCTTACAAACTCTTTTTCAAGTCGGGTCCTACCCAACACTATTCTACGTTGAGATTACATTTAGCAACTCGTGTGCGTTTATTCAACTTTTCTATGTATCTTGGTCACTGTGATTCATTGAATGACTCATCATAAGTAAAGAAAACAAATTAAAGGTGAAGGGCAAAACTGTTTTGCCCACTGAATGAAATGTAACAAGCTTTTTTTATTTGTATTTTTTCTGCGATGCCATGATAGAATGTAACTTTTGTATACGTATATATGACAAAATAATTTAAATATTATTATTTAGTTATGTTTTTATTTTTTTAAGCATTTAACTGCTACATGTTTAAATCTAAAGAAAAGTTTTAAGGGTTACCTACAATGCGAAGAGATGGCGCTGCCTTGCAGCTTAAGGCTAGGAAAATTTCGACGCGGCCATCAGGGCTGTGGTAGCATAATTGGTCAGTGCATTCGCCTGGATTGCGAAGGGTGCGGGTTCGAGTCCCGTCCGCTGCCTGGTCCGCGTGGATTTTTTTTTCTAGTAAAACTTTTCTTTATTATTATTTATGTCATAATAAATAAACATTGGAGAGGTCATTCACATTTACAATTAACAATTTTTATTTTACTAGTTAACTAAAATCAAAATGAAATAGGTATATCTTGTAATATCAGCATTGAACATGAACTGCACTAGTTTATCACACTAATATTATAAAGGCGAAAGTTTGTATGTATGTTTGTTAATTCTTCACGTCTAAACGGCTGGAGCAATTTTAATAATATTTGGTATGGATTAAGCTGATACCCTGTATTAACACATAGGCTGCGTTTTACTGCGGAATAATATCCTAAATATAATCGCGGGTAACACCGCAGGGCACAGCTAGTAGGATATAAGTAATAGGGGTGATGACGGGGTACAGTAAACGAAATTCTATTTAGTCCGTCAGTTAGATGATCAAAAAATAATGGACACGTATTTTTTCTTTGGGCAATCAACCAAAAAATTACAAAGTTATAGCGCGTCAAAGTTTGGGAGTAGAGGCTCGTGACGTCACTTTTGAGTGAAAATTGTACTTATACTAATCTTATTAATTACTATTACGAACAAAACAAACTTTTCCAATTAACTGTCTTCAGTCCATGGCACCCGAATCTATGATGCTGACGTAATCACTATCTCGACAATGTCATCAAAAATAAGCAAAGCAAAGGCCCCCTGCCCCCCTATAGTGCTTACGTAATACTTGAACGGCCCCCAATGTACAGTTTTGATTTTGCTACCACAGAACACAGAAAGATGTTAGAAGGGCCTTGTGGGCGGGGCAGGCGCGCCACAGTTAGTTGTGAGCAAATGCTCATAACTTGACCAAAACTTGGCAACGATTGCTTTGTTGCGATGGGGTGTGAGCGCCGATTGGTTCGATTGTTTGATGTCACGGCGTTTGATTGGCTAATATCTATTAGGTGTAAGTGTAGTGCGGGCGAGCCGGCGACATCGGTTTCCGTACAAAAGGTCTCTGAAGACCCTTCTGACCTCTTTCTGTGTTCTGTGTTTTCTACCATTTTATTATATGTATAGACTAGTGGCCCGCCCTCGCTTCGCTTCGGTGTAGAGCTGTAGTGTAAACTATAGTTTTTGTTCTCAGGCTTGTGTTATAAACAATGACTTTATTTATATAATTACACGTGTTATTGTGAGTCAACCATAAAAGATAAACATATGCTGTTGCAGGATATTTTTTAGACAATTTTATGTAGAATATTTCGGTCATACATGATTTCTATGTAACTTTAACCATTAAGGCTGCACTCGCGACTGAAGCTTAAAAAATGGAGTAACTTCTCCCGTTTTCCCAACATTTTCCTTCACTACTCTGCTCCTATTGATTGTAGCGTGATGAAAAGTATACTATAACCTACCCAGGAGTATGAAGAATAATTGTACCAAGTTTCGTTAAAATCCGTCGAGTAGTTTTTGTTTCTATAAGGAACATACACACAGACAGACAGACAGACAAAAATATTACTGATTGCATTTTTGGCATCAGTATCGATCACTAATCACCCCCTGATAGTTATTTTAAAAATATATTTCATGTACAGAATTGACATCTCTACAGATTTATTATAAGTATAGATTATTATTGGACAACGCATACATTGATCTTAAGTATCTAAATCACTTGAAACAACCTAACCTATACCACTCACTGTAGATAATATATTATAGTTAGATAGCGATCGGCGCTAAATCCGGAGCACTCGTCTCTCGGCCACGGAAGTAGTTTATTTACCTGAGAAACGGTAAACAGTCTTATTTTATTTGTAGCTGGCTGGCAAACACTCACTGAAGAAAAACACCAAATTGAGAATATCACTTGATATTTGATTTACCTACGTAAACTTATTTCATTTGGTTAATAGTTCTCAATTTGTTTAGCCTTTATTTTTAAATTTTCGTCTTTGAACAGTCAACATTATCTGCTATTAATGAATAATATGACTTTACCCAAACGCTGTTTGCGTAGCGCACTGTTTTCCATTTAGAAATTCCATAGTTTTCGCGAAAGTTCTCATTAGATTATCGCCGAATTCATATGAGACAAGACCATCTTGAAGAAAAACTGATACAAACAAAAGAATAATTATGTTTTTATTTTTTAAGCATTTAACTGCTAGATTTTTAAATCTAAAGAAAAGTTTACTAGAAAAAATTCCACGCGGACCAGGCAGCAGACGGGACTCGAACCCGCACCTTTCGCTATCTGGGCGAATGCACTGACCATTATGCTACCGCGACCCTGACGGCCGTGTCGAATTTTCTCTAACCTTAGACTGCAAGGCAGCGCCATCTCTTCGCAGTTTTAGTAAAAGAATAATTATCAAAGATATAGACCCAATAAATGCAGAAGTAACGCACGAACTAATCGTTTTATATTTTAATCACGTCCACAGTGGACAGTATATTCAAGATTCTTTTTTAGACGTGACGACTGACGATTGGCGAGCCCATCATGGCGAAGGTCTTCCCGATGCCAGTCTGTCCGTAGGCGTACACGCACTCATTGTAGCCCTCGAAACGTGCTGACGATACCGTCCAGCCCAAAGATGTATCTAACCGGAGTTTTATTGTCTGTAGCGTGTAGGAGTGAAGTGTGAGAGAGTGAGACGATTGATCGGCGAGTCCATCATAGTGAAGGTCTTCCCGCTGCCGATCTGTCCGTAAGCGTACACGAACGCATTGTAGCCCTCGAACGCGCTGGCGATCACGTCCAGCCCCAGGATTTATCTACCGGCGTGTTATTGTCTGTAGTGTGAAAGAGTGAGACGACTGACCGGCTAGCCCATCATAGTGAAGGTCTTCCCGCTGCCGATCTGTCCGTAAGCGTACACGCACGCATTATAGCCCTCAAACTCGCTGTCGACCACGTCCAGCCCCAGAATGTATCTAACCGAAGTGTTATTGTCTGTAGCGTATAGGAGTGAAGTGTGAGAGAGTGAGACGATTGACCGGCGAGTCCATCATAGTGAAGGTCTTCCCGCTGCCGATCTGTCCGTAAGCGTACACGCACGCATTATAGCCCTCAAACTCGCTGTCGACCACGTCCAGCCCCAGAATGTATCTAACCGAAGTGTTATTGTCTGTAGTGTATAGGAGTAAGGTGTGAGAGTGTGAGATGACTGACCGGCGAGCCCATCATGGTGAAGGTCTTCCCGCTGCCGGTCTGTCCGTAGGCGAAGACGCACGCATTGTAGCCCTCGAACGCGCTGTCGATCACGTCCAGCCCCAGGTCTGAGAACACCTACACATAGAGAACATAATATAAGCAGTGCGATTCAAACTTAAACGAAATGAAGGGAGATGTAGGTGCGCGCGGGATGACACTGCGCATAGTTATGCTCGCTGCTAACTTCACAATCGCCACAAAAGTGTGAAACGCACTACACAATATCTTTACATCATTGTCGGGTAGATATTAAAGGTGAAAGCCGAGCACCACGTGTTTTTTTTATATATAGCCAAGTAGGCAAATGACTCTACCCCACCTGATATTTAGTGGTCGTAAAGTCCAAACGCGAAGATAGCTGGTCCAGCAGTTATAAACTGCCACACCAACCATCCTCACCTTACTGGACTGCAAAAATGCTTCTTCACGCCTCTCTTAAAGGATCCCAGGTTGTAGGAAGGAGGGAACACATGCGCGGGCAAAGAATTCAACTTACGAATAGTACGACAAAGAAATGAGTCATCAAATTTCTTTGTTCGTGTAGGGTAGGGTGATTTGCTATACCTAGTAAATATATTTAAAAAATTATACATCTTTTCAGTACAAATTCTCCCGCGCCGTAGATTTGCCACCGATGACGTAGCTTTTCCACATTCATAAGTGAATAAACAATATTGAAGTTGTAAGTTTCCTTCATGGTTTTCCGGGTTCCCTTAATCACCTTACAAAGATTTATCAAAATCTGTTTAGGAGCTTAGTGAACACAGTTACTTTCTTTGTTACTTCATTGCTTTGTTCTTATTCTATAACACTGGCCAAGGTTATATGAACGTATCGCAACAATAATAAATTTAATTTCATTTTTATCGATTGTGAATTTCTTAGGATCATAATACAATGTTAATTGATATAAGGTCACCCGGGGCCACAGTACAAAGAGAGGTTAGAAGCGCCTTATGTCCTGTCACTTCGGTGGTGTCCTGTGAGGCGGGTCGTTGCGTTCCCTAAAAAATGGTTGAGCGAAGCGATGGCTGTTTCATGCGTCATGCTCGTGAACGGGTGCTGCCAGCGGAGATGAGTCTGCTCTTGCTTCATTGGGTACTATTATTCGTTGTACTAAACTTTAATCGTTCATTATAATTTTAATTTTTTGCCTAAACAGTAGGACATGGCACTCCTAAACTTTGTTAAACCAGTTTTTTATATCTTTTTTTTATTTTATAGTCATAATTTTTATATTATTTGCATTTGTAATGGAAAGTGACTATGAGTTACCTCATATTGAAGTCATTTTTCAATTTGACGACTCTGTATATAATACAGGGAGAAAAAAAACAGCCCTTTGCTGAGTTTCTTGCCGGTTCTTCTCAGTTCAAGGTCTCCCGCCGTAGATTTGCGAACTGATGGCGTAGCTTTTCGACATTCACAAGTGCTTGTAACAGCCTAGACTGAATAAACGATATTGAATTTTAATTTTATTTTGAATTGAATACTCATAACTTAACCAAAACTCTGTTCTGATTGCGTCGTTGCTCTCGGATGTAAGCGCTGATTGGGTCGACTGTTTGATGTCGCGTCGCCTGATTGGCTATTATTTATCTATAAGATGGAAGTGTAGTTGGGGCGAGCCGGCGACATCGGTTCCCGTACAAACGGTTTATGAACATTCTTCTTTCTCCTCTTTCTGTGTCCTGTGCTCGGAGTTATTGTAGTCAGGGGCTAATATTTCATTTTTACAATAAATCAATAAATAATATAAATAAATATTTCCAACACTCACACCAATTAGCCTAGCCCCAAAGTAAGCACTGTAAGGCTTGTGTTATGGGATACTAGGGTAACGGATAAGAATACATATACTGTACAAATATAAGTATATTTATATAGAAACACATATTTAACATCCACGACTGGTGTAAAAATGCTCGTATTCATCACACAAACATCTGCCCCCACCGGGATTCAAACCCGGGACCTCTCGAGTAGGCGACACCATGAAACCCAGCGTACAAACCACTCAGCCATGGAGGTCGTCAATAAGTTACATCAATGGCTGTAGAATAACTTTTATTGACCTTTAAATAAACATATTTTTCCAATAACATGAAACAGCAACGAGGTATTTGGTTACAATAGCCCCGGGTAGGCTTGCCACATAGCCGGGAAATCCAGGATTGTCCCGGAACTTTGCGTCTTGTTCCGTGTCCAGTAATTAGACCTTATTGTCCCGGATTCCGATAATGTGCTAGTTTCATACAAAAATAAACTTATAACGAATGACAACGCCTGGCCTGCTTAATGTTTTAATTCTGGGGGTGATGGGGGGTTTGATTTCATGCTTTATTTTTTCAGAGGGGCAAACGTCCCTGAATCGTTAAGGCAGCATCTGGCAACCCTAGTCCCGGGTGACCTTATCAGAATCGTCTATGTTTATATATACATAAAACTCAAAGGTGACTGACTGACATAGTGATCTAGCAACGCACAGCCCAAACCGCTGTCCGATCCGACGGACTGAAATTTGGCATGCAAGTAGATGTTATGACGTAGGCATCCGCTAAGAAAGGATTTTGATCAATTCTACCCCCAAGGGGATAAAATAGGGAATGAAAGTTTGTATGAAACTTTGTCAATTTTAAACCGATCGGGCTGAGACTTTGCATGCAGGTATAAGAAGAATCATAGATGAATGTCATTGTGTATAATACAAGCCTGAGAACACTACTAGTCTACACTTCAGCGCTACACCAAAGCGAAGCGAGGGCAGGTCGCTAGTCATTTTATAATTTCAAGACTTTTTGAATACATCCGCCTGCATAAGATCGTCAGGCAGTTCGGTAATGATATTTTGAGACTACTCATCATATATATTCATTATATACCTACAACAGTTTTTCGAAACAATCGTGTATAGGCTTAACTATATATTCTATGCGAAAAACTTTGTAGCTGACGCATATTTCCTTGCTTTTAATTTCAGTTGCGGTTTTTATTTTTCAGCCATGTCGTGTTCATAAAGTAAATTAGTTAGCATTATATATACTATCTTACCAATCCTGAATATACGATATTGATGATTGAAAATAATTTCATTCAACAGGTGTACAACCCTCTACTAATTGAGGGTTGGTTTCTGGGTGTTGATTGACAGGGGGTTTCTTTAATCAAAAAAAACTGGTACCCTGTTTCCACAGATAGCTGTGGCCCAATTTATTTGTAACTTTGTACCTTATTCATCTATCATAAGTATATATATAAAATAATTTCGACAGTGCGATTTAGAATATATACCCGAAAATTTGACACATGTTATTAGCACCATCTTTCGTTACCAAATGGTAACATATCAAACATATATACATATCAAATATATACATATATACATATCAAAACCAAAATAAACATTGTTTAAGGTTGAACAACAGGTGATCTCAGGGTACGGAATATGAAAAGCTCGCGAAGGGCAATACATTGTATCGATCGACAATCAGCTGTTATATGTTTGTCGATATGTTTATTTATTTTATTCGACATTCGGCAAAAACCAATTCTAAGTTACAGTTAGCTAACTGTTTTGTAGTATGAACCGAAATGTTATTATTTATGAGGGAAGATTTTATTATCGATGAGCTCGATGGCGCAAGTGGTTAGCGCGTTCGGCTGCGATCGTTGAAGTTAAGCAACTTTCGCAGTGGTCGGTCACTGGATGGGTGACCAAAAATTTACTATCTAGTGCTCCTCCGTGCTTCGGAAGGCACGTTAAGCTGTTGGCCCCGGCTGCATCTGCAGTCGTTAGCAGCCACCAATCCGCACTGGGTCCGCGTGGTGGGTCATGGCCCAATCTCCCTATTCCATCCATCGAGAAGGCCTGTGCCCCAGCAGTGGGGACATTAATAGGCTGATGATGATTATGATGATTTTTTTATCATGGATCACGAAAACCGCAGGATCTAAATATTTGTAGAAACGTCTAAATTATCCTAACATTTCTACACAATAAAACAGAGGGGGAATGTCCGAACTACACGGTCGGACGCGGATAAAACGCAGTTAAACAGATTGCTTCTATCATTAAAGTGAAGGGTGGTTCTACCTTACGCCACTGTGTCGTCACAAGCTTCTGGAGCTCTATTTTTGATTCGCTCGCCTGACATAGTATCGACAAATGCGACTTAAGCCGCTTTCGACTTCCAAGTCGCATGATACTGATTTTCCGCATTTTTGAATCGTTCATCTACAGCAGCTATACTCTAAGTGTGTTCCGCGGAACCCTAGGGTTCCGTGATACCTCTGTCGGGGTTCCGCAAGAATTTAGAAATAAAAAAATCAAAACACCTCTCTCTGGTCGCTCCGCGGCTGTGCGGACTCCGCGGCCGCGCGGAGACAAAACGCTATGAATGTTATTTATTTATTTATTTGTATTTGTATAAGCTTGTGTTACATTAGCTGGTACAATATCTCATAAGTTTGGTCTCAACAATTTTATACTTGTACAACGCGTTCGCTCTAAGTTTGCCGGTCTGTGGAATGCGCGTACCCTCCCCCACGTGACAACAAAACTTATAATGTGTCATAGTTTTACCCAAATATCTAACGTACACAATTTTTATTGTTACAATTAAATAAAAAATTTCGAACGTCATACACTCATACCTATCGCCAGCGGCAAACTTAAAACGAGCGGGTAGTATACTTGTAAGCGCTCAGTCTCTTTGATAAAAGCCGCCTCTGAATTAGACGCTATAGTTGTCAACTAGCGACTTTCGTCTCTAACTTCAAAGGATAAAGTCGATATTGTTTACAACGCTATTTTTAAATTTCTGTTTTTATTTTTGCTTTTTGTTTATCAAAGGTGCCGACTCGAGTATTTTCGAGAATATTTGAGATCGAGTCTAGGACTAAGTATAAAAGCGGCGATCGCGCGTTGGCGTCGTCAGTTGATGATTAGCGTTCGGAGCGATAAGTTACTACCTACTTACAAGCTCGCTAGCGAGAAACTGGTGTTCATTGTTTTACTGCCTGCTGTATTCTGTTGTCTCAGTTTTATACATTTCTTCCCTGTAGGTTCTAAATTT